CCTGTCCAGCGCTAAGATGGTGTTCCGATATGACCACGAGAAAGCCAACGATGGTAGGTACCATTTGTGTTTTCTAGTACCTTGAGTTATTGAAACTCTAGAACAAGTGCTGATACTCACGTTGTACAGGTATGACAGGAGGCGAGGGTGCTTTCATCATGGTAACCTTCTGGCTTGTCGAAGCTATGGCTCGTGTAAGTTTTATGAAACTACCCAAAAAAGGAAACATTGAACTATGCTGACATGGGCTGAAATTGGAAATGCAGGCTGCCAAATACGATGTGCCTATTCCAAATCTCTGGAAACTCGCGCTTTCGCACTTTGATAACATCCTGTCCTACGCGAATCATCTGGGCATGTTTTCTGAAGAAGTGGCCATTTCAGGTGAGCAGATGGGCAACTCTCCACAGGCATTCAGCCACCTGGCCTGTATCAGCGCTGCAATTAATCTGGGAAGAGTTGGACGAGTCGGTGACTAGAGTCATCTCTCGCTCAAGTCGGTAGCAGCTATAGACTGACTATGATACTGTTGTCTTTAAAAAAATTGATTGATGCAATTCTATACTTTCTGCTTACAGTTAGAAAACAAAATACAACTTTGTTCCTTTTCGTTATTTAAGTCGCAATTCACTCTAATATGTACTTTTGAAGAAATTGGCTGTAACATAAACCAACCGCTCAACTCCGAACAGTATTGGTGTTTTGAATTGGGAGATATCTGTGTAGCTGTGGCAAATACAGCTAGATAATACACCTTATATAGCTTATATAGCCAAAATATTCTATAGTTATACCCTTGTCCTGGTGTGCAGAATGCTTACATAACGGTCCAGATGATCATCCGGGAGCTCCAGGGTGGCAACGGCTACCCCAGATTCCCTTTATATCATCTTTGATTGTTTTTGTTCAAAAACAAAAATATCTGAACAAAAGAACCTCCAGGGTGTGCTTCTCTTCAGCTTCTAGCTGGAGATGTCTTCGCCACTGACCTATTGTGCTTTATTACCCCCGCGTTCGTACAGGAATCCCCACTCTAATGGCAGGCGCCAGCTTGCATTGGGCTGATAAGCCTAACGCCGATCTCGCCTTGTCATCGGATGAAGAGGACTTTATTTCCAGCCCAAGCACTGCTTCAAGGGAGCTTGAGGACGTTGCCAAGCAAAATCTAACCCTAGCTTTAGGGAAATTGCGCTTGGAGCAAGAGGACTTGAATCGATCCTCCACACAGGACGCGACTCCAACAACTCCCCGCACAGAAGGTCCAAATCAAACCCCCCCCGAACTGGAAATGGCCACCCCTCTGCAGCTGTTGGATTTACCTTTGGACATTTTGAAGGAGATCATTAAAGAGGTAACACAGGTCTTCCCCACAGATCATGAATAGATAGCTTACGGTTTTGGTGTACAATAGGTGACCCATACGACTGACCTAACCTCGCTCGCTCTTACATGCTCTGCTCTTCATTCCCTAGCTATCCCGCATATGTACTCCCGTTTCGACATCGTCTGGCCCGAGTCGCTAAACCCATCAACGGATGACTATTCGGGGGTGGATGCTCTATCTTATGGTCTTTCAACATTGGTCATGGGCGAGGATGTATTCAATCGGATGCCGTTATTTCCATCTGGCCAAGCCAAAAATAGCTGTGCGAAGTGTGGTTGCAATAACCTTCATCATCAGCCGGACTCGGACCCTGGCGACAACGGAGTACGCATCTGGTCACGACGAGGCAATCATTATGCCCAATATACCCGCACATTCTCTATTGGAAATGGCCCGCTCAGCTGGGTACAAGAATACTCGGTGACCAAAGAGGTGGGTAAGATGCTAGGGACGCTGGTCGCCTTAGCAGTTGCACGGATGGTGAACCTCGAGGCCTTTGTTTGGGACATGCCGACTGGAGTGGTCCGTGAAATTTGGCTGGCGCTTGCATCATTGGCAGATCGGCCAGGGCACGATTGTCGCCTGGAGCGCATCTGGGTGCGCTGGCATGACAATTCGGAGAATGCTTTACGCAGTTCCTCGGCAGCGGCAACGAGGCTCTTCCAGAAATACAAACATGTGGAACATCCTTCCTTGTCCGTACTGCCTCCACTCAAGAGTGTGGCTGTTCTTGACATAGATGAACCCGCTTATGTGGAGGAGCTGGCAATTCTCATTGAGCGGTCACGTCGCTGTCTGTCTGAACTCCGAATTGGTATTGCCGAAAAGGCCCACATGAGTACATGGCTGCTTTGTGGGAAGGACTCTGATGGCTCATCGAGTTGGCCAAGAGCTGATGGTGTACTTGGCATCTTAGCACAGCGGAATCTTGACAAAAAGCAGGACAATACTATAATCGCCTCCCTTGAAGAGAAGTCGATGCCATCTGACGGTTCGATGAACAAACCACCAAACACTACGGGAAATGCAGCTCCATTCACTCCAAATGGGGAACAGCAGCCTGCCAGCACAACCAAGGACAAAAGGTCCACACCAAGCTCTGGTTTGCCGAACCGGAGCACCCACTCACCGCTACCTTCCTACAAACCTGACTGTGACATGCTTTATCTCAAAATCCTCGAGCTGGAGCGCGTACCCCTTTCTGTGCCAACACTACTGCCGGTTGTTGACTGGACTGGATTGACTACTCTTACCATTATGCGATGCGAGGATCATGAAAAGCTTTGGAGGGCCCTTCGTCGGAAGTATACCCCTCCTGCGATGCCAGCAAAACGTCCACAAGATCCAGATGATCAAGTAAGCGCCAGCTCAGTTGAATACTCACTAAATCTGAAACATATCCGCACGGACAGTGTTTCGCCTTATCTTATACTGTTTATCAAGGATGCGCTGGCTCCGAATACCCTGGAAAGTGTTTATTTGCATGAAGCCCCAGGTCACGAATCTGCTGTGCAGATCGATGCTATCTACAGGCACATTCTGCGAAAGCACAGGCAGAGTCTGCGAAAGGTATTGATTGACGCCACTGACCGTATAATTGGTCCCGGGTATTCAAGCACACGATGGCACAAGTGGATGTTCAACCACGACATGGTATCATTTGTCACGAGTGGAAAGATGCCGCAGTTGAAAGAGCTGGGAATGGCGATGCATTATCGTGATTGGGTAAGAGAATGATGTCTAGCATGAAATATTTCGACCAGACCTCGGGGGCTTGTGCTAATGATGACTCCGCAGCATTTCTTCCTCCAGAGATTGCCGAATATGCCCCAGCTTCGTGCATTGTATCTGCCACAAATCCACCATACCGTCCACCGTGACTTGAAAGAGCTTGCGCTGCAAGTTTTGGACATCGTCAGCATACGTCCAGACCTGAAGATCGCCTACATTGGTCTCCACGTCAAATGCTACCAAATTCTTGAAGCAAGAAATGACGATAATCCATTAGATTTCGATGATAACCCCGCGATTGATAATTCCCCGGCGCATAGCGAAGACGAGGATGAAGGATGGGCCAACACCAACCACGAATCTGGAGAAGACAGCGATGATTCCGACGATGCCTCAGGAGCAGCTGACACAGACCTCCTTTCCAGTGGCCCGGACGACTACGATACCGAACCCGACGAAGAACCGGGTGCTTCGCGGATTCGGTACCGGCTACAAGAGATTTTATTTTACGACGAAAAAGTTTCCATTTTCAAGGCACGCCACGGTGTTTTGTGATCTTATGGCTTGCATTCTATATGCGCAGGGGTCGTCTGGGCCATTTACGGCGTTTACGGGGGAGAGTACACGAGATACCATGGCTGTGTTAGCTTAGCACTAAGGTTATTTGCTGTCCTTGGAATAATGACAAGTCGTTTTCAGTCAAGGTTGGTTTATTTCATTTGAAAGTAATTGATGGGAATATCACATCTAGCATATAATGGGGATATTATATGTCAACATCTAGCTCTAGCTGCACAATGGTCAAGTGACTGTATATCATTTGGACCAACAACCCGCCTATCTCTGAAGACCATTCCCCATCAAGTGTATCATGATGTAGTTCTTGCCACAGTCATCAGCTCCCCATCCAGTGAGAATGCAATGCAGTACAGTGGTTTGGAAACACCCATCTATCTTTTCTCCCATAGAGTCGTGCCCCATGCCACTGCCGAGACAGCCAACAATCTAGAAATTAATGGCTTGTGATCCGGGGAAAACAGAAAACAAGTGATAGGCCTAGAGAGCTCGAGAGACGTTCTGAGGTACCCTGTCTCTGTATCCCACATGCTAACTCGATCTTCCCAACATGTTGCAAACGACTGGCCATCTGGGGGGAAGTTCATCTCTGGTAGGTAACAGTGGCCTATGGCGCGCAATAACACACCCCAGTGACTTTCAAAGACCGTTAATCATGATATATGATGGGGAAGCTCATGTTCAAACATCTTTCGTACTTTACAATATAGTGGAGCAAAAGTCAATGCAGAGTCATACACCTGAAGGGGAACTGAGGCTGCGATCATCATGTTTTTGAAGAGGAATCTTTTGGCACCAGACCAAAAATCGGAGAATGTAAGATCTGTGTTGGTCTGGATTATTATAAGTTATCTCTTTATGACCATTCTTGACACCAAAGGGGGTCACACTAACCTCAAAAATGGACTGTAAGAGGCCTATCAGACTCACAGTGTATGTGGTATAGTCCCCAGTAAGCTCATGGTCTCTATCCAGTGAAGAAAGGGTTCCTCAAGGAAAGTGTAGATTGCTTTGCTCCAAAGGTGTTTTCACTTTGTCAATGATCGACCGCGGAAGAAACGCCGCAAATTTATCGCCAGGGCCTGGTTAGTTTGGAAATGACCCCGTTTAGGTGATATGCCCAATAGCCACAAGCAGTATAAGAATGCAAGCGGGTTAACATGATACGTGGGACTTTGGTCCTATTGGCTTTTATCGCCATAAAGTTGGCGTTCTCATAATAATTGATTAGGGCACTCATGGTATATTTTATACATACTATGTACCTATGTTCCAATTTATACAAAACAAGTCCCCAAACGGCTATAGATCAGTCACCCCTCTCGCTCTTCATTTCGATAACAACAGTCTTCATAATATTTGACCCAGGCTCCAGCATAATCTTCTGACTGCTATGCCTATCAGTATGCGATGGCACCACCCTCAAGCCCGAACCATCAACAGGCCCACTCTTATCGCCGTCCTCATTCGTCCACATCTCAAAAGCCCTATCATCCCCCGGCCGCAACGTCTGCGATACCGCCGCATCATAGTCGTGTGGAGTCCAAGACGCGTCGTGGCACGGAGCTTGTCCGCAAGAGCGGGCATAAGATGAGCCCTTGAAGGTATTGTTGAACAAGGGACGTAGGGAGGGGGCAGATGCGGAGATGATGGCGACGTTGACTTCGACCTGCGACCAGATGAGGATTTGGATCGCATCGTAGGAGACGTCTTTTGTTATTGTGTATTTGTATAGTGCGCTTAGGCGGATGATGGAGGCGACAGAAGCGAATGTCCCGGTCAGTAAAATGGCGATGAGTGCGTCTGTTGCTAGAATTTGTGATTAGCCTATAACTTTTTATTGTGGGGAGTGCACATAGGCTGAGAGGGAATTGCTGACATTTTCGCCTGTTGCGAAGGTTAAGTTTCATGAGTAGTGGTAGCGGCATGATCAATATTACTACATCTGTGAGGATATTGATCCCGGCTGTGGAGAAATAAGCCTTGGGGAGATTGTTACAGCCTTCGGGGAAGCTTGGATCCCATGCGCGCCAGGGTTTCGTGTGGCATTCGAAGGCCTTGACGGGGTCATATCAGAACATGAATTGATAGGGGGATATGTCAGAGTAGCACACTCACATTGACAAAAATGCAAGTGATAGTGTAGACGAAGACAAAGAGTCCGACCCCAATGGTGGCTATTCGAAATTGCTTGAGAGCGAAAATACGATAGTACTGTGCCAAGATACTGAACTTGACCATACCCACTGAGAGGGGATAGACAAGCTGGTAAACATACCAGTGCTTGAGTGTTGGTATGAGAACTTCCTCCAAGGGTAAATCGCTGAGGTGACGACTGAGGTATGATGCCTGTTAGCGAGGCCATTGAGGGGGAGATATGATAGACCAGCAAAAAGACTAACCCTGTGCCCAGACTGACATGGAAGCCATTCATTATGCCCATGCTAATTGTTACGATCAACCCTGCCACTATTAGGTAGTCGTCCAGTCCAACCTTATGCACGAGAAACACCCGGCAGTAGACTCTCAGCAGGACGCTTATACATGAGAGCAATAGTAGCAAGGTCATGACCGCAAGAAAGGCAGGCTGTAACGAGCCATTGCTTGCTGTTATCCCGGCCATGATGGACCAGATAGAGGTAGAATCGAACTTGAGTTCGTGAGAGCGTTGGTAGCTATACGTGCATATGTGCGAGAGGCTGGGTCATTTATCTTATATCACCTTAGCGAGGTAATAATCCATGCGCGTTACTCCACATACTTTTAAAAGCCGGCTAGAAGCCCCTTGAATACGGAGCATATGCTATTATTACTTAAACCATTGTATAGAATATCTGGCCAAATTTCAAGCAATGAATCAAGTTCAATTGTTTTCCCAAAATTCCCACTCCAAATGAACAAGGCAACGAATCACAGAATCCGAATTAATATACAATACTGTATTCTATGACATTGGAAGTCCAGTAGATTATATCTAGGTTTTACCTACCTTGCAGGATGCAGATGGCCCTACGCTAATGCGGGTGCTAGTTCAAATGTAAAAAGCTAACTGTACAACCATTGGTGGGTAGTCTCCCCCCTGCTTATAGAGACTTGGCAGGGAGATTCGAGGGCTCGGATCAATTTGCGAACGCGCTATCATTAGGGCATATTGGTGAGGATACGGAGTAGAGTAGCTCGAATTATGATGTGTCCGACAAAATCGACCAAAGGAAAATCTGGGCTAGCGTCTGTACATATAATCTTATGTGACTGCCAACGGCCAATTTCGCCAAGATCTCAATGCAAATGTGTATGAGTACCGAGATAATCTGAAAGAATAGCTTGGACAGCTGGAAAGGCAGCCGTCTCTGTGTACATAACCGGAAGGGATAAACCGAAGGCTTTTGTTTACACGAATGCCTGAACCTCCAGTACTTAGTCTCGGGCCACATGGTTGAATGTGCCGGAAAAGCCGCTTTAGCGTTGCTCACCTAATATGTGATAGTCCAGATCGGCCCCGAGATGTTAAAAGAACACCTCTCCCTCCATCTGGTCGAGCGTGCAAATTTTAGATGACCAAAAATGCATTTGATCAAGTTCATTTCGCTAGGGCTTTTGCTTCTGGTGGACAGCGTTGCTTCATGCAATAACCCCCCATTGCGTAAAGAATGGTAAGCCACATGGCGGAGGCTGAATTGATTTGGCTTTTCAATATTGACCTTTTTGCTTTTTTTCTCAGGAGAGATCTGAGTATGCGCGAACGCCGCGACTATATCCGTGCAGTTCGCTGCCTGGCGGCACGGCCAGCTATGACTGGTCTCGAGAATGTAGTTACGCATTTCGATGATTTCCAAGCTACGCACAGTGACCAAACCCCCAATATTCACTGGGTGGTAAGTGCTCATCTTTCCCGATCTATCGATTGTTGATCATGCTGATCACATCACTATGCATAGGGTCACTTCGTCCTCTGGCATCGATACTACCTCGCTACCTATGAGAAGGCTCTACGAGAAGAGTGTGGCTACCAAGGTGGCCAGCCGTAAGAATACACTTTCTGTCGTTTGTAAATGCCTAGGAAATAATCCACTAACCCCAATCACAGCTACTGGAACTGGTCCCTGGATGCATCCTCGACAGACAACAGCTCCATGGCCATCTTTGAGACCGACATCTTCGACCCTGTCCGAGGATTCGGAGGAAACGGCAAATACATGCCGGCCAACGAGACGCAGAACCCCTTGAATCTGACCGGCCGAACTGGTGGCGGTTGTGTTGAGGATGGTCCCTTTGCTCCTCCTAACTTCATGCTTGCCGTTGGTCATCCCAAGGGACAACCCGACTGCCTTCGTCGTGACTATATCCCATCGATTATGAACTTCTTCTCACGCCAAAGTCTCGTAGACCATGTGCAGGCCCAGTCTGACTATACCACTTTTGCACGGGCACTTGAAAATATTCCTGCCTTCACTCAGCCTAATATCCATGGCGGTGGGCATTTCGGTGTTGGGGGCGTGCTCGGAACATTGGGTGACCAAGCTCTCAGCCCTGGTGGTAAGCTTTCTTCTCTTGGTTACTATGACTGTGTGTGCTGATAAGCCTAGATCCTCTCTTCTATCTACACCACGGGAATGTTGATCGTATCTTCTGGGAGTGGCAGCAGAAGGACCTGCCGACTCGCTACCATCAAGTTGGGGGCCCTGTAAAGTCGATGGATTATACTGGAGTGAATGTTACCCTCGATTTCGAGATCAACATTGGAAAGCTCGCCCCCAACGCTACACTTGAGAGTTTGCTTAATACTGAGGGTGGTACTTTGTGCTATAGCTACTGGAATAATGGTAAAAGCTAAAGGTATGCAGGTGCACAGAAAGGCTTTATGTAACGAGGTACATCATACTGTACATCATACTTCTCTTTGTATAGAAACCAATAAATTCAAGCTGTATAGACAATTCTACAGAACGTAGCAATACAGTACATACATGTACTATATGCCTGAAGCCCATTGATTCTCGCAACGAAATTTAAAGCTTTCGCAAATCTCAGTTTGGATCTCAGCCACGCTAGGCAAGTACAAGATTGATCAATTATTCTTTCCATTTGTATAATCGTAATATCGTAGTATTTCTATGTTTATGGTAAGTTTAAAAAAAGGGGGGTATCTAAGAGAGTTCGCTAGTGCTCAATTGATATATATATGGCAAAGCAGGCCGGTTCATGCAAACTCCCGGTGCGCATTCTCATACTGGGCACGAATTAGCTCGTTCTCGATCACGCGTCTCTTAGCATTTTCTTCCTCGCTAGAGTTGTCTTTGAACACATGGTCCATCTGCTCGAGAGTTCGACCCTTGGTTTCTGGCACAAAGAAGTAAGTCCACATTCCGGCGAGTATGCAAAAGACGGCGAAGAAGACGTAAGCACCGTAACCGGTGTCTTGGACGAGAGGCGGGGTGATGAGGCCCTGCATGGATAATTAGCAACTTCGACACATGGTGTAACCTAATAATGACAACGAGAAACTTACAATGATGAAGTTGTTGAGCCAGTTGGAGCAAGTTGAAAGAGCAACACCCTTTGCACGAAGGGAAGAAGGGAAGATTTCTGACTATGTTAGATTGGCGCTTGATAACAGGATGAAAGAAGAAAGACACACCGGAAGGCATAGCCCACGGGATAGGACCCCAGGAAGCCCCAAAGGCAAGCATGTAGAATAGTAGGAAGGCCACACTGGTCCACCCTTCTGCTTTGTGGGACGGCCAATCGGAAGAAAAAATCCCGACCAAAGCAGCAATAATAATGTGGGATACGGCCATGAGAGCTGCGCCAACTATAAGCAACTTGCGACGACCGACGACGTCCATAGTCCAGATACTAGTGGTGACACCCACTAACTGTACCACGTTGAGGACGCCGGACATGATCAGTTGCATGCTCGAATCGAGACCCATTGTCGCAAAGAGGGTGGGAGAGTAGTAAATCAGAGCGTTGATACCGATGAACTATCCATGTGGTTAGCATGTGTCGGTTATCTCCACATACAAAGAACTAACTTGTTGGAAGAATCCCAGTCCAATACCAATGTGAGTACGACGCCAGCAGCCCTTCCTGAAGCAATCGGCCCACGATGAAATCTCCTGCAGAATGGAGTTCTTTGTGCCACCACCTTGTAAATCTGGATGGTTTTCCCTGTTCATTTGCTGGTGGAAGCGAACTTCGGCCTGAATATCCATAAGCTCCTGTCGAATGCGCCTGTCGGAGGCTGGCAGGGAACGGAGTCTGCAAAGACTCTCAAGAGCTTCCTCATCGCGACCCTTTGAAGCCAGCCAACGGGGCGAGAACGGAAGAGCGTATACACCGGCAGCGAGGACAAAACCCGGGATCAATTGAAGTAGGAAAGGGAGGCGCCATGCCCATTCACCGACCATGTATTGTGTGCCATAGGTAATCCAAAAGGCAATCACAATGCCGAGGACAATGCACCATTCTTCGAGAACCAGGAGAGTACCACGGCATTCGGGGGGACCTAGTAGGAGAGATTGGAATAAGCATGTATATTACATATATGAGGAAGGAACCCTCCGAGGAGAATACATACTTATTTCGGAGATGTACAATGGTGCAACCATAGACAACATTCCGATTCCGACACCGCCAATTAGCCGAGCCACCGTCAACATGGGGTAACCATAGGCAGCAGTCTGAAGCACAGAGCCAACAGTGAAGATGGCAACGGCGACAAGAATCGAATACCGTCGCGAGATCTTATCCGCAATCCAGCCCTGGTTGAGAGCACCAATCAAAGCCCCCAACTCAATCATCGCCGTCAACAAACCTTTCGCAAAGCCTGAGCCCGGGTTACCCTCTTCTATCCGCGGAAATTCCGCCAAGAACTGGTCCATGACCAGAATCACCGACACAACACCTTGATCATAACCAAAAAGCAAACCACCTAGCGTTGAGCAGGCGGCACACAGGACCACGAACGGGTTGGCTGCCAGACCGCGCAGACCGGGTGGGCCATAGGGTTCGCGGTCTGAGGCAATGTTGTCGGCATGGTGAGAGAAGCCATCCACCACGGGATCATGGGATAGTTCTTTTGTAGCGGGAATGTCATCAGCCATTTTGAATGGAGATTGAGAGGGGAGTTATAGAACTCGAAGATTATGTGATTGAAGCGGCAAACGCTTTGATATTCACACTGTACCCAGGAGGCACTCCGATATTTATACCCATTCCCCCAAATTAACATGCTGGGGTAGTATAAAAGGTTAGTTTCCTCCGTGAATTGGGGCCTATAGGGAGCGTGCCCCTCCCCCGGCTAGAAAACCCAATGAGACCAGGGCTCGGGATCCAAGTCGGGGTAGATGACGAAGTAACCGGTTCGGCCAGCGGGGTTGGGGAAGATCGGCACCATTTGCGATTGTGGGGAAAACACGGAGAAGGACAATAGCATGTCGTCGATTGGTGGCGGCTATTGGTACAATTCTTGGACGTTTCAACTTCCTTTTGTGTCTATACTCGGCCTTTGAGAAATAAAGCTCTCAGCCACAACTTTATTGCGCCTGGCCCAGGCCAGGATAGGTCAAGTGGAAGACAAGCCTATCCCTGTAGGGCATATCCGCTTTTGCTTTGACCCTAGAAATAGTATGGTGGTTGTCACTACATCTTCAGTATTGATATCAGCTTCTGCTATCCTTTCACTCTACATTTGCCTATATATAGATAGTAAGATATCCAACAGGGGTTGAACAAAGCAATCACTATCACGAGATGCAGTGACGAAACCTGCCAAGTTCGAAGATACATATACATATGTATGATTAGAACTCTATCATTTTCGGGCCGGGGCATGCATTTCGGAAAGTCAAGTGACTATAAGCCGATCTATCCCGTGATGGTGTAAGACATGGGCCTGATCCCTTCATCTGACTGAATTAATAAGTAGAATAGGCAGAATAGGCAAAATAGTCAGTATAAGTAGAGTACTTAGATAATATCCAGAGCAGATTCCCCACGGGGTGTAGGGTAGATTCCTAGATTCCGAAAAATCCCCTTGAGAAGTTCGGAATTCATTGTCCACTTTGACGTGGAGAAAAGCCCAAGCTGAGCGGTGTCGTTTCCGGTAACCATTTTCCCCCCACGGATTCCAGTTCCCGACCCTCCTCACCCTGCAACCTTCGATTTCCCACTTCATTTTGCAAATAATGGCTTCCTTCATGGGGGACCTGTGGTCCAGCATCTTCACCCCAGGACCCACCCCAACGCTTTTGATCGCAACCAACGTCACCTTCGCCGCACTCCAGCTTATCTTCCTTGCACTCCTCCTAGCCACCTACAGCCTCCACTTTGTCGCCTTATCCACCATCAGCGCTGGACTATGGTGGGCCATCAACTGGTTCGCCGCCGAGGTGCAGCTTGCCCAACAGGCGCAGGAGGCCGAGAAAGCAAAACAAGAGGGTGACAACGCGAAGACGCGCCGGAAGAGCCCCGTAGGAGAAAGCGCCGACAGCGACACGGAGACTGAAGCCGTCGTCGCCAAGAAGACAGATAAGTCTACTGCTGTCACCACTGGGAGTGCAACGTCTGGGTTGCTGCCTACGGCGCGCGATCACAAGAAGCGGCCCAACGCCGGTGGTGAGGGATCTGGGTATGGGAGCACTGATAGTGAGTGGGAGAAGGTTGATGATACTCAGTCTTGAGGGATACTTGGCACTCCAGGATGCAACACGTTGCTTCGAAATATCTACACAAGTCTCAGTGGAACATGGTTGCACACTGCATGCTCACCAGGTCCCGGACCTTGCAACGAATGCGTAGGGCGCGTTTATGGTGATACAAACTCTGTCTCGACCTTTTGCATACCGTGGCTGGGATCTGGATTTGATTTTGGATTTGGATTCGTATATACGCAATGCCCTCTTGTCTATTTGTCTTGGATCGATACCCCATACTATGTAGATGGTGAAGTTTACAGCAGCTCGCGCTTGGTTTTGATTTCAGCAGGAGTTCAATACCCTATTTCTCTCTGAATACATTCATTAACAATAACATAACAATAAAAACAACCCATTTACCGTACAAAAGTGAGTATGTAAACAAAACCAGTGGAGTTGAAGCTTTAGCAAAGCATCCACGTGACCTTCCTTCAATCCAAACATTGAACTCCGTCGCAACATAACAGAGGCAACCATCGAACACAATCGAAGCAGCAACCCAAAAACTTAACAGCGAGCTGCATCTCACAATGTCCGATGTCCCTTGATCAAAATGCTTTCAACCGTACCCCTCAATGTGGGACGTAGGCGCGTCTGCGGCTCCGTCTTCTCCCCCGCGTCTCTCGAAGCCCACCCGCCGAAGTCGACCTCGGATTTCCAACACGAGCAGACACCAATCGCGTCATTCCAAGAATCCACCGACTCCTCATCGACCTTCAAAGCAGACTCGCAATCAACCTCATTTGCGACGATTGGGGGATCGACAGACGCTGCATCCCCAGAGGAAGACACATTAAACCAGGCGCGACAGGCGGCGAAAGAGTTTCTATCTGTGCCCAATCTGGGATTCGAGTTACTTTACAACTTCCGGAATACCGATGGAACCCAGGTGTTGAAAGAATGGAACCGGCTCAGCCCTCCGTCGAAGGAGATGGCCGAGGCGCTGGAGTATCTTATGCGAGCTTCTCCGTGGACGTTGTTTGAATGGTATGGGAATGATATTCGGAGGCATTTTCTGGTTAATTTTCGGACAGGGCTATCTAAGGTATGAAAATTGAATTTGGTTGGTCTGTCCATGCTAACGTTCTTGCAGCTGTTGAAGTCCCCGGGAGAAGGTCTGCTCCGCACAATCGTGGACTGCCTACAGCTTGCGCGTCGGATCTATCTCGCTCCCGTCGTGCAATACCTGCTTCCGTTAATAGCTACTCCCCACCCAGGAGGGTTCTTGGCTCAACTACAGCGTGCCTTTCATACAGTGGTTCAATACAGTCTACCATGGAAGAAGATTTCGCCGCTTCTCGCCAGAGAGCTTACGCAAGATGCTGTGATTATCTTAGGCATCGATACCTTAGACGAGGATTCTGATGCGGACAGAATGAGTCTTGATGGAACGGAGATGGAACGGGCATACTCTGTCTCGTACAAAGACTGGAGGCAAGAGTCACCCGAAGCCCAGACACATATGATGACAGAGGGGGAAAATAGCTGTGTGACCATGGCACGGGATCGACTTTTGGCGTTTCTCAACGGTCTGCAACTTGTCGGTCTTGGCGGTGACCAGGCCCAGAAGGTCTTCGCCAACGTGATGAACGTTATGATGGGAGACTTCATTCGCGCTGCATACGCGGGTGAGTGGGAGTCGCCCTCAACCGCACCGCAGCACCTGGAACAATGGGTCGAAAATGTCTATGCACGGCTGGCTGTGCAGGTTCTTGCCATCATCCATTCCGACCCCACTGGAACCCAATCCGGGGCAATGGAAGTGAGCTTTCGCGACGTTGAAAAGTGGCAAGTGATAGGTATTGCCCGGCTGGGAAAGCTGCGAGTTAGTGAGCTCTTTGATGTGGTTGTTGATTGGCCTGTCAGCAGCGGGGCGGTGGAGGATCTGCGACGTTTCACAAGCAACTCGTCTGGAGCACGATTGTATGTGACGCATTTCTTTTCTATTAACTTGCTTCAGCGGTTGCTGCACCCCGGTGCTTCCACAGTTGAAATCTTGCAGGTTTACATCTCGATCATTCGAGCATTCCATATCTTGGACCCCAAGGGTGTTCTGCTGGATCGCATCGCTCGACCGATCCGACGATACCTGAGAGACCGCGATGACACCGTCAAGGTGATTGTTAGTGGTCTATTGGCGGACCCCACGGCAGCCGATGGACCGGCAACTACCGGCGACACCTTGACAGAGCTGGCGGCAGAGCTGACCAAGGTCCACCAGCATTCCATGCAAAACAATAGGAGCGAACTAGACTATGACGATTTGTACTGGGTGCCTGATCCAGTTGATGCTGCTCCCGACTATAAAAAGTCGAGGAGTGTAGATGTCATTGACAGTCTGGTTAGCTTGTTCGACTCGAAGGAAACCTTCGTGAAGGAAATGCAGACTCTTCTCGCCGACCGCCTCATCCAAAAACGCCAGAACTACGACCAAGAGATTACAGTACTAGAGCTCCTGAAGGTCCGATTTGGTGATTCGGCACTACAGGCATGTGAGGTGATGCTGAAAGATATCGCCGACTCGCGACGTCTCGACCTCACCGTACGGAATGATCAGATATTGTCTGGACATCGGAAGGAAGGAGGCGTTGGAAAACTCCACGCCAAGATTCTATCACGCTTCTTCTGGCCGGAGTTCCAAGAGCAAGAATTCAAGGTCCCCGATGAAATCATCGAACTGCAAGAGCGGTACGCGACTTGCTTCGAAAAGCGCAAGGACTCGCGCAAGCTCATGTGGCGTAACGCGCTGGGTCAGGTCACCGTCGAGCTGGAGCTGGAGAACCATACCTTCAAAGACGAAGTGACAACCTGGCAAGCAACCGTAATTTATGCCTTCCAGTCTGACTCAAGCGAACCCGCCACAAAAACAATCCCGGAACTCGCCGACGAGCTCGAGATGACACCGCCCCTTGTACGCAGCGCCTGTCTCTTCTGGGTCAGCAAGCGCATCCTCACCGAAGTACACCGCGACACGTTCCGCGTGTTGGAAATCCTCCCCACAGAAGAGGAGGAACACCATGCGCACACAGCCGGTGACTTTAGCGACGCCTCGGACAGCGAAGCAGGCGACACGGCCAACGCAGCCGCAGCGGCTGAAGCAGCGGCAGCAGCGGCAGCAAAGGAATCCGCCGAGGCGGCTGCCATGGAGAAAATGAATGTCCATTGGCAGTTCATTGTGGGCATGCTCACGAATCAAGGACCAATGGCTCTGAATCGGATTGTTATGATGCTGAAGATAGCCGTTCCTGGTGGGTTCCCCTTCAGCAACGAGGAGTTGCGCGAGTTCTTGGGTGGTATGGTTTCGAAGGGCAAATTGGAGATTGTCAATGGGGGTAATTACAAGATCGTGCATTAGCACCAGGCGTCTATTGAGTGTGGGCTTTTTTTTCTTCTCTTTCTTTGGCGTTGCTGGAACAGATGTACAAAATACCCTTTAAAGAATATGATTTATGAATGATAGATAGGCTAGGTAGGTGTAGGGTCTTCACATCTAAATCTGCCTGACATTTTTTCATGTTCTTCCTTATCACATCAACTCGCTTTACTCACATATTCAGACACAACTTCCATCCTTCAAGTAATTTGACTTGCTTTCCCCCACAATCCTTTGCAGCACAGGGTTTGGTCTGACCTGAGCCACACAACTATAGAGAATAAACATAATGGGAAACAGGCACTCGGCAACAAACAATGAGGAACGAAGAGTGTAAATCAACCCAAGAGAGATCGGACACCGGGTTACGGAGAGCTATCTCATGGCAAGAACAAGAGATCCGCTCAAACAGCATGGTGTTCAGCTCCTGACCGTCAATAGACAGTCATAGTTTCAGATTGGCTGTGCATTAATATTCTCCGCTGGCGATTCTTAATCTACTATCTTAGAGGGGGCAGAAGATCACCAAATTCATTTGCTATGTACAAGAATACAGCTAACTGTAGTGTAATTTATTAAGATAACATAACATATTCGGTAAGCGGGTGGTCCATGTAAGCCAGTGGTCCACCCCAAAACACATAGTAAATGCGATAAATTACAATTTGATATCTCAAACAACGATGGTTTGTGTGGACTTTTCCTTATAGCTGAATGCTTTTTATATGCTATCTCTACACTCTAGGGAGTTTAAAGAAATTTAGTAAACTTGTGAGGTTTATATATACTCTAGAGCTTTTGCCGTGTAATTTTCGATACCGCAATAATGCAAGTTTTCGATTTATTCGAAATTGATATATACTACTAAGAATGCTTATCGGTAGCTATCGGCAAGTAATTAAATAAAACAAAGACGTTGGTTGTTGAGATAGAAGTGTAGCAAATATCGCATCTACTATGTGTTTCGGGGTGGATCACTGGCTTACATGGACCACCCGCTTACCGAATACGTTAGCAGTTTTATACGTCTAAATTAGGAAAGGTGAACTTTTTTAATGTAAATGAGGGCGGGCAGCTAAATGGTTTTAATGAGATCGCCTATCCTGCTGAAGGGGCCGAAGAGTAGGGCGGCAAGAGGGACCTTGGGCTCTAAAATTGTTTATAAGTCTAGATTTTTGTGTTGACCTGTGGGGGAGAGTAGAGAGATCCACTAGCGGAGTAGACAAATGACGCACTGTCAAACTAATACATCCCTTTGTATTGATAATGGGCAGGTAGAGTAATAAGTAATAGAATAGAATCGGTATCTCGGAAAGCAAATGTCTAATGCAGCCGTTTAAACGCCCGGTGGAACCCCGGGAATGAGGTCGATGTTACGCACTTTTTTCACACTTGGACCTAGTATGATCGTCAGAAAAGTTTCTGCACATGCAAACTAATCAAGTCTGCAGGGACGAACAAATACGTGTATTCGGTACGGAGTACATAGGGGAAATAATCTCATCCACGTGGAATTGGGAAATGATCGGTAAATTTCGGTACATGTCTTAGGATTACAGTTCATAATACAGAGCACCATTACTATTTACTTCTATTAATTATGTTCAAGGGCGTTTAACTAGTACGACATACGGAACACGGGGGGTGTTAATTATATCCAATTGAGAACCCAACGGGTTGCAAGATGTCGTTATTATCTTCTCCCTTACCTCTATTACATTGGTAGGCTCCCAGATTTTAGCCGATCGGGGGGCCGATTTATGGGGGTCCACCCTGTTCACTGACCTTGGGAGTATTTCACAGCACAGGATGACTCAGTGGATACCCAGTGTTCACAAACCCTAGCCTTGGAAGGTTTTAATATTGACCATCCTTTTTGTTGATTGCCTTTGCATTAAAAATGTATTGACATGTCCGTCAGAAGATGGCCAATTAAACATACATGGCTAGGTTATTTTCACGAGGTATCCAACATCTTGTCGAGCTATGAATACAGTGAAAAGGAAACTCATTGGAGTTGGTATAGACAAGCGTAATAAAGGTCTCGATCTTCACCGACACAGATAGCATTGTTCATCCATGGTGGTGCCGTGCTTATAGCTTCTTGTCATATCCGTCGTTTTGGCGTTGAGACTGATGTGTCTTCTGCGACTTGCCTGCCTCTTTTTGACCATCAAGTATCGCGAATGATCTAGAAGTAGCTTTTAAGGGCTTTTTGCGGCCAAAAGCAACTCGTTCGAATTGAAACGCGTTTATCAGCTTAGGAAGGTGACCTTTACCATTCATATAGGATGTAACCCTGCGAGGCACAAAGTATGGCCACGATGGTTGTGGATCGGCTAAATCCAAGAGGTAGCATCTAAAATACATATTTAATCTAGATAAGAGAAATAGGGAAGAAATAATTATTTTCATAGGTACTTGGAATGCTTAACCTTTGCAGACGCTACTGGAAGTATGGCCGGATGATTGTGGTCGTGTGAAAAATATTTTACAGGTTCAATAAGGGTCCTTATTAAATTTTTAAGAAACTATTAAAACATGATAAAACCGCAATTTTGGACAATCTGTGCGGACATGATAACTAACTGTAATGTAAACTTTTATGTAGAAATCACTTCGCATGGTTGCGTGATCTTCTGGGTAAGCTGCCCTGTATCGAACATTATCGGTTTCGAGTACTAAGCATGCAGAATCAAGAGAAGCCTAGGTCATCAGCGAGTTCCATAGGTTAACCGCAGCCTGGCCAGTGAGGCCAGCAGTTGCCTCCTTCGCGGCATAGCACTGATCAATAGTGGCCTGCGGCGCATTGCATGGGCTCCTGAGACGGTTGCAGATGAGATCTTGCGGGGTAGCGATGTCATGTGAAGAACCGAATGGGAAGTCTGACTGGTTGTTGGTGGTGTAGGCCCACTCATTGCGATTATCCAGGCCATACTCATACCTGATGGTCGGGTCCGAGCAGGTACCGTAGTCGAGTGTTGGAGTTGGAGTAGGTGAAGTGGTGGTAGTTGTGGTGGTTGTAGGTGAAGTAGTGGAGGTGGTTGCTGTAGTAGTCGGCGAGGTAGTGGTAGTTGTAGTGGTTGTAGGTGAAGTAGTGGAGGTGGTTGCTGTAGTAGTTAGTGATGTGGTGGAGGTGGTTGCTGCAATAGCTGGTGAGTTGGTGGAAGTTGTGGTGGTTGTAGGTGAAGTAGTGGAGGTGGTTGCTGTAGTAGTCGGTGAGGTAGTGGTAGTTGTAGTGGTTGTAGGTGAAGTGGTGGAAGTGGTAGTGGTTGTAGGTGAAGTAGTGGAGGTGGTTGCTGCAATAGCTGGTGAGTTAGTGGAAGTTGTGGTGGTTGTAGGTGAAGTAGTGGAGGTGGTTGCTGCAATAGCTGGTGAGTTAGTGGAAGTTGTGGTGGTTGTAGGTGAAGTAGTGGAGGTGGTTGCTGTAGTAGTCGGTGAGGTAGTGGTAGTTGTAGTGGTTGTAGGTGAAGTGGTGGAAGTGGTAGTGGTTGTAGGTGAAGTAGTGGAGGTGGTTGCTGCAATAGCTGGTGAGTTAGTGGAAGTTGTGGTGGTTGTAGGTGAAGTAGTGGAGGTGGTTGCTGCAATAGCTGGTGAGTTAGTGGAAGTTGTGGTGGTTGTAGGTGAAGTAGTGGAGGTGGTTGCTGTAGTAGTCGGTGAGGTAGTGGTAGTTGTAGTGGTTGTAGGTGAAGTGGTGGAAGTGGTAGTGGTTGTAGGTGAAGTAGTGGAGGTGGTTGCTGCAATAGCTGGAGAGTTGGTGGAAGTTGTGGTGGTTGTAGGTGAAGTAGTGGAGGTGGTTGCTGCAATAGCTGGTGAGGTAGTGGTAGTTGTAGTGGTTGTAGGTGAAGTGGTGGAAGTGGTAGTGGTTGTAGGTGAAGTAGTGGAGGTGGTTGCTGCAATAGCTGGAGAGTTGGTGGAAGTTGTGGTGGTTGTAGGTGAAGTAGTGGAGGTGGTTGCTGCAATAGCTGGTGAGGTAGTGGTAGTTGTAGTGGTTGTAGGTGAAGTGGTGGAAGTGGTAGTGGTTGTAGGTGAAGTAGTGGAGGTGGTTGCTGCAATAGCTGGTGAGGTAGTGGTAGTTGTAGTGGTTGTAGGTGAAGTGGTGGAAGTGGTAGTGGTTGTAGGTGAAGTAGTGGAGGTGGTTGCTGCAATAGCTGGTGAGGTAGTGGTAGTTGTAGTGGTTGTAGGTGAAGTGGTGGAAGTGGTAGTGGTTGTAGGTGAAGTAGTGGAGGTGGTTGCTGCAATAGCTGGAGAGTTGGTGGAAGTTGTGGTGGTTGTAGGTGAAGTAGTGGAGGTGGTTGCTGCAATAGCTGGTGAGGTAGTGGTAGTTGTAGTGGTTGTAGGTGAAGTGGTGGAAGTGGTAGTGGTTGTAGGTGAAGTAGTGGAGGTGGTTGCTGCAATAGCTGGAGAGTTGGTGGAAGTTGTGGTGGTTGTAGGTGAAGTAGTGGAGGTGGTTGCTGCAATAGCTGGTGAGGTAGTGGTAGTTGTAGTGGTTGTAGGTGAAGTGGTGGAAGTGGTAGTGGTTGTAGGTGAAGTAGTGGAGGTGGTTGCTGCAATAGCTGGTGAGTTGGTGGAAGTTGTGGTGGTTGTAGTTGAAGTGGTGGAAGTGGTAATTGTTGTGGTTGTACTAGTCGGTGAGGTAGTGGTAGTTGTAATTGTTATAGGTGAAGTAGTGGAGGTGGTTGCTGCAAGAGCTGGTGAGTTGGTGGAAGTTGTGGTGGTTGTAGGTGAAGTGGTGGAAGTGGTTGTAGTTGGCGAGCTAGTACTTGTTGTGGATGTTTTCGGCGAAGTAGTGGAAGTGGTGGTTGTTATAGTTGTTGCCGGTGAAGTTATCGGAGATGAAAAACTCGTTGTGGGTGACGTAGTTATCGAAGAGGGTGGTGAGGTAGTACTTGTGGTTGTTTCTGGTGAAGCAGTTGTCGATGAACAACTCGTAGTGGTAGTCTGAGAGGTTGGCGAACTAGCGGGCAAAATACTCGTAGTTGGCTCGGGACTCAAAGTATCACACGAGGTGCTATGCTTGGGATGGGTAGCCCAGCTAGGTGGTGTTCTATCTCCTTGATGATCCCCCAGATTGTGGAGCTCCTCATCATGATTATCATTGCCCCATTTGTGAATATTCTGGAATGGATCTGTCGGGGCGGCATTCTCCAAGAATACCAAGGAATCCCTGTTCCACGGGGCTGGAACATCCCTTGACACATGCTCGAAGGGCGTTGCCTCCACACTCTCAGCTGACCCATCGACATGGCCTTCGAGATTGACTCTGTGCGGGTGACAAAGAGATTGCCCGATCAAAAGCAGAGAAGTGACAGCGGCGGTTGCTATTCTCATGTTGGCGGTTTTTCTTTATCCTTTGGCGATTTTTGGCTAAAATTGCAGGAAATATCATAACTTCACGTCTTTTTTATATGATCCAAGAGGATTTTAAGCTTCCAAACTTCCATGTTTTCATACGTGTATGACACAACCCCATTGAGGGTAGATATTCATAGACCCGGATGACCTAACGACAAACACTATAATCCTGACTAAAAGACACTAAGATTGTGTAATGTTCATAGTGATGTTACTACCCGTAAGGGGCCACCGAGCCATATGGAGTTGGGCGGATGTGACATTATAGACTACAAGTTTCTTCTAACTTGTCCAGCAATTGATGCATTACGATGAACCATAGACGTTGTTTCAAACACAAACCATTGATCTCTAATAGACAGAATTCTCCGCAATTAAGTAAATCCTATCTCTTTCATCTCTATCGAGTCAATCTCTATCGAGTCAATCTCGCAACCATGGGCGGCTTTATGATCAAAGAGAACAAACGCCGGCCGAAATCTCGAAACAAATCACTTGCTACACAGATAGCCCTTGTTATTCTATCAATATGGCTCTGCTACAATATTGCACTAAGTTGGAATAGTAAGTGCCAAGCCGGATATCACTTATGGTCTGTAAAGTTTACAGTAATACCAGCCACAGCCAAGCAAAACGCATCCCAATTCTACCAAAATGACCTTGCAGAAGACACTCAACGGTCGACCGCCGCACTAACCGATAGCCTCTCACGCATGCTCCTCCTCCTACCCGACGAAACGGAAACAAAGCAACTCCTCAGCCCTATCGACACAACCGGTGAAGCCAGACTACACGACTTCGGCCTCCGTACAAGACAATACAAAATCTTGTTTGAAGTCTGGACAGAGCTACACACCACAAACTCGAACGCAGACATCTCTATCCGAGACGACATACCCCAAAAAATACGAACCAACCCCCGACTCTCCACCGCCCTCTCCACAAATCCTTCCAACCTTCTCCACGCCTATGAACAATACCGCTCAGCCCTTGCCCGTCTCCAAACCTTCCTTTTCCCCTGGACATTACCCTACCATGCCGACCACCTTTCTCTCCATCATGCCCTCTCAAAAGGCGGCCGAGGCCTCGTCTTCACAGCAGGCACCCATCAACTCCCATACCTCCTCACCTCAATCCCAATACTCAGAAACCTAGGCTGCACCCTCCCAATCGAAGTCTTATACCTTGGCCCAGAAGACCTCAGTCCCGAAGCGCAACGACAGCTTGAATCTCTACCGGGTGTGCTGGCGCGCGACTTAAGTCTCATGATCTCAGATGAGGGCTGGACGCTGCGTGGATGGGCAGGGAAACCATTCGCAATCCTATTTTCCAGTTTCCGAGAAGTGATATTCATCGATGCAGATGCGCTGTTCTTGCAGAATCCGGAGATCCTTTTTGAGGATCCGGAGTACAAACAGACGGGTGCGTTATTCTTTAAAGATCGTCGTATCATGCCGGAGGATAAGAGTGGCTGGATGAGAAAGGTCTTGCCCGCTCCTATTTCTGAGATGGCGAGGGGCTCCAGGTTTTGGAAGGGGATAAGTGGACATATGCAGGAGTCTGGGGTTATGGTTGTTGATTCCTGCAGACATTTTGTGTCATTGCTTCTAGTTACGAGGATGAATGGGCCTGACCGGGATGGGAATAAGGAGAAAGGTCTGAGAGGGGTTTACGATATGCTTTTCGGTGAGTTTCTTGTATTGATTGCTGTCTGTTTCCCTTTTATCAAAGATTAGAGCTGACAATATACAGGCGATAAGGAAACCTTTTGGCTTGGCTGGGAGCTTTCTGGGTCCACATCATACGCATTTCACAAGGGAAGGGTCGGAACTATGGGCACTGTCCAAGTAAACGGACCAACACGCGGGCGACGTCTCGACGAAACAGACTCCGATTCGATTCATTCAGTCTCTTCCGAGAGCATTGAGAAACCTCCGCGGATCCAGCCCGCTTTGAGTACACGGCCTCGGGAGTATACGATCTGCGCACCGCAGCTACTCCACTTGGATCTTGCTGGGCGGCCACTGTGGTTTAATGGTTGGCTCTTACAAGATAAATTTGCAGACTCTAAGAATCAGCAGCCTGGAAAGTTTGAGAGTTTTGTACATGAGCAGCTGGAGGATGAGAAGGATCCAGAGAAATGGAAATTACATGGGAATAATGTTTGTTGCTTGAGTTCGAAGAAGGTGGCGACGTTTTTGGAGGATGAGACGGAGACTTTGAAGATGATGGTTAGGGTTGCGAGAAGAGTGGGCGTCTTTGGTTCAGATTGGCTTGATACATGATTGATTCGCTGTTGCATGTTTTCCGTCATGGCGTAGTAGCAGCATACTATTGGGGCGGTCCGATATAGTGGCGCCTCGTGGCGCACCGTTATTTACTTCTAAAGGGAGGAAAAGTAGATTTTGTTCCATAAGCCATTTCTCTATCAAAGAAAATCAGTACTATAATTGAGCATATTAGGTAATACTAATAGTCGTTCCTAGGATTCTATAATTTCTACTATCGATTTATCTAAGGATATAGCTCTATCTCGAAGCCCCTATGCCGATTAATTAGGCGAGATATCACGTTCGAATGGTCTACTAAGTACGAGGAGGCATTCTCACTTATAAAGGAGAAGCTAGTTAATGATAGACTTCGGCACAACCCACTCTAACCCAAAATGGGTTTTAGGTCAAATTCTATAGCCTAACGATGGGTTTTGGGTTATTAGCTATAACCCAAAACCAATTAACTAGATAACCAATTAGGGCAATAATATATTGTAAACCAGATAAACATACTTCTAATGTATAACTGTATAATTAATGCATTTTTAGCTTATAATATTGAGCATTTTACTTATAGCGCTCTTCCAGAATAAATTAAATGATTAAACCACTATGTATTTTTCTAATATTACTTAAATCATCATCTACTCTACTCTTACGTTTCCTCCCTAACGCCCGTGTCTAAGTTATAGTCTCTAGTAACTATGGCTCCGTCACCTCGATATGTATTAAATGAGGAGATATCTCTCGCGGTCTATTATCCAATCCCTCCTCCTCTTTATTATCACTAATTAGGTTAAGCTAAGTATCCTCTATATAATTATCGTTCTGATCCTCCGCTGTTATGGGACTACGTCGTACGTAGCCCTGTATTGGATGCTTGCTATATTACCTGCTGTGTATTGTCCCAAGTATGCAGACTCGGTATTTGACAATATAATAAGGCACAGGCGCACACAAAACAGCAATTTCTCGGACTCAAACTTCTCTAGTATCAAGACCAGATCCTCAGTTTTGGTTGACAATAGCTTTTCCATTCGGCCACTTCTGACAAGGAACAGCATAAGTATAATCTTAAATCCGAATGCTCCCACACTTCTATATGATCGGTCGAAGAGAACCTACGGGCTTTTATCTGCTATCTATTATATTGAGTTTATTAATTAGGCAGCAATGGTAAAGGTTGCGGGCAAGCTAGCTAACTAACTTGTTAAAATACATAGAGCAAAGAAAGAGGGGGGGGGAAGGAGAAGCCGTCTTTAATAATGAAAGCATACTAGAGCAAATTCTTCACCACAGACGATATTGTTCAACGGAAGATAATCTTTCAAGATGTCAAACCGCCGGGGAGAGACTCATACGGTGCAGTGCCCGACGGGCTACTGTCCGCAAATCTTCTATCTCAAGATAGACCATATTGTTCGGAGGTTGGGTACGTACTGGGTCAGGCAAGAGGGAAGGGACGAATGCTTCTTGACGAGATAATTCAAGTCTTTGAGGGGTCATAGTTCCAGTAGGTGCAGGGAAGATATCCTAAACGCCATTAGCAAATTGACCAATAAAACTCGAGCACTTCAGCATACTTCTCTCTGTCGCCGTACGGGTATGCCTTGCCGATCACGTACATATAGCTCCACGAATCCACTCACAACTCTTGTTTGTCGGTTTAAGTTCCATTTGAGAATTGTGACAGCGCGAATATCTCCGTTACCGCCGACCAGCAGAAGATTCATGTCATCCATTAATGCATCCCAAGACTCGCTCCAGCCTGTCTTAATAACGAAGGACGGGAGATGGTCGTAAATCGAGCGGACGAATAGATCAGGTTCCTTGCGTGACGACCGATACGGACCTTCAACGAACAAAAGTACTGTAGCAATTTAGTATATAAGAAGTCAAAGAGAAGCCTGTATACGGTATCTTACTCGTGCCAACGAGGACATCAAGTTGCACATGTTCACCATCGGTCAAGTCACCAATCCTCCGTAAGTTGGTCTCTGACAAACGCCACCAGCTTTGAGAACAGTTGTGTACTTCAGTCGGCATGACTCTAATTCGTAAAACTCCGATTAACGAATCATAAGTTTTTCTAAGAGAATAGGTGTTAATGAAATTTGACGAGAGAGCACATATGGGCTGTGATAGCTTACCTGATAGAATATCCGTCATCGGTTTCATTGATCAAGTCCACTATCCGCTCTCCCCACGATGAGTTGACATCCGTGAAAACCAATACTTGAGATTCAGACGCGCTGCGAATTTCTTTCAGGACATGATATTCAAAGTCCGTCTGGTCGACGAATTCTGTCGCGGAAGTGCTGCTCATTCCTGGGAAAAGTGGTGGGCTAGATTTTACGGGAGAGTCAGGCTCCGAATGGCGCTCCATGATCGGCTTGGACTAGGGGACGTGGTTTGGAAATCGCGGAAAGAACTGTAATGGAAAGAGCTGTAGACTGTGTGGAGAAGGATGTCAGAATACAGAGATGAATTACGTGAGACAGGGTAATTTACCCCGAAAAGCATATGACCAGTGGTACTCGACATACCAAAAGTGTGTATTACAGTTAGTGATTGTTGAAATAGTGGGTTTTGTCATTTAAAGTTAATAGTCTTCGATATCTGCTATTTTTACCATACGTTTGTGGTACGCTTGATTTCTGTCAAAGGAGGTTTGTGGAGTTGTGGAGCTGTGGAGCTGTGGAGTTGCGGGAGTGGCGGGAGTGGCGGGAGTGGCGTAGGGACCCGCAAGACCGGTCACGTGTACATGGTAACAGGTGCCGAATATCAAGACTCATTCCATTCAGACTTCACAGCCAGTTAGCGAGATAATCCGAAAAGAAGCCCAGATTCCTGAGACTTCCTTTTATCTCCCTACGTGGACTTATAACTTGATAGGGTATTTCTTGATATAAAGAGGTACACGCGCACGCAGTGTGACTAAAGCGTAGTAGGAATACTGATGATACTTGAGTTAGGTCCATATGCAATACAGAGATCTGTGGTCTCAAGAACCATGTAATTCCAAAGTTGGACGTTGGTTTCATCCCTTTAATTCCAAAAAGGTCGCTTGAAGGCCACGGTTGCAGTAAACCTCGAGTGAACCCTTACGGTGTTATAGCCGAAAGGGACTCATTTCTTTATCTTTAAGAATAAGCTAAATTAAAAGGGGCATCGATCCTCCTATGTCGGTAAGCCACTCCGAAAGTGTAGGCGCGATCCTATTAGCTGCGAATCTTCGATCGACGTGCTCGGCCCCCCCGAGATCCCTGTCTAGCACTTTCAGTGGATTTCCGGGTTTTCGGCCAATGATGCCTAGATCTCGGTCCTATATGGACTTACCCTTTGGAACAGGGATCGCGGTTCAGGATGTCGAAAATAATGACTCGCTGTGTTACCGTCTCGGACCTAATGGAATGTGAAGGCGGGGCGGGCTCTCTTTATACTGTGGATGTTACTCGTAAAATGGTTGATTATATTAAGATGCCAGTCTCGATCTCCTACCGAAGCCTGAAAATTCCCACAACCACTGTTTTTCCGCATATGAGAGAACAACACACCCAGACTACATATGAACAGGACGATTTTGCTCTAGCCCTTGCCCTTGTTCGAGGTTCGCCAGGTATGGCAACTGAAGTGTATCCCATATGTGCGATTTTTCGATTGCGGTGTTCTGATCGGGAGCTTTTAGGGATGCTACACGACGTAGTCTCCGCCACAAGTTGAAACAAGTTGAGCATCTGGATTATAAACTTTCAGGTGTTATCAAATATATAGTTCACATTCACCGCGCACTGACAGATAACCAGGAACTCGGGCACTATCTCAGCCGCATACATGCGACTGTATCAAAACAAAGTGTTGGATTATAAAGAGAATCCAGGCAGGGTTCGGGACCCATTAATACCCATATCCAACGAATCCCCTTTCTTCCTTTCTCCTCCCCCTCTTTGCACTAATATTTTGTATGAAATGTACTCTTCTGCTTGGATAATCTGGCAGGTAATCAAAGTCTTATAAATAAATTGTTAAGTCTCTTGGAAGACAGATGAGAGGATGGTAGCTGGTAAAGAATAGGTTCTCTTTGGAGCATATGCTTGCAAATATTTTTGACGTATGAATTTCGAGAAGCAGCCTGTTATGATCAAAACAACATCCCTGTGAGAAAAAATCAGTACGGGAGGGGAAGGACACCTTAGCGGTTCAAGGGCGTGCAGGATATTCAGCTGTAGAATAGTGGTGTTCAGGGCATTCAGGTGAATGGGCTGAAGGGACTAAAGAGTAGGGCGACAAGAGGGAGTTTCTGAATAAAATAGAATCAAAAACGTAAAAACATACAACAGCATGTCTAAGGTGGTGGTCACCTAGCGCCCACGGTTCAGGCATGGATTCAGGGCAGTCAGGATAGATATTCAACCCGTATAGCAAAGAGTACATTTCCTATTATAACTAAAAAAGCTAAAGCACCGTTCCTTTCCTCTCCGTTTTATCACTCCAGCCTTGATTTATCACGAGCAAGATACGTACTAAGTAGACCTAATCTTGAAATATATGGCTAATGTTATAGATTTCGGGGCGTATAGTAATAATGAAATCTAGCGGGTAGTGCTACCACGAATAGAATCTAGTTATAGTTGTAAGCTGCGTATTTTCCATGAGTATGTCCTAGCTCTAGGAGTAGAGAAGCAAATCCCTAAATTATACCTATATCCCTAGTTTTGTCAGTCTATAACTATAGGCCATTATCCAGGCGGATATTAGAGGCTTTTCTCTAGTGGGTTGTAAGAGGAATAGACAGTGGGATCAAAGAAAGGCCTATAGTCGAGGTGATTTGGAATTTTTTTAGGAAATTCGCCACTAGAATAAATGGAAAAAGAAACTTTAAAAATTCTCACTAATCGTGGCTACAGTCACTTGGACTACACTCAATAAGGTCGATACTAGCATCCTTTCAAGAAGTATAGTGTTAATAGTAGATAGTATAGTTATCGTAGGAGAGATAATTATAGATTAAGATTACTCTCTTCTCTTAACCAAGTAAATGAATAAAGATAGCGGTATATCCCTAAAGGACTGGACTATCTTAATAACTCAATTATAGTGTCGAGACCACTATAAGTACCGTACGTAGGACCCCTACCGATTGGGCTAAAGTTTAACTAAGTATCGTAATGCTCCTTTGGACATATCTTATAGTAAAATTCGTGTGCCTATGGTGACTATTCCCATTTATATGATGAATAATTAGAAATAGGCATTTATAAGCTATAGTATTCTATTATCCGAATCTTTAAGCGTTATAACCGGCCCTTTCTTGGGAGCAACGAAGAAACTATCATCTAAGGAATCTAAACCATGCTGAATATATTTATAATCAATGTCTCGAGGGCAGATATATCAACCAGTCTCACTTGCAATGTAGTACCTCCTTAGAGGGAGGACACAATATGTAGGACGAAAGAGATAATCAGTTAGAACCCTAACCGAATATACATTGGACTAAAAGAGCTCGTTAAAATAGTCTCAGTTAGGCTTGATATTCTTTATTTTAGGATACCGCTTGCGAAACTATCGCTGATACTTCAGCTCCATATCATCAATCTGGTTATGCGCTACTATCGATTGGTCATCAAGCCAGATAAACCATAGTTGACGGAGTGTTTCCTCATCAAAATATTCCACAAGACGAGCCCATAGCTTAGTGAATTGGAGTTGATGTTTGAGGCCAATACTTTGGCTGGTGCAATTTCTTCTTTATAAAATTTCCTAGTACATAGTAGTAGTCCTGGCTCGTACTCCTTAACACTCTAAAAACTGAGAGACATGCCTAGGTATTGAAGAGACATGAGTATATGCATATCGTTTAGTCAAGGTACTGCCGTTTGCTTAGTAACGACAGCGTACGTTATGAATAGACGGATTTAGGGGATTCAGGCGAAATATTGAAGAGTGGGGCGGCAAGAGGGACTCTCCACGAATCAAATAAATAGAAATAAAAAGTAAAAACGTACAATAGCATAAGTATGGCCATGGTCATCTAGCGCCCACGGTTCTGTGTCGTGGGCGGCTTGTCGCTCTAGCACTCCTTTTTGAGGAACCCGAGTACCCGTTACTCGTTACTGAAACCTGTTACATACAAAAATAACAGAAATGTTGGGACGCATTTGGGCTAATCCCATGTCACTGTAATGAACAACCCCACTTCTTCTCGACATCTTCCTATTCCAGCCGACTATTCCTAGCTAATAGCTGTTCCGAGATTCTTCCGGACATATGTCTTCAATCGATGAGATTCTGATCGGATCCTCTTCCAGCAGCACTCTTATCTCATTTCTCATAATCCTTGGCCGTAGCTAGGATAAAGAAACCTTCCACCCTTATGTCTCGTAACCATCAAGGATGACTCCCAACTCAAGAATTTGAGTAATTTCTATTACGCTATGAGGTCTGGGTGTTGATAGAAATGAAGCCATGTTGGTCCACCACTGCTCTGTTATGTAACTCGCAAGTTGCAAGCCATGCACATTCGATTCTTCAAGAAATTGTGTCAATAGTCCCTCGAGATCCAATATCAAGGGTTTCTCTTCATCTTGGATCTCTTTTATTTCATCTGGGTCGATATTTCTGTACTCATGGAAGCAAGTACGAGTGATATCCAAGGTTTTGAATGTGATGAAGCGAAGTATGCCAGCACTCAAATGGCTCCTAAAGCGTTCATCAGGCTCGAGTTCGAATTGTGAGTCAAAGAGAATAGCTCTTAATAATTCAGAAAAGAGATGAATAAGCTTGGATAAAGTTTCATGATCAGTTCGTGTGGGCAAAAGTCCGCTCAAAAGGGTCGTCAGTGGAGAGCATCCGATCAGAGAACAGGCACATTCGCAATCATCTCGAGTATTGTCGGAAAGAGTTATTCTCAATAAGGCCTTTGAAGGTTCACTTAGAGAATGAATCTTCGAAGAAGGGTGTTCCTCTTCTTTCATCCCATATAAAATTGATCCAACGCTATTTCATATGTCATGCAAGGTCGATCCGGATGATTTTTGGTGACAGACATCAGCACCTTTGCTGATCAACCAGTGAATCTTTTGCAGGAAGACTTCCAAATCACAGGGTGGTGTGTTTTCCCAAGCCTTTGTCAGACATGTCTCATTGTCATCATCGATTTCATTCACGTCTCGAAAGCCAGCACTCCATAACTGGTCCGCCAAATCAAGATTGACACCAACACAGTCAAAGACTGACCATCTATAATGCTCTAGGAGCCCTTTCAAATCCACAGAAGTCACCACAAGTAGTGTATATGCTTCATAAGCATGGACATTTAGTAGGCTTTGGGATTCGATGCGTAATTTATCTTGGACACTTCTCGGTAAGTGTGTCTCACTTAGTGTCTGGAGCCGCTTTCTGCGATCAATGAATTCGCCAACAATCAGGTCAACGATAGCCTGGTTGGGATGAAAACTGGCGATTACAAGCTCTTCATTTCCAATGAAGCACCTATTATCATTCACCAATATCTTGACGCTCTCCTCGCAGTTCGCTTCGCATGCCGCTTCAAGGGCGCCTTCGGTTGGTGCATGACCAGATTGAAGAATCAGGGCTAAACCATCACCCCAACGAGTATACGTCTTGATCCACCGATGGAAATCGATCCCTCTTCTCAATTGTGTGGTTAAAAGTTTGCTGGATTTGTACACAAGAGGCTGTAGCTCTTCTGGGACATCAATATCTTGATTTAAGTCAGCATCGCATTGATTCAGGCTACTCTTTGAGGTGTAATTGCCCTGGAGCCCTTTCTCATCGGCAATTCTCCAAATAAGGCGGAAGCTAAAGTCTTCGAACAAATCATCATGCCTACGTCTATCTATTCTATACGCATGGTAGCTAGGGTTGAGTACGTTTTCTCGGTGCCTCCAATTAAGGGCTTCGCGGGCCATATATCCTCCAGCTTTCAGTAGGTCTGAACAGATATCAATCGTTATCTGCTGCTTTTCCAGATCGCTGCCTTCATGACCAAAAACATCGATCATGGTGTCAGCAGGAGTCTGACCGCGGTTATTCGCACGCTCTGGAGAGAGGCCCGCCTGTAAGAGATTTTGGATGAATGAACGCCAGGTAAGCCGTGAATGTGTATCCCAGCGAGAACTGTGATGTTGCCAACCAGTGACTACCTGTAGTTACAGTTAATAAAAGACATTCAAGTAAAAGGTCGAGACATCCCAACACCGGAGTATTTCTACAGATAGAAGCGTAGGGCATCTGTGGCTAATTCATACTCACATGTAGAATAGTATCGCCGGTTCCAAGAGAATCCGACTTTGATGCTTTGCCTTCACGAAAGGCTTGAAATAGAGCCTTCTGGGTATTCTGGATCACAGTGGGGACATCTTTCGACTTAAAACTTTTCTCTGCATCATAAAGGGTATTGAATATCTTGGGAATTTATTGGCACAATGGCACGGAATTCAAGTTTAGGGCTAATGGAGAAGCCCCCTGCTCCGATTGTGCTTGAAAAGGATGTCTCAAGGGAGATTCGCAGAGCCCATCTGCAGAATATTCGGCGATATAGCAAAGTTGTGATGGTTTTGCTTTCTGTGTGAAGCTCATATCCGTTAGTACAATCTGAACCAGCATTGCGCGCTTTCCTGGAGTATATCGTGCCACATGAGCATTTGTTCGGCGCCGATTCCGCTGAGAAATAATGGTGGTCCCCTGGTCATGCGACTCTTCATCCAAAATTCGTTGGCACTCCAACGCCGATTGGAGTAGGCCTGGTGTGAGAGCTGGCCGGGCTTTATTGCGGAAGTTGTCACTTTCCTAAGTTGAAGTAAAATCGTAAGTCGCAGCTCAATGATGGTATTCTTCGAGTTCTGAACCATGGGGAATAGCGATACCATCTGCTTAAGATAACCTTCAAGTATTTCTAGTCTGTTCTCAATACTAATACCGCGCTGATCAAACCTTTGAGCCACGAGTAACATCTGACTGGTATTGACGGCGCTCGATGCTGAGTACGTGAGGACCATGTCCGTTTGTTTCTGAGAGATAGCTAGCATAGCCCTTAAAATCTTCGATTAGCGATAAAACACCATCATTCTTTTTAGTTTAGACTCACATATTCAGTATTTGTAGTGAGGTATTGAGATGACCTTGCAGCCAGCTCGCCATTTCCAAAAGTGCCACCAGCGTATCGCGTTTGAAAGGATACAATATCCTACTGATCTAGATTTTGGACTCTAAAAAGCTCGTTCTTGTGCTTTTGCACTTTTCTAGCATCTTGCTTAATCTTTTTAGTCCTTCCTGGCAACTAAAGATGGAGTCGAGCGCAACTGTTGCTGATTGAACCGTCAAAGGGGAAGAAAAAAGCTCCGCGTTACCGAGAACATTTTTTAACGCTTTCAACATGCTGTTAAAACTTGATATACGGTTTGAGACGTCGTAAATTTGTTCATCATACGCTTTGAATGGCCCGTAGTAAGCCAGTAGGCCCTGGCAGACTGTGAGGCCAAGCGAGATAACACCCACCGCGCTCCCAGCCACAGAAAATAGATTGCCCATTTAGAATAAGAATTAGTGGGTTCAAAGGAATTTCACAGATAAATGAAGATCAAGGATTTAGAGACTAACATAGGGTCTATGTTGATATTTATGGGGTAAAGAGCAGCCGGCGTTAGGTGGAAGCCCAAGGGGCCAGTGCAACGCTCGCGCTATATTAGTGGCGCTTATAAACACAGCCCGACCAAAGTCACGCTTATCCCTTTTTTCACCTCATGACAGATGCTAATTTCAAGTCGCAAGTCGCAAGTCGATGGTCTAATGCGAAAAATATTACTAGGAGTTTGTAAAGGCCTTCTGGCTTTTACAGATCATGAGCAGTGCCAGAATTGAAACCTTCATTTGGATGTATAGGAAATATTAAAGTAGCGCAGGGCCAGGATGGCGGTAAGGTATTTTTTCATATCCTGTATCGGCGAATGGTGTCCTTATGTAACCCTCCTCTTTTTCCTAAAATTATATTGCTAACATTTCCTCATAGGCAGCAGTAGTAGTGCAGGAAATGGTGGGGCAAAATCAGTTTCAGGTCCAACGACGTGGATCCAATGAAAATCAAAACAGGGGAAGACAAAAATAAACACTAGACGGGATTCACAGGCAGCCAACAGATTCTAGGCTATATATGATTACTGGCAAGTTTTTCAGGAGGATAAAAAAAAAGACAGTAGGTAACTAAGAGTAATGTTCTCTGCACAATCTACCGCAGCCAGCAATGTGCAGATTATCGGCCATTTATATGAGGACCATGGAATCAGAGTGACCGACAGGAATTTCCACTATATTCTTACAAGAACTGCGCCATAGGGCAAATATCCCCGGGCAAAAACTACTTTTAGTGGCTGAGAGGAAAGAAAGGAGAGGGATGCAGATGTTCCCTTTAAATAAGATGTGTCAGTATATAGGGGGAGGGCAGGCAATCGTTTCCTTTAGTCTCTGCGGCGTAGATGGCAGGAACCGCTGCTATTTGATATGGTAAATAGTGAGACGTTTAGCCTAAATACAGCGATACTATCTAATTCGTATATCCCGCATGTCGCCTCGGTAAGGAACCAGGGTAAATAAACTGTATTTTTAAAAAGAAAGCACATCCACATTCTATATCAGCTTCCATACGTTCAATCGCGTTGTTTCATACTTAGGTATTTGTTAAGAGGTTACAGAACTATTCGCTAGGCGTGCGCGCTCAATTACACTAACATCACAGGGCAAATGGGGGCTAACTTTGAAGGCCAGTCGCCACCCATTCATAAGCTATACCCATTCATAAGCTATATACGGTAACGGCTATGAAAGTGATCGTTCATCCGCCGATTTAATTGGTGCACGTGAAGCAAAATGTAGTTCATCTTCTAAACACCCAGTAACCCCGCAGATTTCAAAGCGTTGGTGTGCCACAAGCCAGATGAGCTCTGCGGTCTGGACCCCACGCAGATGATTCGATTCGGACCATAGCTGAAGGCGGTGTTAACTCACGGTCCTATCGGGCCCAGACTGATTCCTTTACAGGATATCTTAGGCGGGTTGGCATCCTAGGCAACTGGTATCATAAGGCGGATGGAGGATGAGAGAGGCGCCACGTCAGCACTTCAAGGGTATTCAGGGCGTTCGGGTGAAGAATAGAGGGGCTTCAGGACGTTCAGGTGAAGGGGCTTGAAGCAGGTGAAGAGTAAAGTGGCAAGGACACTTGTCCCATCGAATGACAAAAAACAAACATACAACAGTGAGGATTCGCTGGTGGTCACCCACCCAACTACTAACTCACCGGCGTGTGGCTTAAGTACGGCTGAGCGGACGGGAAGCCCTGTTTTCCACACCCTATGGTCGTATGTATTAATTTAGAAGTTGAAAAAGCTTATAAATCCATCAGGTAGGTACATCTAGTGAGTTAGTACACATACTTGGTCAAAAGTATCTTCCCACCCCACTTTTCGGCTACCCTCATCAAATATATAGGAGAACCCAGGAAAGTACAATATGTATCTACAGTGGTCGTAGAGGCACTGCCCGCAGGCTTGTAAGACCACATACTTCGTGCCATTAGACGGAGAGACCCCAAATCTAGTTTCAACCTAACCTGGACCGCGTCAAAGATCCAATCAGTGCCCTCAATAAATCCATTATTGGACGTGAGACTGAAATGCTAAGTAGAGAAGAAAGAAGAAGAGGGAAAGTGGGAGGAGCCAGGTAATCCTGGCTTAAGTCGATGGGGAATCGGGGTGATGAGTGACCCAAAAGGGAAGGCATGGTCTCCCAAGGTAAACGTTCTTATTTCCAGAGCAACCTTAGAAATGGCTATACTGACAGTCAGCAGAGGAGCCTCGATGTCTTCCCGGGCCCGGTAAGCACAGGAAGTTAGGTGCATTCAAATCTTTAGTTAACTCCTTGTCTCGATTCACATTCACGGAGATACCCCAGAGTGAAGGAATTCAAGAGCTGACATCAATGTAACGTAAAATTTTACTCACCATGTCTTCCAAAATTCCCCAGGAGTATCATCGGATGCTATCGAGACTACCGTTATACCGCAATGACACGGAGGAGGCCGCTACCTTCCGATCCATACAGAACCTTGCCCAATCTCAAACAACCCAGAGAAGAAAGTAAAAGATGAAAAAGGTATCATTTGAATCTATAAACCCCAACCCGTAACCAAACCAAGCCTTACTCTGCATCCAAAAGTGCAACAGGAACCTGATCATCGACCTGAATCCCGCCTCTCTTCTTCTCATTACTATCCCAGAACGGCAACTTCCACCCGCCCTCATTCTCAGGTGTTGCCAGCCAAAGACGCATAAGATGGCGGCGTGGGGCAGGTGGCGCATGATCTGTGTATGCAGTTCGGGCATGCAGGACGTGTGCATTTGACAAGAACTGGATATCGCCGATATCGAGAACCATGTGCAGTGACAAGCGCACACATGTTTCTTCCAGTACGCGCAAGGCTTCTTGTTGTGCGTCTGACAGCGGGGGGATGATTCCTGCGTCGCTAAAGCGGCCGAGAGAGCGGACATAGTATGGATCCCATCTGGTATTATTGTTAGATACTGAAATAGAGATTATGGATTTAAGATGGGCGGAGATGGAGGGGCGGTGTGATGTGACTTACTTTGTGTAGACACGGCCTTCCTCGCCGCGCTCGAGGTACACCACGCTGGTGCGGATGTATTCTTCCTGTCCCTTGCTTGTCTCGCCCTTGCGGTCAAAGTACCAGATTGGCTCGGTGAGGGTCTTGAGGACGTCTGGGCGTTCTACGGCGAGGGTGTTGTAGACGTGGTGGGAGGAGACGATGTCTGATTCGCCGCCTTCAAGGGCCTTGGCAATGCAGAGAAGACCAACGATATCTGAGTCGTCGGCGTGGAAGTATTGGCTGGATTGGGAGGGTCAGCTGATTGCTCGTTTTGTGTGCGTGTGCATTCACTTGGCACTGAGACTGTCAAACTCACCGAGCATTAGTGCGATAGATGCGCACTTTGTCAATCTGGGTTGAGTCCTCGCCGAGATCCTTGACGTGGCCCAGGACGTGGCCGCGGCTGTTCTGGCTGACGAAGTAGCCGAGATATGTGCCGAGACCCATGTATGCTACGGCGGACTTGTGGTTGCCCCATTCCTCGACAGGGAAGCCCTTGAAGAGGATGAATCCCTTGCCGTCAATGAGATCTGCGCGCAAGTCGTGTAGGTAGGTCGCTAGTTTTGGGAGTTGGAAGTTGGTCTATTGAAGGTATGATTAGTTTCAGTTTCATAGTTTTGTAGATATGAATTCTTTTGATCTCTCACCTTTGAGATTCCGGTTAATGGAGTCTTGGATGAGAGGAACGCATCCGATGCTGAGCTCAGCTCATCGATCTGGTCCTGGGTGAAGACATGCGTCCACCTTTCTGGGTTCTCGCGGTAGTCCTCCGCCTTCCAGACTGTAGGGCCGGTGATTTGTTTAGGGAATTTCTCGAAGGGGATGATGTGGTCGTATAGTGGGGGATGCTGGCCGGTAGTTTTCAGTCCATCTGGGAACAGATCCCATGAGATGGGCCCCGTAAGGTTGTGAGGGGCAGTTGGGAGAGAGGATGTAGCAGCGGGAGCCATGATTAAGGAGAATGCGATGTACGATATAGCACCAAACGGAGGGCTGTTGGTTTTTATTTATATTCTGCATCAGTTCTATGTAAATGAGCAATGTAGTGGGCTTTATGGCGTGACGGGAGATAATTTTAGGAAGTCTTGTTGTATAGCGGAATGAGGACCGCTGAAGAAGTGAAGCTGATTGGGGGTTGAAGGGCCGAGATGGCGCAATTTGCGGGGTAGAATGTTGTGATGACAGTGGGGGAGCACGTATTTTGGCTTCAAAATATTTTTCAATGCATTGAGGAAAATAAAGAGCATGTTAAATGGAAATATTAGATTCCTGTGAAGTAATTGATGTTGGATCAACGTTGAACTAGGGGCCAGGTACCCGAGGATCCTATAGTATCTATGCACCCCATAGTTACTGAGTACCTAGTTAGTATATATTTAATATAAAACGTATACATCTACATCCAGCCAGTCACAGTCTCGGCCGATAAACTAAGGTTATCCTGTAGCACAACATATTCTGACCACGAGCGATCACCGGCAGCCGTGCATGAACCGGCTGGTCGGGTTACGTGGATCATCGGGTTGCCTGGATCCAAAAGAAGAAAGGCTTCAGGAAGATCTCAGATATCAGCCCATACATGTAAGCAATCTATCGGGCGAGAAGTCGAAGGTCCCTTACCCTTTATGTTAAATATGGGCTGCTCTTAGGGCTTGGGGAAGCACATGGTTAAGAGCTGTCCACAGGTCGCTTTATCAGCCACCCGGCTCTCTTCTGTGATAATTCGCGTTATATTCTTGGATATATCTCAAAATGCCTCCCTTCTTACACAAGCACCTTCGAATATTGCATAGAGGTTGTCATTGGTCTCATGCGCGTTGACTTTACCTCTTAATCATTCTTTGGATGCACTATTCCAACCTCTTTCTTTCTTTCCTTTTACTGTCCCTTCAATCTATATATTTTATGACTTTAATTTCTTTTGATGTCGTTCCTGATGCTATTCTTCGTGAGATCTTCTGCAGACATGGATTCGATTTCCTCTTTGGGATGCCCCACCAGATTACTCAAATCCTTATCGGGCGTGTGGATGCGAACGCCCTTTGAGCGCGAAGTTTTTCGTCTTTTATATTTGTAGACTCACGTATCATATTCTCTCATTTGGCATCTTGCATTCATTTGAATAGAAGATTTCCAAGTCTATGGCCCAACACAAGATCCACGTGGCCGTGCTAGACGCCGACATTCCCTGCCTCTCGGTATATAAAGCGCGAGGTCTATACAGCTCGCAATTCCGCGTCCTTCTGCAAGCAGCCGCCCAACGCCTGAATAAAACGCCCGAATCCCTCCAAAATGGACCTCTCGCCGTCGATGTAACGGCCTTTGATGCCGTAGGTGGGTCCTTGCCTCCGCTGGAAACCCTACGAACCAACCCCAAGTCCCCAGCCGAGCTTCACGCTGGCGGACCACTGAGTCCAATAGACGCGATCCTGATCACAGGCTCAGCATCCTCAGCATACGAAGACCAGCCCTGGATCCGCACAATGCAATCCTACATCCAAACAGTGCATACACACTATCCAGACGTAAAGCTCTTTGGCTCCTGTTTCGGGCACCAGATAATCGCTCAAGCCCTCCTCAGCACCAACGCAAGCCATCCACCGACATCAACTTTCCACGTTGCGCACTCCCCAACCGGCTATGAAATGGGAATCCAGCCCATCACCCTCAATGCCTCCTTCACCGCGCGCTTCCCGCCTCTTGCGCGCGCGACAGCTCGGAGTCCATTCCGCATACAGCTGATCCACGGTGATGCGGTGGTGCCAACACGTGAGGCTCAAGCTGCCGCGGGCGAAGCAGGCACCTCGCTGCCGGCACCGTGGTCTAGTATCGGGAGTAGTGAGCAGTGCGCTATCCAGGGTCTTTATAACCCCGGCCGGGTCCTGACGTACCAGGGTCACTTTGAGTTCGATACTTTTGTCAACGGGGAGCTTGCGCAAGAGTTTGGGCGCCGTGCAGGTTGGTCGGCGGCTGTTGTAGCAGAGTATCTGGAGCTGATTTATCGCTCGCGTGTTCCTGGGTTAGAGGACGATGATGATGCTAAGGCTGCCGCTGAGGCAGTTTTGTTGTTCTTTGCTGGGGAGGATGGGGACTTGACGGGCTGTTGTGGCGGTACTGGTATGATTACACCTCCGCTGGATTGATTGAGAGTTTTTTTTTTTTTTACGGTCGGGGTGAGATTGACGTGACTACATGTATGCTTGGATTATGCATGGGATTTGGCTGTTTCGACTGGAGAGCTGCGCTTTTCTATCAGTTATGGGCACTTTTTGTCCAATCCCGCTTCTGCATTTCTGCATTTCTGCAGCTGAGCGAGTTTGTTGAAGTTGAATCCCTTGAAAGGTAAGCCCCGCAGCAAGGGTTTCGGGTGATGGGACATGAACGGGATGTACGAGTGTACAAGTAGAGTTGGTCAGCCCTCACCCCTTCGGCAGTGGCAACACACCTCACCATGATGATGTTGGGCCCTGCATGGCTGAGGCGCAGTTGGTATGCTGCTCTGCAGGGATCAATGCGGTGTGAACAAGTATGTAAATAGGATTACGAGGTACAATAGCCATAGTCATGCATTAGATCCGAGAGATCGGATACAAGTATGGAGTGAGTATAATTATAGGCTGCATGAAAGCTAGCACCTTACATGAATTCCAAGGCAGAGAAGATACAAGCTGTCCAGAACAAGAAAGTCTCGACTCGCAAGCTCTCCACCATGTCATATTAAGTGGAGCGTGACATGCTTGACATTTGGTATACGGATACATGTAGATAGTGTACATTATTCTGATAACAAATTTATTAGGTATATTTTGTATCCAAATTAATATATTAGTATCAGATATTAGTATCAGATATTGGTACTCCGTACAGCATAAAACCTCGAACTTGAAATCTCAGACTTTCCTAGTGATCCCCCCTGCACGGCCACCCAGAACCGGGATGGCGTTGTGAATTGCACCAATGAGGATGGAGGTAATTGGTGACTCGGTGCCCAGGTGGAGATTAGGGGGCCAATCAGGCTGCTTTGGGATGCTCTTCATCGGCAGTTCGTTATACAGCGTATTAGGGGTATTTAGGTAATTAATGGTTTAGAAGGGTAAGCGGAGGAGATCGGAGCTAGGATTAATGTACTCGAGAAATGTGAATATGTATACAAGTATATCATCCAAGGCATAGAAAATCACACGCTTGACAGACACCCCCATTAGATATAAAAATTAGGAAATAAAATATTAAAACCGTGGAAACCTCGAATAATACGTAATATTACACTGTATCGTGGCGCTAGTTTGCCACCCGGAGCTTCCCTCCCTTCTGGAATGAAGCTCAGGAGCTGGGGGGAGCTTCAAGAGGGGCCGCTGATAGCGCCTTTATCGTGACCGTTTTTTTCCCTTCCTTTTTCCCGGTAACTCTGCGAGTGAGAGTTTTTTGTATAGACATATATGTATATATCTTTTTAATAGTCCGGGTAAAGACTATCATCTCAAATATTAGATAGAAGAATAGAAAAACGCACAGATGAAAATGGCTAGAGCTCGGTGTTCCACCGGGGTATCCGAAAAGCCGTGCTAATTCGGCTGTATTTGAATACCAATACCGTACAATTTTCTTTTTTTCTTCTCTTTTTTTTTTTTCTTTTTTCTTTTCTTCTCTTTCTCCCTTGTGTAATTTCAATCTTAATAGGGAACGTTCCAAGAATGGGGGTATTTTTACAAGGGAAGCTCAGAGCTGCACGCCCCTCTTTTTGGTTATCGATACTCGATAGGGACGATAGCCACGTATGCGAGGCTCAGTAACTAAATAGCTACGGACATAGAAAAGTTGTTCCTGACTAGAATTACTATTACTTGCACATTGGAATTCAGAGAAATACAGAAAATATCAATTAAAAAAAAAGAAGTACGGAGCAAAAAAATAGAATAAGGCGAACTGCGTAATTACCCGTAATACCCCAATGACTTTCACCCACAACTACGGGGGGGCCTCGAAGTACTCTGAATGTATGAGCCGCCCTCTTCCTTTTCCTTTTTTTTCCCTCTTGCCTTTTTCAATTCTTCCCACTTCTCTTTTACTTTAGAGCATGTTGAACTGCATTGCCTATTGTTCACATAAACCCTGTCTGTGCTTGGCTGATCTCTTTATTCGCCCCTCCTTTTTTTATCTCAACTCCCGGGATCTCGGATGACCATATGCACCATGCCTCCTCGAAGCTCACTGACCAGCTCTTTCTCGGTAACCGATGCCAATAATGAGGTGGTCTGTCCCTTGAAGAACAACGATGGTTCCAATTGTCGCAAAAGATGTCTAGGTGTGAGTATTTGCCCGAGCCCCACCTATCACCTTGGACAGCTTGCGAAAGCTATAATAACTCCCGTGCAACTCTTGAGTCCCAACTCGAACTAATCCGGTTGGTGCTCTAGGAAAAACGCTATCGCTCCATGCAGGAGCACATTCGACGTGCGCATCCCAATCATTACATCCCGAAGCTCCCGGCTACCGAGGAGAGCTTCCTGTTGATGGTGAACACCCCGCTCGAGCAACGAGTGCAGCTGTCACCCCCCGAGCCTGCTCAACCTCGGCGACCTCAAGGTCAGTTTTTGCTTTTTTTTTACTTGCTTTCTCGCCACAGGGATACTGACGGCTACCCACAGATGTGGCGCCGGAAAGGGACGTCTATGTCGCTGACGGCTCCCCGGCTACCCCTCGAGCTTTGGATGAACCCCACCCAGCTGCGGCCACTGCGGCGGTTGCTCTGGCACAACTGCACCACCATCGACTGGCCTCGGACTGGGATACAGACATGGTTTGTCGCTCCAGGCTGTTGTGGGCTTCGAAGCCCGAGTCTCTCCACGGTGGCACTGACCCGCATTTCCCCAGGACACCCATTCGGATACCGACTTAGGTCATCCTCGCATGCGTGGAGCTATTGAACTTCCCCCACTCCGCGACCATTTCAAGCAGGAATCTCTCCCGCCGTTCACCCCTCGTCCCCGCGAGCTTCTCCCGTCCATCCTCAACCACTCCCCGCCCGGTCGCTCATCCACATTACCGCCAATCCAGCGGAGAGATAAATTTTGCCGCCCGCGCAAATCTTCCATTACCCAGTCTGCCAGGAAGCCCAAGCAGGATCGTCCCAAGTCAAAGGAATTTGGGCGGCGACCAAGTCTCACTGACCGCAAGGCCCTTTCAGCAGAGCCGCAAACCGCGGCCTGGGCGCAAGGCAAGCGCTGGGAGGATTTGATTGAAGCCGCGACGTCGGCAACTGAAGTAGACGATGAGCAATACTCAGAGGTGAGTTTGAAGTCAATTTTGGACCTTTTTTTCGATGCTGATGCGCCAAACGCAGGCTGGCCGATCTCCAACGATTGCCCCACTACTTTCCAACGTGACGTCTGCTCCCTCTGGGGTGAAAAATCGGTCATCGCTACCACCCGCTTTCCAGTCTGCACCACTGCCTCCTATCTCTTCACATCGGCCCTTCCCACCGCATTCATATGCCGCCTCGCCTTTGCACAAATCATTAACCCCACCACCATACGAGAACAACCGCAACCGTGAGAGCGACCTGGAACCATTCCCATCTATTGAATCATCGCTCGATTCCATGTCTTCAGCCTCCGGCAGGAATTTTGCCTCCTCGGTTTCAGGAGTCGCGCCGTCCGTAAACTCCGATTCCAGCCCAGTTATGAATCTTATCCCGTCCATGTCCCAGCGCCAACAACACAGGTTCTCAAATCCTACTCCGGCGTCTTTCCGCAATAAAGAGGTTCAGGTGTTTTGCGCTAATTGCAAACGACCCTCGGCACTAAATGAGTGCTATGCTTGTACGGAGTGCATTTGTGGAGTCTGCCGCGACTGTGTGGGCATGTTCATTTCAAGTCCACCCGCTTCATTCCGAACTCCAGCGAATGGGCTCTTAAATAATGCCCCCTCACAAGGACCAACGAGTTACCCTGGTCCTCGCGGGTGTCCACGATGTCGAACGGTGGGAGGTAAATGGAAAGCCTTCCAAATCGACATCAAGTGAACGACTTCAATAAGACAGCCTACATTTCGGCTTTACGCATTTTACGACTGATGTTTGATACACGTTCATTCTTATATTGTTATTTATTCTTCATCCTTCGGTCGGCTTTTGGGGGTTTCTGATTTTTTTTTGTTTGTTTTTACTACGATCTGGCAGGATCCATCATCGAGACGATGTTGCGGGAGTTGCTTTTATCAGGCTAGGTCTTTTCGGTATAGGTTTCCGACAGCAAAACCTAGAGAAGCTGGTCTTCAACATTCAAAGGTCTACATTTTCGTTCTGCATTCTGGGGTTTAGGTGGACATATCTTTTGGTCATGAGGTATATGCTTTTGATGCTTTTTCAAGTTTTTCATGTGATGCGAACCTGTACTGCAATGATTCATTCTGCTGCGCTGTTTATAGAAGAGAGCTGCGGCCGTCACAACATCCAATGGATTTATATAACTGTAAATATCTACTCATCCCAGATGACACTACTGAGACCTTCCGCAGTCCCGACCTTCCCAGGCTCACCAACCTGTACAGTAGCAACCTCCTGGCCCAGATTTCCCGTCTTCGGATCCCGACGCACAATTGCAACCGTCGCTGAAGCCTGATTTCCAATCGCAACCAAATCCCCAGCCCGATTAATCACAAAAGTCCGCGGCACTTTCCCAAGCGCAGAAGATGAGTCCCGCAACTCAAGGGACCCATCCTCCGGCGACCGATCAAGCACAACCATCGAGTCGCTCGACGCGAACCCCTGATCGCTTCGAATCGAAACATAAAAATCATCTCCAATCCTACTAATCGCAGCCGGGGTCGCGCCCTCGGGCATAACACCCCCGGGATACGGAACCATCGTCTGGGTCTTCTCAAAGGACAAACACCCAGACCTCGGATACGAAACATCAAACACCATCATCGTACCTCCGATCTCGTTGGCAAGATACATCATCGTCTCGCCAACAGCCTCCGTCTTCTGCGAATGCGTCGACCCAAGCCCAGCTGATCGATCGCTGCCATCTGTCCAGAACACGCCGTGTCGCGGCCCGCTGCCGAAGGTGACGTTCACGCTCGGACACTCCGACAGCTTTCCCGACCGGTCATCCTCGATTGCGTACACGCGCAGCAGATCCGCGCCTAGATCCGGACTGACGATGAACGAGCCGGTCGGGTCAAGGAAGACCTCGTGTGGATGCGGCGAGTCCTGCTGGGCGACTTTTCCCGGCCTGGTCAAGTTGAAATGGAAGGCTTGCAGGGCTGGTTGGTTTTGTTTGATTGGTAGGGCGAAGGTTGAGATGGCCGAGCCTTCGCTATTGGATTGTTAGTACAGGTCCACATCATCACACCTATAACCAATGCAATGCACGACCAAAACCCTGGGAATGCAGGTAAGGAAGGAAAAAAAAACGTACTAATGCGCAATTGCAAGGAACTTCTTCCCCGCACCCGCCTCATAGATAACACTATTTACGCCACCACCGACAGCCTTCGCGACAGCGCCTTCACGCAGCGTGCCATCTGGGTTAACATGCAGGGCTGTCAGTGAGCCGTGCGTGGAAGGATCAGCAGTGCCGGTCTCATCGGAGCAATAGACAGTGCGTGTATGCGCGTCAAGGGTTAGCCAGCTTGGCATATCACCGCAGGTGTCAAGGGTTTGCGATATGGAGAGGTCATTGCTTTTCAGGGTCAGGGTATAGACATTGCCATTGTAGTGGGTTGCCCAGAGATGGACTGGGGGTTTGGAGGTAATGGCGGCTGTTGCTCCTAAGGCGGAGAGGACGGGGAGGAGGGTTTGAAGATGCATCTTTGGGGTAGGTGTTGCTACCTATTTGGTGTGGGATTGATGGTATATAGGTAAATGTAGGGGGGTGGGAAAGACGCGATCAACGTGTGAGATCGGCAGTTCTTGCCGTGCATGTCGTGGAATCGAGGGGTAGAGAAAGGGTGACATTGTGTTTAGGTTGTATTGCTTTAGTTTGTTTCAACTGTGCATAATATCGTGCATGAAGATGTAGTTAATTAGGGAGGTAAGCCTGGTGTAGTATACTCTTTCAAGCCACATCGTCATAAACAGCTTCGAAACCCACTTTGGCACGGTTACATAGATATGATACAACCTATACTATGTCTTGCTGTGCTAGCTTGGTTTCATCCCATGTTGCGTGGGGGTTGCTGAAACAGGGGCTAGACCAAAAGGAAATAGATTCTGCAGGCTGATTGTGTATGCAAAGGCACAAACGAAACGGCCTTGACGTAGTCTTGGGCTCAAGGATAAGCTTGACAAGGGGCTAAAGAAGGAATGCGCTTCGTTTACACCCATAAAGTCAGCAGGAAAGAGCCATTCTGGGAAGATGCAAGTGCTGAGGGTATACAAACCCCCCTCGCCCCCAACTTTCTTTTTTTTTCTCTTTCTCTCCCTCTAGATTGCCCATGTCCCTTACACGCAGATATATCCAGTTGTTGAGGTTCAGGTCCGCACCCAGATCAAATATTTAAATATTTCGTATATATTTCTCTAAACAAGAGTCAAACCTGTGTAACAAGCATCATTGCGCGCAAGCTCAGTCTTAACTCCATCCTCCAATGACACCGAGTATAAGCTACCACCCAGGTCAACCACATACACAATGTTATTCGCCTTATCCAACTTCAAGCCGATAGGCTCGTGGAAGTGACGCGCCAAAATAACCTTCTCCATATCCATCTCTTCACCCCCAACGTACGCACGATTCAGCGTGCAGCCGAATGGGTGCTCACCACGATCAGTCCAGTACAGCGTCTGGCTCTCGTTATCCAACTCAATATCAATAGGCTCAGGGAGGTTGTTCCACAGACGCCGGATATCAGTCCTATTCTCAGCAGTCTCACCGGCAGGAATATCCAACCCAGCGCAGAATATCTGACCCAGACCAGCCTTGGAAGGCCCCTTCTGTGTCCAATACAAGAGACCGCGTCCAGCATCGACAGCTACACCCACACACCAACTCGTCATCTGTTCCAGCAGACTAGAGCCAGGCACCACACGCCGCTGCACCAGGACAACGTGGTTACTACCGTCATAGTCACAGCGGTGCACGCTTGTGCCCTCACGGTCACAAAAGTAAATCTGCTTCCGTGATTCGACAACAGCGAGCTGCTTGGGCGTGTGTACCTGTCCGACGGGAACAAGACAGGTGACATCGCCGCCCTCCAAATCAGCCGACCAGACCGAGCCGTCACAGCCCGCCGTGCTACGGCCCATATTCGTCCAGAAAACGCGCTGCGTGGACAGTGATACGTCAATACCGTCGGGCAGGTTCTGGCCGACCACGACGGGGGTGAGCTTCTGGGTTGCGAGGTTGAGGCGCAGGATTTTGCCGTTCGAATGCACCTGTGAGACGTCCTTGGCGTTTCCACCGAGGCCGACGTCAAGAAGGTAGATATCTTTTGCGGCGCTATGTGGGTTTGCTGGGGTTGCTTCTGCGGACGAGGATTTCGCGAGCGGGGGGTAGAGGCCGCCCTTTTCACTTTTCTTGCCGAGGCGTCCTTGCTCAATATATTCCTTGCGCAGCCAGTCGACGGTTGGGGCGGAGGGGAGACCCTTCTCCTGGATGTAGTTGTCTTCGATGAAGGCGACGGTGTCAAGACCGATTTGGTCCATCAATTGGCAGGGTAGAGGGCCGTTTCTGAACATGTGTTCCCAGAGAAGGTCGATTTCGCTGGCGTCGCTGACGCCTTCGGAGAGGATGCACATGATTTCCCGCTTGATTGCTGCCCACAGGCGGTTGAAGACGAATCTACACGTTTTTTTGTGTCAGTCGGCTGTCCTATATATGGTTTGCCTCTGGAAGAATACATACCCGGTCGATTCGCGGCGAGCTGTCACTGGCAGCAGGCCACACTCACCCAAGACTGTCTCCAAGTAAGGGAAAATCTCGGTTTCGGTCTTGCCACTGGTCATCAGCTCGACCATGCGAATAGCTGGAGGCATAGCGAAGTGAATATTAAACACTTTCTGCTGACGCTTGGGAGTGACCTTAGCAAGCATCAAACTTGACTTGAAAGAGGAGCTGTTGGAGCCGATGTAACAATCCTCCGGAGCGTACTTATCCAAGTCCGCCAAAGTATCAATCTTCAACTGCAGCACCTCAGGCACAGCCTCGATAATCAACCAAGCATTGGAAACCGCAGGCTCGAGCTCAGTGAATGTCTTACAGATACCGTACGGTGCGGAAGTAGACGACTCGAGGCCAATTTGGCAAATGGAGGTCTCGACTTTGTGGTCGCCAGCATTTTTCTCTTCTTCCCGTGCCTTGTGAATGCGCGGCATTAACGAGAACTCGGCTTTGTGGTGATCGATGAACTCCGCCGCGTCGCGGAGAGCCACCGGCGAGGGATCCCGTATGTGGACATGGTAGCCAGCAGCGATGAAGACACAGCCAATGCGCCGGCCGAGGACACCGGCACCGATAACTGCAACGGGGCGGTCTGTTCTGGGCGTAACACCCATATTGGGGATATGTAGGTAGGAGTAGAAAGGGAGGTGGCGTTGTAGATGTTGGTATATAAAAAGTATGTAGATATGACGTGAAGAGCGGGAAAAGCGTTGGCTTTAGTTAGGACAAAATTACAAGGGCGACAGTGGAGTAGATGCTTCCTTATATAAACCCTTTGGATCCAGGATCCGACTTCACAATGATATTCATCTATCCATCAGGAGGCTTTCTATGCACTTGGGTCGCAATATACCACCCTAAGGCTATTGGACATGTTAGGGCTCCGCCACCGGAACCCGGCATTATGGGTATGAATTCTTAGAAACAGAAAGACACGGATATCACGGATGTAGTGTTGCGTTGACGGGGCCAATAAGCATCCAGAGGTGAGGTAGATTTAGGATCTACCTACATCAGAATGAGTTCGGGTGGGGGAATGCTTTTCGGCTCGGAGTCGCAACGGAATCGTAACGGAAATTGTTCGGAGGAACTTGCGGAACGTCTATTGTAAACAAGCTTTGAGCCCAAATATTCTTCAGACTCTGCTTGTTTGGGCAAAGGCCCGGGAACTGCTGCCGTTCAGCCCGGTGTTAACGATTCAGCTCCACTTGATATTGACTATCATTGATGCAAGATTGGTCTATTCCGTTGATTGTTCTAGAAGCACGGAGAGATGAAACTCGGAGGGCTGAAGACGACGTCATTTTTCAAATACCAACCTGAGGCATCAAACATAACATAGTTACGTCGCAATATATTGAGGTTTGATGTGGAAATGTGGGTGCTTCTACTAAGGCATAATAACAATATCTAGACCCCTAAGTACACCAAATGTATACGAAAGATTTGAGAGCTAGAGATTATCAAAAAGAAATAGTGGAAATGCAACTAGTTGCTAATATCCTATCTCTATATCTATATCAAATTCATGAAACTTTTATACAATTCAGACTCTATCCACTGATAATATCACAACGTATGTCCTTAGAACAGGAAGACCTGGTCCGTAGCCTTAGAAACAGCACTAGGATCCTTCCACCCCAGACCAGCGAGAGGCTTCTTCATCGCATTAATCATAGGCGGCGGGCCGCACAGCAGCATCTTATTGTCCTCATCGGCAGGCGCCAAGTATGTCTGGATCAGACCCTGCGAGACAAAGCCATGGTGACCAGTCCAATTCTCACCAGCCTGTGAAAGCACATATTGTACAGAGAACTTGTGCGGGTTCTCACGAGCAAAGTCATCCAGCTCCTTGCGCAGCAAAATGTCCTCTTCGGTGTTATTCGCGTACAGCAAGCTCATCTTGGTAGTATCGGCTTTGTCGTCGCAGATTGCCCGGATGAGCTGGTACATGGGTGTGATACCGGTACCACCTGCGATCATACCGATGTGGTTCGCGTAGGAAGTGGTATATTGCATTGCGCCCTTGGGGCCGCGGATCTCGATAGTGTCGCCGATGTCCATTTGCTCGAGGTGCTTGGTCATCTGGCCTTGGGGGTATACCTTAACCAAGAGCTCGATGCGACCCAGATCGGTGTTGTTGGAGACGGGTGTGTAAGAACGGGAGACGACCTTTTCGTTGATGGTGGCGCGTAGGGCAATGTGCTGGCCTGTGGGGAGACCGAGGATATCATTTTTGTTGGGGAGGCCGAAGGTGAATCGGTAGACGTTGGGGGAGACGACTTCTTTGTGAGTGAGAGGGAAGCTCTTAAACTGACGCGGGTCGAGCGGGCTTGTGGAGAGCGCCTTGGTGGGTGCCTTCTTGGCGGTTGATGAGACTTTCTTGCGGAAGATGAGTCTGTCAGAGCGAGATGTGCGGTGAGGCAAGTGATGGGTAAACTCTTGCTGGACGTCTAGCTTGGATGAAATCCACATTGTCGCTCCCAAGGTGATGGACAGCTGGGCGATACTGGCGATGCCGAATCCAGACCAGAATTGGCCAGAGGAGCTGGGGCGGTTGGACAAAATAGTTGAGGTGCTCTCCGATAGCTTCTTGAAGATCGGGCCAAATTGACTCCATCCGTTGCTGTAGCCGGCGAAAGCTACACCCCCCAAAGCGCCAGTCATGCCAAGTTTGAACAATGAGAGGGCCAACGAACGAGTCCGATCGGGCGATGACTTGACAGATACGACAGCGGTTTGCGCAACTTGCTCAAAGGTTGGACGGTAGACTTCGATTGATTCGGCGTGTTCCTATATCAAGTCAGATTATTGTCATCTCATGTTAGGGCTTGGAAAACATACCTCTGATGGGAGGTCGCCAACATAATATTGCACTAACTCTTCACGAGCCTCGTCAGAGTGACCAGTCTCTTCGAATGCCTCCGTAGCATCTGTGCCAGCGACCTCAATCAAGATGGCACTGCCACCAGGGTGGTCTTCGAGGTATTTGGTGACATCGTAGACTTTGTTGTGCAGAATGATCCAAACATCATCTGGCTTGTTATGCCGTTGAACTTCTTCAAGGGTGTACATTTTGTGAGCTAAATGAATCTCTTAACTTTTGAAATCCACCAAGCATTTATTTAAATATAAAATATGTCAATCCCTATATTCAATATTCTCGTGCGAAGTTCGCCCGAAGGTCGGAAGTCGGAACTACATGCCGATCCTCATACACTAATGAAGACAATGTCCAATGCTCCACTGGATAATTCAGATATTGCCATAAGAGCGAGAAGATATTTAAGAACAGTGGTGATCAAATGGTTCTTCTAAAATATTAACCAAAATTTATCATGTCTGTCGCACTAGCACCTAATATCGTTCCTGTGTTTTACTTGATCGGAGATGAAGTATCAACAGCACAGCCAGTAACCATCGATTCCAAATGGAAGATCGAAGATGTCAAGCGCGCTGTAGGAGCTGTATTTCATGTTGCTGCACCACTTGGTATGTGTTCCCAGCCACTAACATACATACATCACCTGTGCTAACATAATCAGGCTTGACCTTCCACGGAGAAAATGAACAGGAATTCTTGTCAGTAGAGGAAATTCTTGGCGCAACCTCATCACAGACTGCACCTATCGGTCTCCGTGTTGATGGACAATCGGTCCAGAGCCCGCAAGGCCCCGAGGGCCTCCCACTCGTGGGCAGCTTCTATGAGATCTTCCCCGACCACCTGGGCAATCACTACCGACTCTTCCGCAAATATGGCCATGTTATCAAGACCACCAACATGGGCAAGACAACATACTTGACTGATAGTCCTGAAGTGGCAGCTGTCGCCCTGACCGAATCGGTCTACATGACCAAGAAGATTAACGAGAGCCACCCTCTCTGGGGTGTTAAGGACAACACAGCAATCTTTATCGGAGATACCGAGACTGAGAACTGGCGCTTGGCTCATAAGTTCTTGCCATCAGCGATGGGTCCCAAGGCAGTACGCCACTATACCCCATTGATGCAGGAGTGTGTGCGCAAGTCCTTCGCAGTCTTCGATGAACTCGATGCTCGCGGCAAGTCCTGGAATGTCTACCAGTACATGGTGAAGCTAGCATCGCAAACCATCGGAAAATTTTCTCTGGGTACCGACTTCGAACACTTCACCGATGTTGATGCCCCTTTGCATCCGATCGTCACCAACATTGCCAGTCTGTTGTCTCTCAATAAGAAGATCACCTCCCGAGGTGAATGGTACCGCCACCTCCCCTTCGGTGATCCTGCCCGTCTCAAGTTTGTCCAGCGTACAATCTATTCCCTTCTACAAGAGAAGATCGACCTAGTCAAGGGTTCTGACATCGATGGAATGCCTATGAATCAAGCCGCAGTCGAAGCCTCTTGCGTAGTCGACTACCTACTCAACACCGTCGACGAATCCGGCCAAAAGTTCCCCGAAGGTCTGATTGTCGCAAACATGCTCATTGTCACCGGTGCTGGCTTCACAACCACCTCTGCATTGATGTCATGGCTCCTTTACTGCCTCGTCACCTACGAAGGCACCCAAGACCGCCTCTACGAGGAGCTGTGTGAGCGTGGCGTTGCCAACACCGACAAGCCTGTCGACTGGACACCCGAGTTTGCCCACAGTCTTGCATTCCTCGACTGTTTCGTCAAGGAGACTCAGCGCCTGCACAACGCCTCCTTCCAGCCTGGCCGCACGACGAAAACCGATGTTGTCCTGCCCGGTGGATACCGTCTACCTCCTGACAGTGTCATCGTCCCCAACCTATATTCCATCCACACAAACCCAGAAGTCTGGCGCGATCCTTTCCGCTTCGATCCTGATCGCTGGACTGGCGAAGAGACAAAGAACAAGCATCGTTGCGCTTATATTCCTTTCGCTACGGGTCCCCGTGGCTGTATTGGATTCAACTTTGCGCTGCTTGAGGTTAAGATTTTGCTGTCGGAACTTGTCTCGCGCTATGAATTCACCCGTGAGGGACTTGAGGCTGTCGAGTATGATCCTGAATTCCAGTTGATTCGGCCGTTGAACTTCTATGTTCGCGCTAAGAAAAGAAACGCTACTGCTTAGAGTGTTGGAGCACTATTATTTAGATTGGTTTGGCGTTGATATGGATTGATCTTTGTTCATTAGACTCATAGATGGCAGACAATGCTATGTACAAAAGAATTTACACCTGATATTTCCTAACTTCTTAACAAACGGTCTCTGAAGAGGAAAGCTCAGAACTAGGGATCATGATATGTCCATTTGCAACCATCACGCCAGTTCCGGAAATCGTGATGCTAACCGAATCTTCCGTATTCGGCTCAATGCTCAAATGCATCACGCATTTCCTCCCAGTCTGTACACCCTGTACAACCTCAATTCCAGATACTCCAGTCTCCATCGAAGTTAGGATATTGTTCGCCCACAAGTAAGCAGCCAAAGGTCCAGCGGCCGAGCCCGTAGCCGGGTCTTCCATTGACATTCCCGGACTGAAAAATCGGGCCTCAAATCTCGGAATCTTTGGCTCGAACTCATTTGCCGCTGATGCGAAAACATATATGCCGCTATTATGGCTTTCAGTACTAGCAAGCTCCTTTGAAATCCCCTCTTTGTTGGAAAAGCTGACACTTTTCAGGACATCAATGCTTCGAACTGGAACCAAGAGATGACGAGCAGGTGAAGTGGTAACAACCATTGCCCGGTCGAGTACAACATTCAAGTATCTTAGTCCAATATCACAGACGTCGATCCCAAGAGATGTCGCAAGGGAACCGTGGTTGGTATGTTGATTCAAGAACTGTGGTTGTCCCTGGCGCATCGAGACAACAAGATCTCCTAGCTTTGATTGCGATACATCCACCGGTAGAACGTCATTGCCTAGTTGTTGGAAGTAAGTACGACCGAGTTCCGTGTCTTGCGCGATGTCCCCCAAAAGCCCAGAAGCTGCAATCCACCACCAGGCACCGAGCGAGTTGTGACCAGCTCCGAAAACTTCTACTCCGTTGGGGAGAAATGATCGCAGGCCCCAGGTCGCTTTTGAGTTTGTTGGGGGACATATGAAGGTTGTTTCCGATAGATTGAATTGTCTTGCTAGTAGTTTCATCTGGGTGGGGGTGAGAGTGGTGGATGTGGTGTCTACCACTGCGAGGGGATTGCCTTGGTAGGCAATGGATGAGAAGACGTCGATTATATAGTAGCGGAGTTGAGACATTGTGGAAGTTGCGCTCAGGAAATAGGCTATAGTGTGAGAGTGAAATGGATGATAATTTATACACAAAATATGGAGAAATAGGTCCAAGTCCATTTAACAATTCAGCTAATGATTCTGATCTATTATAAATCGATCAAATTAGAAATCTCCCTCGTATTTCTCCTCGTATTTCTCCTCGTATTCGTCACATTCTTCCATCTTGGCCACCTTGTATGCAATGATATCCCATATTCACTAACCATCACTAGTTTCCCGCAAAGCCTTCAAAGCCCGCGAATATGGACCAAAGTACCTTACGTTAGTATCCGTATCCTCCCACACAGACTGTTGCTCCTCGCGCTCCAAAACAACAATCAACCGCTTAACAAGCACCTCAGCACGCGAACGCTGCGGACTAGAAGAAACTAAACTCTGAAGCGTGAGAGCACAACTAACAGCATTATGAACAAATGCCCAGGAGCGGCACACGGTCGCCGCAAGACGGTGCATATCCAAAAAGCTCTCAACAGCTTGAGCAGCGCAGTCAATACATTCCATCTTGATTGAATCAACATCCACAGCTGGACTATGAACTTCACTGGATGAAGACTCCAGAATCAGCCGACACATCCGACAGACTGCGTAGCAGATGTGGATATTCAGGGCTAGACGCTCGAGATGATCTTGCAGGCTGCGACAGTGGGATTTGTCACGAAGGAATGGGGCGGCGTCTTCGAATATAGCTGCCATCCGGCTTTTGAAGGATAGTATTTCGGTGACGGTTTCAGTGTGGTCTTGTCGTGCGCGCTCGAGGAGGACTTGGCATATGGCGCAGACGCATTCTGCGAAGGAAAGTCCAGGACTTGTGTCTTGGTCATGAGGGATGCTGCTGCTTGGCTTGTTTATGTTGGGTGGGCGGTCGTAGGTGAAGGAAAGAAAGGTATCTTGCCATAACAACATCCACCTAGAGTTTAGGTTAATGAGAGTTATTGTATCAAGTTTGTTAGAAGTTGAGCACGTACCATAGACGTTTTCGCTGAAATTGTTCCAGGGTGGAACTTTGTGTGTCTGAGGCCGCCTCTTCGTGCAGTCCAATACTCTGTGCAAGACGTATCGTTGATCCTATAACTAGTCAGTGCTGTTACCTGGTTATAACTAAGACGGGGTACATACCCATCAAAATCCAGGCACTATTAGTATCGAGATTGTTCCGCAGGCAGTTTCCAATCAACGCCTTGGCCTGGATCTGGTTCATGTTGGTGTTGTTGAAGAAGTTTGAGGCTCGGAGGCATTGGAAAGATGAGCAGACTGGTACAATTAGATCCAGATATGGAAGTATGTGGGTTCGGAGTAGACTTACTGAACACCTTACAGCGTAGATCCCGCTCCTTGATGGGGTCATTCGAGAACTGCACTCCACAGGCAAGCACAGCAAAGAGCAGTGCAAGCCACGAGGAATCCACGTCATCTAATCTCATGGTCTCGTTTTCCAGCAGCATTCCTGTGCGCTTGTTCATGAATGCAAATAGCGAGATATTGAATTGCTCGTAAGTTACCAGCGCTGGGTAGAACGGGTGGACATTGGTTTGATAGATTTGCCAATACCTGCGACCATTCAATCAGTACAATAATAGAAGCAATAGTTTCAACATCCATGTGATCATGCCAATGAGAATCATTCATTAAGCAGCCGTGATACATACCGGATAATATCCGACTCGTCAGGTAAAGTCTCGCATATCTCTCCAGCGCCGGGCTCTTGCTTCCACAGATTCGTAAACGGATACGTTCGGGGCGCAAGCTGGTCGGAGAGCATTACATCGTTAAACATAGGGTCACTCCCAGCCTGTCGGCATCCCAGAGCGACAGGCGGATCGGAATGGCTGCCCAGGAAGATGGTAGCGCCGGTAGCATCTTCGACGAAGTGCTTTCCGGGAGATTTGGCAAGTGTAGAGCCTTTTCTCGTAAATGGTAATTCTGTGGGAGATGCAGAATAGGCTTGGGCAATTGTGCCCGACCGATCATTTGAGCGGGTCTGGCGAAGCTCTGCTTTGAGTGAAGATATCTGCTTATCCATGTTGTCGAGCCGGCTGAGAATGAGATCAATCCCCGGCGGGTATTTATTATTTTCATTTAGATATACTGTTTGATCTTCGCCGGAAATACTATTGAGTACGTTGTCAGAGGTTGGAACTTTCCAAGGAAGCCCTCGAAAATATGAGATAATATCCCATGTTCATGACGTCGGAAAACACCGCAAAGCAAGACAAGGAATAACATAAAGACAAATAGTGTTGGATCATACCTGTGAGTGCTAGTTCCCTGCGTTTCTTCATCCCTATCTCTATTCATCGAGCTACCCTTCCCATCGGAAGCTGGCGGCTCATGTCCTGAGCTAGGAGGCAAACAGCATAATTCCGGGTGGTTACGCTGCAAACAACTAGAGCATGGCATATTACCATCGCAGCGGACTTTCCTGTGACGACAAGGGAAACATGACTTGATGCCGCGGGTGCGGCGCTTGCGCTTAAGCAGCTCACTGATGTGGTTTATGTCGTATGGATATATGGTTTGCTGTGAGCCCTGGGACTTAGACGGATCCATGTGGACAGATTTTAGATGTCAAAGATGATCAATAATTCAAAATGAAGATGTGTATAATCGTACTTTCATATATGTCTAATCAAATTTGTTGCAGACTTCGGGAGTGACTGATAATTATGACATTTACTCTGTTCTGATTCGTTGATAGATCTTACCGCCATCTCCCCCATTTTACCTTATTTTAACTAATTTTCACCTTCAATCTTTGGCTAGAATTCGATCCACTTTGATCACTCTACTCCGTATGATTTGCTCTTATACAATCGGGACGGAACCTTGGAAGCCCTCGAGCCCTGCAGGGCTGATTATGTCATTCCAGCCTTTCGAGGTTATCCGTCAAAAGATATATATTTCTTGAGAGGTTCGAGGTTCAAAGCCAGCTCTACCGGTGCTGCTGGACTTTTTATACTACGAAGATATCGTCAAATTAGACTTTTTCTAAGTAAACTCTATCAAAATCTGTAGCTGCAAGCGAAATCCAGCGACCGGGTAAAGTAATGTACAACGCATCTCTGTTGAGCTAGATATAGTTCCGATAACTGACTTCCCTGGCAGAAGACCATCGGTTAATCAGGTATTTTAGCCGATATCCGTTATTCCTACTCCATAGACTCTCAGCCTCATAGAAGCGTTATGACAGTGCCTAGGGAGAACAGAATAGTTCGGCTTTATATTCAGATTCCAGATGACATGAAAGAAGCCGCCCGGCAACACCAATCTCGCTCTCCCTGGGCCATGGTAAAAACGGCTGAGAAGCTAATGAAGCCGTATATGTTGACGTATCACCATATTGCATGGATAGGCAGTATGGAGGACACGGCTGGCTTGGCAAATTATTTCTCAGTTATTCTTGAAAAGTAGGCAAACGAGAGGAGTTGATGGATATATAGTTTTGGGCAGCGTTACTGCAGGACTAAGGACAGAAACACATTTAATTTACTTCAGCAACAGCAGAGAACCACATAGTTACGGGTCTATTTGATATTGTGGAACAATAACCTTGAAATGTTGTGTGACCTTGAGAGGCTGTGTAATGTGATCCTTGAAGTCTAATGTAATATAGATCTGCAGAACCCCCTACCTCGCATCTGACCTACCAATCCTGACTGACAACACTCATTCTATGCGTATCCACCCTCGATGGGCATCAAGCTCGGATTAGCTCGATTAAATAGCCGCCCCCTGAAGCTTAACCGCACCTGGCTCGTCTAATAAGGTAGTCAGCGTCTGGAACACAGTCACAGGATAATGTGACTTAGCCCTTGATGGGCATGATGATCAAGGGGGTAGTCCACGAGAATCCATTGAGAGGATCTATTTTTGAAGTGACTAGTAAGTCTTGACCCCCTTCCCGGTATAGTTTGCTGAGCGCAGCGAAGCAAAATAAATAGAAGCATACCGTATTCAGAGTATTGGCGATCTCATATTTCTGCTGGCGCGTACGAAGTAAACATACAAGATCATCAGACCATTCTATCTCGGCGTTATCATTCTTTAGCAAGGCTTGATTTTACTAAGCCTATCAACCAGACTCAATTGAATAACATGCGCAAGGGAGGGCAGTTGGACGATCGTAGAATCCGTCTCTATCTATAGCTTCTTGATTGAACCATTCACTGCTGCGGTAAATGTCTTATTGGTCTTACCAGTATTCTTAATCATACATTGACAGAATGACTCGGGTAGGATGTAGGGATAGGGTTCGTTCGGAAGGTTCGATGAGAGCGCGGCTGCGTTGCTTTTAATGGCTTTCTTCCAAATTGGCCACGTCGGCAACTATTCCAAGGCCAATTGGCACTATAGCACTCCGCGCTCCTGCCCAGCCCAGAGTGCCGGGTTGCGGTTGTACTGAGCCGACACAATGGGCACAAAGGAAAATGGTAGGTAATACACCGTACCTCGGTATGTTTTCCTTGTTGCGAAAGCTCCCATGTCCGGTTTCTGACCTACCAGGAAGAGACGGAGTTATATCAAGACACGATTATCTCCAACCTTGAGTGCATTTTATGGCCATCAAATCTGATATCGATGCGGTGACTGAACAAAGGCGACTAGTTTTTATTTCATGAAAAGAGTCGTCATTTGATTATTAGCTGAAGGGACATCCTTAGGTCTACCATTAGGTGATTCTGCGGCGCTAGCATAGGGAGTTCGATTGGTGAATAGCCTACATTAATAGTTCTGTTGGTTCTCTGGCATGCCTCTAGGAATCGGGCCAACCCGAGCCTTAATACCCAAATCAAGCGCAGCACGCGACATTCAGCTAGATGGCGCAGGGTAAAAGCACATTTTGGCAATATCACGTCGAGAGCCTGTGCTGCTGGCTATTCAGAGTGAACGAATGGCCAATACAGGATCGCATTTTGTTGCCATGGCGAACCTAACCTACGGGTTTCCAGCCTAGAAAACCGCCTTTAAGGATGTCTGCTGGTTTTGATTACAGAGAGGGGCATTATGACTTCTGTATTGCTTTGAATTCCTCAACTCATACTCCCTCCCACGTGAGCTTGGTAGAAGTCATGTAAAACCAAGGAAGAACATATCGTTAACTTGATCAGAAGTGAACAGTAAACTTGATATCTTCATAAATCTTCATGGTATGAGTATCGGCTCTGTATATCATTACATCACCGATGGCCCTACGTGTCGCATTAGGCAATCTGCATAGCTTGGCGCGAGCCCACACTCTGGAAATAACAACCAATCGTGGAGAATAAGTACTACGTTGTGGACGATGACTATACTTGATTTCAGAGATGAAGAATCTGTCGACTTGCCCAACCTGGAAGCAGCCTTATCTCAAGAGGATAGCCAGAGCTATGCTAAGAGCTTTAGACGAACAAAGATGCTCGTGCCTTCACGTTCTCATCCTAGCGCACCAGACAAACCCCCATTTGAGACAGTAGTGGGGCTTCTGAGGGCACCAATCGATCATGACAGAGATCTGACGGTATGAAAAGTATGGTAAAATCCAGTGCTATATAACTCTCTTATCTTGCTAAATATGATAAACTCGCTAATTTAAATAGACAAAATTACTAATCGACTATGTACTTTTCTGTGGGTTAAGATGGCTAGAGCCAAAATCCGTCATTACGATAGACAACGCCTTATTCCACCACTCAGAGCGGCTTGCGCAAATGTGTGCGGAAGCTAGGATGAAATTGGTTTATCTGCCGCTCTTTCGTCTTTCGCCGGACTTAAATCCAGTGGAAGAGTTATTTGCTGAGCTGAAAGATAATTGGAGTTACTATGAAAAAGCCCCCGGTCAAGGTTTTGATGTCTTGAATGGTGTATCAATGTGGTCGGTGCACAGGAAGAGAGCGCCAAAGGCCATTTTCGCCATGCGGACCTGAAAATAGATATTTGAGGTGGCTAACCACCGAAGGTTGGTATATATTGTGACACTATGTGAGTAAAGGGAAATCCCAAAGACGATGCGAGGTCTGACTTTGCTTGCGGTGGTTGGATCGTCCTTTTGACGGGGCTATATGAGTTGCGACTTTTTGCATATTTCTGCCCCATTGATATGTGATATATTTTTGATCACAAATAAGGACGGAGGTTGCCGTTTTCGCCTTCTATGTAGAAAATATGAAGCCCTGTTTTATACATGCAAGTTTTCAAGTAATATTAACTTGATTTTGTGCTAAGGTAAATGGTAGGCTCGACTTACAGTCACATAAATCTGTCAAGTCACCAAAAAGTCTCTCTCTATTAATGAGAACTAGTAGGGAAGGGGGCGAAAGGAGCTAAAGCCCAGGGTGATATGCACTATCGCGGGAGAAGGGCACAATATTGATAAAGGAGTACAGGGATACAAGTGAGATTCCTGATGAGAAGCGGGATCTGTGAATCCGATACGTGATTTCGATGCCTCATAACTTTGGTTTCCAGAGTTCGGACTAAAATGGAGATGCATTGTGATTTTATCGCTTCAGGGATGATGCCGAGTCTTAGACATTATTTCCTGGTTCATAGGGTAGTGAGAATCCCGTCTGTTTACATTCTTTAATAACCTCAATGTACAAGATATGAATTATAGAATGGATCAGCATTTCAATGATAATTGTAGGTTGGCCCGTCGTGCATAGTGCGAGCGGCCACCAGTTTGTCCGTGATATTCAGCTGTCCTACAAAGGACATGAGCATAAAAAAACGTGCATAAACTCTAATTACCGCGGACTAGTCTACCCCTAGCAAATTAGGATTAAAAGATTTTATGAACAAGTTCTTGGGTGGAGACGAAAGGTCTCTGTGGCTTCAGCAATGTGTAAAAAGGGGGCAAATAAAACCAACAAATGTGAGGAATACAGGAGACGGGCCAATTTGGCACAGAACTCTTTGAGGATTGTGGAGAGCATAGGATTCAGTGAGCATTCAAAGGAGCTTTGGGCGATCTAAGAGGGAAATGATGTACCAACGCGATCCTTTCCGATCGGGCATCCCGTGTAGATCCTGCGACGCACGTTGAGGTTCAGATCGACAATATGTCCCCCCATGGTAGTTACCAGGGACAAGACCCATTACTATTTAGAGGAGCTTCTCGCCATACGATGAAGGGGAGCCCCAGGTCAGAACATCTCTTTCGTGACCTATCGACTTGTCAGCATGTGGTTGACTCACCTCTTGGTGGGTATGGTGGCCCTCTCGACCACCTCAAGTGCCATTGGTCTTCATGGCGCTTTCAACGATCCGCTACAAGTGACACCCTCCTTCTCAGGCGACGACATCGTCCTACACCCAGGATGGGCACCTGGGCACGACCCTGATCACCTCGATCACCTGCGTCCAGGCCTGATAAAGACCCTCCACTACACACAAGAGGGCCATCGCCGTAAGCAATAACAGTTCGAAAGTCTCATTATTAATACCTAGTTGACTTTTCTATAGCTGCCGTCCACGGCGCGAAGCACGCCTCACTCGAGGCAAACTTCACGCGACATGCAGTTGTTCTCGACCACTCTACCAAGATTCAGAGTATCACCTGTGATGATGACGACATCCAGATTTGCTTCAGAACACCCGAGGCGCTCCAAGTGGCTGAAGAGTTTTGGTCCAGCGATATGACCCTAGTAACCTACCACACAGGCTGTGGTGATCACGGCTCTGGGAAGCGCAGCTTCTTCCATACTACTCGCCCCATCACCGTGGCGGACTCCCAGTGCGCTGTGATGGGGATTATCCCGATTGAAGAGGAGAAAGCACTTCACTCGGGAGTAGTTACATGGGGGACTTACCGGTCTAGTGACGGGCAAAAGAGATCAGAACACTCTGGGACAGGCGGGCACATACGCGTTGCCCAACCACCTTCGGATTCGGAGAATGGCGACGATATCACCACCAACCCAGACGCCCTGCATCATTTCTTCAATAACACCGACATTGACACCACCAACATGACCAAAGAGGTGGACTACCTGGATATCATGCCGATGGATGGCGAGATGAATGAGATGAACTCAACAGAGATGGGCGGGACCTCACTTTCCAGGAGATCCAGTCACCAATTGGCTGAGCGGGGAATCTTTTGGGATATTTGGGAAGGCTTGAAAGCTATGAGTGAGGTAAGATGACCTGGGCCATTCTCAGTGGATTTGAAGATCGATGAAGCTAAACTCAAGAATATATAGAAAATTGTCAGTGTGTTCGCTAAGGCAGTACCTGTCCTGCTTACTGTGCATGATATGATGCGCACCTACGTTGTTGTTAGCGCGAAGCTGTGGCTGGTTCGCTTTGGGGTCCCATTTGACCATTCAATCCATTATGATGTAACGGTCGACAAACATCTCGAAGGGAAGAGTGTCACGAACAAGCCCCCCTCCATCTTAGGGATTGGGGATGGCTTCAGCCTGGCCCAGACTATCGACCATGGTATGGAGTTCAATCTGCGGTGTGTGAAGTGCGGAATCCACGCCGATTTCAACATCGACGGACGACTGGCATTCAGCATTCTGGAAGGGGTGACTGAGGGCTTCGTGGAATTCGTTAATCGCGACCCATTCACACTGGATGCAGTGTTCGGGGTTACGATCCATAGCAAATTGGCCTCAAAGACGTGGTCAAAGAAGTGGTCAACACCGTTGGAGGATCGGAAGGCCAAGCAGGTCACCGCGGCCCCGTTTAGTCCTCTCACTATTCCGGGAATCATCACGTAAGTTTCATCCCTCTCCGTGTATATCTTCCATCCCATATGGAAAAGAACCGTCCTCGATTAACACTATGATCATGTAACCTAGGCTAGGGCCCCAAGTTTCCATCAGTGTTGCCTTCGACGCCACGGTGGAGGGAGAGTTAGAATTACTTCTCGGGGGCCAACTTGAAGTTGCAGCTGGAACCGCGCGTGCTAGCGTTAAGGGGAAGGAGGATAGCAAGCTCAAAGGCCTCGAGGTTCGAGTTCAACCTGTCTTCCAGGCATCTGGTAACCTTAAGATGACAGGCGACCTGGGTCTGCCCTTTGCGTTGGAGTGCGGAATAGACGTGCTCAATGGAAAGTTCAAGAAGACGGTCGGCATCATCCATACTCCATCTGTCTACGTCCAGGCGGAAGCAACCTTCGGTGGTAATGCATCGGCACCTTGTCATGACGGTGTGGAACTGCGTGCTGGTGCTAAGGAACGGATCCATGCAGCGGCCCTGGATATGTGGGAGTATGACCTCGTTGATCAGATTCTCTATGAAAGATCTTTGGGTTGTGTCACGTAAGTGCCTATCGCGCCGGATTGTGTTAAAAAGAAAGGCCATTCTAACTGCTTACCAATCCCTACAGGGCGAGCGGCTGGAATGATACCAATGTCCACGAATCCAAGGGGGTTATTAAGGACGTGATTAAGTCTTTCGACGGGAACGACACCGGATCCAATCCGCCGACTCTAAACGATGTGGCGAACACAATGAAAAAGCCAAAGACAACGAACGCCGGGTTCCGGTTAGTGATGGACGGTGAAGCAAACTCGATCATGGTGTCCGGCACGGATGGCGGTATTTATCTGGTTGACCGGGACAACAAGTATGACTTAAGCGCGCCATTTGGAACCACCGATCTGAAGCATAATACTCTGGTGATGGACGTGTTTGGACGTCTCATCGGCTACAAAGGTGTCACTCAGGCGCATGAAGCCTATCCGAATATAGCTGAGGTTCGAGCTGTCGACCCTCACCACGTTCCAGATGGCTTTCTAGCAACGTAAGTCCCTTTCCCCGGATTATACATATATAAATAATCCACCAAAAAGACTGACTCACCTCTGCCTGGACAGCTCAATTGTCGAACTGGAGACCTCTGAGCCTGGTAAGAAGTTCTATGGCATTCCTTACCTCCTTCCAAAGGATGTGCCTAGCGTTTACACGCCGGACATTGGGTATACCACCTTTTGTAAGACAGATCAGGGCCTGCGGCTATATATGACGAGAGCTGCGATCGACAAGGATGGCAACGTACGAAATACCGGGCAAGATTCCCCCAATGCGAGCGCGAAAACATATTACAACGAATTCTTTAGGCAACTAGGTATTGGTCTGAGCAATTGCCGGACCATCCAATTGACCTCCTCAGAGAACTAGGTCTCCTCAATACCGGGTTGCGAGGTTGAGGTCATCAAGGTCCCAGTTATGTCATTAGATAGTTCCTAATAGCTCATAATTATACTCCTACTACTGTTATTACTACTATTAGCTCGATTCAGTCCATGTAGTGTGCAGTGGACAATGCTGCTCGTGTTTCGAAGGCTAGGTGACACCTCCCTATTATTGACTATCACTCGCCACTCTATACGTTAGTGGATACACGTTGGCGGGGCCTCATTGTAGGCTTTCCCATCCTCCCACTCACACAGCTAGTGAAATTTTATGGATGGGATGGATCATGCCAAGCGCCTAACACACCTACCGAGGATTCTGCCAAAACCTGTTTTTTACGCAGGTTTTGTAGGCCTAAGCCCACACGATGGGTCCTGGGTTGATTCCTCGGTGGAGGTCTTCGACGCATTTATGGGGTTTGTTGTTGTCTAATAATCATAAGTAGGATGATCTCTCTCACTATTCCCTAGGCCGTACTCGGGTTGGCGCTATAATTAAATTAAGCGAATGTGGCTGCTCTAACGAAATCCTTCAAGGTATGACCTAATCTTCAGGCAGGGGGAGTCACTCTAGTTAGGACAAGGGGGGAGGGTCGCTGTAGTAATCCCCTCTATGCAACTATACCGTAGATAACGTATTTCACAAGCGAGTGACGCTCACAAGCGAGTGACGCACCCCAACCAGCCTACTGATTTCAACTTCTTTTATATCAACAAAAATGTCATTAAATCAGCTCAACTAATTAAGTGGTCTATTTGGACATGTTTCCCTTCGATGCCCTGGCAATCTGCATATTCCACACCCCCGGGGGGGCCGAGTACGTGGCTGAATACCCGATTCTCTAGAGGTGCTAGGGCCGGGGGGGTTTGCTTCACTTGCTTCCTGTTGCTGCATAATTAATGCAGAAGCTTCTTCAATTGAAAATCCCTCTTCAGAAGTGATCGGCCTTCGAGATCTAGTCCGCTTTTGCTTCTGCTTCTCGTTTTCAGCGCGTAATTCCTTGTTTTCCTTCGCTAAAAAAATAGCACCTTGCATTATAAGACGGAAGCCTTTTATAAGCTGGTTTAATGCACGATCTGACGGGCTGGGCGGGCTTCGAGACCTCGTACGAAGTAAAGCTTTGATTGACGAAGCCTGTCGACGTAGTTCTTTCTCTGTAGTAGGTGTTTTTGGTGTGAAATTCCGGCTTAAATCGCTCCCCCTGCTAGGGGGGGGGGTGTTGGGGTTCGAAGTTAAATATTCAGCTTCGAGATCACTCTTTCTGGTGAAAAAGGGACTAAACCAGCTGCTCCGAAGCTATTCTTGATAGTTTCCGATTTAAAAGCTTTAATTCGTGCGAGGGGGTATGCTTCGAGGAAGTCAAGTTTATCAATATGATTCACTTAGAGCCTCATTTTTGTCTCCACCAGCCGCCCGTATGATCGTTTTAACACAGCAAAACAGCCAATATCGAGAGGCTGTAAAAGATGAGAGGAGTGCGGAGGCATACAAATAGGTATTATCCTATTTTGCTCGCAAAGTTCATCGAATTTTGGGGTTAAATGACTCCCGTGTCCGTCAAGAACTAGCAGCCTATACCTTCCCTTCGTACGAAGAGAAGTGCTAGGAATAAAGAGCTTTTTAAGCCAGCGAACTCCTATTTCATCTGAAGTCCAACCATTAGGACTAACTTCAATTCGCCAGTCGTTTGGTAGGCCTTCAAACCATGATTCTAAGTAGACTTTGCCTTTGAAAATGATACACGGAGGGAGGGCCCACCCCGCTGAATTTATACACTCAATAGTAGTCACCCATTCACGATTTCCAGGTTGTAAAAGCGGGCGCTGACCGTAGAATTCAGCTCTTGTAACTACCTTCGTAGTAGCGATTAATCCCATTGCGAAACCAGTCTCGTCAAAGTTATAAACGTCTTCAGGATCGATCCCAAATTGAAAGATGGTTTTTTGAACAAGATTAAACCACTCTTGGATAATCTTTAGGTCTTCGCACTTTGCACGTTCGAAATTATATCGTTTCGAGAATCGGGAGGAGAGGAGAGGATATCGTTTAATGAAGTTTGTAACCCAATTTTCGCCGACCGAAGGAGCTGGGGTTATGCCACGTTGTTGAAGTAAAAGATTCGCCATTTCTCGTACAGTAGTAGGGCGGGGAGCTGCTCCACGAGAGTCCATAGAGACGATCCATTTTTGAAGAGATTCCTCTTCAATTGATGTCAATTTATGGGAGTTTGCGCGTGAAGTCGCGCGACTTTCAACCCCTCGGAGGCGTCGACGGAGGGTGGCCTCAGGCACTTGAAAACAGCGTGCTGCTCCACGAATAGAGGCGAATTCTTGATTTTTAAAAGCCTTGATAGCTAATAATATCCTACCCTCTTGCTGTGTTGAATTTTGACAGCTTTGAGAGCGAATTGGTGGCATGGTGGGGGGTTGAAATGATTAAGTGCTAAATCATGGACGCGTTTTGGTTGGGGTGCGTCACTCGCTTGTGTGCGTCACTCGCTTGTGAAATACGTTAGTTAACTAGTTAGTTAGCTTGATTGTCGGCCTGGTATTTTAGGCAATTAAGCCACCAGTTAACTATCCACCTCCCAATACGGCTAGTGCAACGCTATCAGGTTAACCAGGAGGAAAACGACGAGTATGGCTTCCGTTCTTTCGCCTCGGCTAAATATCTATGCTGCGATCCAAGAGCCCGGACTAAGAAAGCCTTCATGCGCATCTACATTCAATTTCCCCATCGGAAGACTGAAATGGATGATACATTATGGCCGGTGTTGCAGCTTGAAGAACTTCCTTTCTACTGATATGGCTTCTCCAGATATTGAACCTCACTTGGTTGTCATTGCGAAGTATAATGCGACATATTACAAATAGCAAAGACCGAAAATATTCCTGGCGTTAGTTGTGAAGATAATCACACTTTTTGCGACTTCCTCGATGCTGCCCAGTAAATTCGAGAAAACCAACACGCAGCCACTTCTACCCTTGGCGGCAACATATGATCGTTAAAATGGGAACTCTCTTTCCATGATATTCTGAGGGCCTATTGAGACATCAAGACCAGAAGCATACTCAGATTCGGAAGAAGAGCCTAGCGGCCTCTATCCCCGGAAGACGACTTCTACGAGACAAAGGAAGAGATTTCACAGGACTCGCTGATGATGCAAAAACCAGTGGCATCACTACAGTAAATATTACTATGTCAACGGAGAGCCTAGACCAGAGGATTAAAAACACTAGAAAAAGAGTGGGAAGCCCCCCCCCCCCCCCCCAAGCTCCCAACACCAAACCTAGGTGTATTGGGCGCTTGGCACGATTATATCCTTGCTATTGCCCGTTAAGCGAATCTGGTAACCGAATTTTTCTAATCGCTTTTTTAGGATGGTACTGTTGACAAGGTTATCCTCGGCGACTAAAACGTATAGTTTTGACCTTCCTTTGTATTAGTTATCGTCGTATCGGAAGCTTCGGTTGGCGCCTTAGATTCTTTGAGGATAACGCGAGTCCTTTCCTCTTTTTCTTACTTACAAGCGGTAACAAGGCCTTTAAAAAAGTTATAAGTATCTTCCTATTAAGTGTGAAGAGAATTAGCCTGAAGAAAGGGATCAGTTCTTTGTCTAGGGTCTGTAACTGATCATTCAAGTCTCATTTATACCCGTTGTCCCATGATTTTACGCACTTGTGTATGTACACATATTAATGGAAGGCACGCTAAGCCTTATTTGGCTACCGCCGTGGTGTCTAGCGCTAGGTGAAAAGAAAAGCCACGCCCTAATTACTCCGTACTTCTTACCACTTGCTTAATTGGTAATAGTAATCACCGATAATCCCCGGGACACGCTAGTATGGTATTTATGTCCCACTTTATATGACAACAATAGGATTTGTTTTTTGAATAATTTTAATATGAAGTTTATCGGCTTGGAAAAGTTCTCCACCTCCCGGGGACCTCGGGACAACTACCGAGACACCACTTTCTATGTTTAGCTCATTATTCAGATGGTCGAGTAAAACTTCGCTAATTCATTTATATTTTACATAGAGATATCATATGTATGATCTGAATTGATGCACCAACACTCGTAGGTGATGTTTGATCTAAAGGCTGGACCTCGAAAGGCCATACTGGCTGATCAACTTCTCTGCACAAAGTGCACCAGTGACATACGCAGTAGCCTGAACATGCGCATTCACTAACACAGGCACGACCGACATATCTGCCACACGCAGGTTCTCAATACCTGTGACCTTGAAATCTGGATCCACGACCGCGTCCACGTCACCCTTCTTACCCATCTTCACCGTGCCCGTCATGTGCCAGCTCGACGAGATGTTCTGCCGCCAGTATTCGAGCAAATCCTCGTCTGACTCGCCCTTGGGCATTGCCAACTCTGCCACGTTGTCCTTTGTGTAGGATTCGTGCTTGGCGATGCGGAATGAGTCGCGCAAAGCCTCGATCGCGAGTCGGCGGTCGAATGGGTGGGCCAGGAACTTGGGATTGAAAGAGAGAGGAGCATCGGGATCCGACGATTGCAATGTGACTTCCCCGCGAGTCTGTGCGTTGAACAAGAAGACAAGCAAACAGGAGTAGCTCAATGCCTCGGGCGGGAAATCTGGGATGACCCAGTGAACAGGGAAATGGGTGAGGATCTCGTAGTGAGGGACGGTCTCCTGTAGAAGATACTTCTGCTCATCTGCTGGGAGGGCCTTGAACTCTGATGAGGAAGTGAGCTGCTCAGTCAGCTTGAACCAGCCGATGCCCAACTCGCAGGCAAATTTCGACCAAGGCCCTGTCCCGTCTTCCTGCCATTGCTCCAGCGCGGCATCCATGGCGGCCTTGTCGCCATAAAAGGCTTTTCGGTCCGTGCTATGTTCTGTGCGAGTGTTCACCATTGGTACGAAGCAATGGTCTCGGAGCCCCTGGCCAATGGCTGGTACATCGTGAACGACGGGGATATTGTATTGCTGGAGTTGGGCGGCGGGGCCTATGCCTGAGTGCATCAGGATGCGGGGATCGTTTAGCGAACCGGCGGATAAGATGACTTCCTTTTCGGCGCGGTCTGTTTACGGGTATTAGTATCTGGGTAACTCGCAGCATGGATAGGGGGGCGTATTCACATTCGGTCCCGTTCGACACAACGCCCACAGCCTGCTTCCCCTCCAAGAGGATACGCTGCACAGGGGCCCCAGTGACAATAGTCAAATTATCCAGTTTCTCCTTAATCAGGTCCCCGGCTGTTGAGCGCAACCCCTTGTGCGTCGAGTTAATCAACACCGACATCCCGATTGGATCCCCCGAGTTATGATCTGGGTTCAATGGAAACCCAGCCTCCTCGAACACATCCAAGACGTCTGTTAAATCCCGCTCCCACTCCTGTGCAAAGCCCACATGCAACGGGCCCTCACTTCCATGATCTTCCTTCTTCGGGTCTGCATACTTCCTATCTATGCCCTCCGGAATCTCCCCATGGAACGTCTCTAGATTTTTAAACTTTTGCTGGACATTTCCCCACGCAAAAGTCTCATCCCCGACAATTCTCGCCCACTCTTGGTAATCGTCACGTGCCCCGATACTGTACACGCCAAAATTGATGGAGCTTGACCCGCCCATACACCGGCCGCGACTGTAGTCGATCTCACGGTTGTTGCACTCCGGCTGCGGGGTGGTCTTGTATCCCCAGTTCATTGGCTGCTCCTGGAAGGTGAGCCATCGCTGGCCGTCGATGCGAAGATTGCGATCTTCGTAATTGTCGCCTGCTTCTAGGAGGAGGACGCGGGGCTTTGCGGTAGAGTTTGCGAGGCCGGTGGCGAGGGCACAGCCAGATGGGCCGGCTGTAAGATAGATGTATTAGAAGATTTGGATTTGGAGAATGGGTGGATGTGGGGTGTTTTGTTTGTTGGGATTTGGGCGGATTTGGTCTCATTTCTCAAGTTCGTTTTCTCCATTTACGATCATGAGACCTGTGTGGGCCAACAAAGCTAGAGCGGAATGATGATTACTCACTCCCGACGACGATGAAGTCAAATGTGGACATGGTGCGAAACGACCTGATGAGACGGTACCGATGTCGGATTGGAAGTGAAATCAGCAAAAAAATACAAGCACCAATAAACAAGTTTGAAATTTGGGTGGGAAATTATTTGGAGGAAAGGAAGAATAAATACGTGATTTCCAACGGAGAACAGCGGAGAAAACTACAGGGGAAGACTCTATTCCCAATGTGGTAATTCATGCAAGTCTCAAAGCTTTCTAACGTCCCGATCCAGCTACTTGATGAGTCCGCCAATGATAAGTTGGCTTGTAGCCTGAACCCCCCACCAAGCCTGTAACGGTTCCAAAGTATAACCCGTGGGTCGGGACATGCCTCCCGTGTCGGACAAACGGATTTTCACCCCCCGCACCAATTACAGCGGTATTTCTATCTTAGACGTGGTGGACCTGGTGGAGCTGGTGGGGTTCATGCAAATTTCCATGGATGATCTTTACATGGATGATCTTCCAGGGGTTGACCATTCGCGCTATGGGGTTAGCCTGACAAGCTAAGTTGTATAACATAGTAATTCTCGACGTTCTGGAAATTCCTGGTGGGCCGGTCTGGCTGCAGGCTTTCTTTTTAATTCCCTCCAACTCCCGTCCTCATCTTCCGTTGTCTTGTCTTCCGCTTTGCGAACTACCGACTTCTAGGAATGGCCGGTAACGTCGAGGCATGGACCTTGTTGTCCTTGGCCCTTCTAATCATTATCATACGTATTATGGTACGATGGAAGCTCGTTGGGCCAGCCAATTTCCAACTTGATGATTATCTCATGCCATTGGCGGGGGTATGTTATTTTGCCTGCCCTATGAGCACCGTTGAAAGAACTATAATTGACGCCTTGCTCCTTGATAGATCCTTTTTGTACTCGAAACAGTAGCGGCGTATCTCGTCGGTGCCAAATTCCAGGGCCTGACTAACAGCTACATGACACCTGAGCAGCGAGCAACCCTCGATCCCCATTCGACTGAGTGGTCCAATCGTGTTGCTGGGTCTAAGATCCAGATCATTGGATGGTCATTATACGTGGCTATTCTCTGGCTGGTCAAATTCAGCTTGGCAGTCTTTTACTCTCGATTGACGTGCGCTTCACACATCACCTTGGACATAATGAAACAATTCGCTGAGCATATTACAGGACTGGCCTCCAACACCTCCCCACCCGAGTTCGGCTGGGATATATTATTCTAGGTGTGACATACCTCGCAACAGCGTTGTCCCTCCTGCTGTCATGTCAGCCCTTCCATGCATTTTGGCAGATCCACCCTGATCCTGGCAGTGAGTTACATTGTCACCAGATATAGTAGTCTTCTTATCTGACTAGATTTGCACAGATCTCTGTCAGCCAACCAAATCCCACGTTTATGTTTTTGTCGTCGTCGTACTCAACATTGTCACGGACATCTACCTTCTCTCAATCCCGCTCCCACTTCTCTGGACTGTCAACCTGAACCTGAAACGAAAGCTCCCCCTTATGGTTCTCTTCTCTGGCGCTACATTCGTCATGCTAGCTGGGATTATCCGGGCTGCTACGATTATGAAGGTACGTGCCATGCAATGATAATATACCTATACAGAAAAACACGCCTATTACGTATCATATATCTGACACACATGTTACAGTCCAGCCCTGACGGAGCTGAATCTGGCTCCCAATGGGCCTGTCGTGAAACTTTTGTCTCAATCGTTGTTTCAAACCTGCCCATCATCCAACCACTTATCCGCAAGGGCTTCAGGAAAATCGGTCTCTCTCACATCTTCAGTTCCTCGGGAGGAAAGACATCAGGTCAGCCATACCCGCTCTCTAGCCGAGGTTTACAGACCTTGACAACCCGCGGCGAGGGTGATACCAAGAAGGGTAAGACAAATGCTGCTGCTCCATCACATATGCAGGCATCCGCATGGGGCAGCGATGAGCATATCCTAGCTCAGTCCGAGCCGGGCTCCAAGGATATTACTGTTGTCTCGGAGACTGTCGTGCAGAGTGAACCATGGACCTTCGAGGAGGGATCTGGAGTGGGTCATTCGACATCGCCTCCGAAGGAGTGGGAGAGTCAGGTGTCGCATCGATGAGCGCCACTTACGGAATGCGAGGTGTTGTATATATGTAATTACTTAGGTTGGCGGGTATTGATCCCTGCACCCCAAAAATCTGCAGAGCCTTGATGAATATAGTATGGGCCAAGAAGTATATAAATTATCTATGGGATGGATTCTTATTTGGACATTAGGGTGTTTTTATTTCTTTTCTACCTGTACAAATTGGTCTTGTCCTTGAAATACATTCTGTTTTTTTTTTCACAGGACTGAGCCTCCACACAACATACTTCATATTTCGTTAGTGCTGAAAACATTATAAAGTGTAGAAAGGAAGCCGAGTCATGTGTGCATTATGCCATCGGGTCCAATTCAAACAACCTAGCACACAGCTAGTTTCATTAGCGCTGCAAATTTTGGACTGGCCTGGATATGCAGGTCCCCGTCGAACCATCTGAGCCAATCTCCATTGATCACCACGATCCTGTTCCCCCCTGGTTTATCTGTGTCTCATACCAAGTCTGTCCCATATTATTCTCTCTGGACTCGATAGTTTCAATAGCAAACATGTATTATTTCTTTTCTGGTATACATTATTCCTCTCATTTAACCGATCGCAACACGAAAACCATGCTATTTCATTAACACGAGCTTCTGGTCACGCGCGATATATACCTGAGCCCCCGACTTCTATCACTGCTTCACAAAATCCGTCGCATGTTCCTTATACAAGGTACTAGAATCTAAAATCTCCCCAGTAGAAGATTTCACAAAATCAACCTGTAAGTGCTGCTCATCCAAAAATCTGAGTGTGCTGTAGCTATAGTCATCGGCATACGCAAACTCCGTATAGGCAGGCTTGCTTCCCACATCGCTCAAACCCTCAACATTACCCGGGCCACCAGCAACAATATACATGGGTGCCTTAGGGTTGTGCATACCGTTGGAATCGGCGGTACCGTTAACAACGGGCGCAAACCGCTGCGAGTTGTGAACATGGCCAAAAACACCGAGGTCAACACCATACTGGTAGAACAGGCCCTCAAACGCCTCTTGGCAGGGGCCGCAGATGTTCGATGATTTTCCAGTTGAGTACCACGGTCTGTGTCCGGCAACAACTACCCAGGGAGTGACAGTCCGGTCGACGGAAGCGAGATCAGCCTCGAGGAACTCAAGCTGTTGGTTCTCAGTGCCAAAGGGGCCGCCGTTCAGCTTGGCACTGCCATCTTTGCCGCTTGGTGCTTTAGGGAAGTCTGTTTCGGTGTCGATCATTACGACATGCGCCATACCGTATTCGAAGGAATACCAGAAGGGCGGCTTTGACAGGCTGCGGGCCTTTCGGGCCAGAGTTTGGGCCGTTGGGTTGGAGGACGAGGAAACAAACGACTGGGGCATGGTTTTCTCGTACCGATGCATGAACTCAGTGAAGTTGTTCTGGCCTTTGGGGCAGAGGTTGTTCAGGTATGGGATCTCCGAGCAGTCTGCTTCGTGGTTTCCAGGGCTGGCCATGTAGAGCTTGCGGCCTGCGATTGGTGCGAGCTGGTCGTAGAATTGCTCAACAATGGACTCGTAGGCTTCTTTGCCGTCGAGCAGGTTTGCGAATTTGAGATACCAGTCGTCTGCGTAAGCAAAATCTCCTGGGTGGATGATAAGCTCGTAGTCGTCTACTGTCTGCGCAAGGCGACCAATTGTGGTGTGGTTTAATTCTGGCTCGACGACTGGAATAGTGTCCTTTTTGGTGCTTTTGCTTGTGAAGCCGTCTTTGCCGTAGACACCTAGATCAATGATCACATCCATATTAAAGGCAGTTTTATCGCCTGGCGTGCGAGGGCTGAGGAAATGGCCTATGGTTGAGTTGGTGGACTCGATCTTATAGTAGTAGGTTGTCGCCGGGGTCAGGCCCGTTAGGACGGCGACATTCGACCACGTCCGGGAAGGGTCGTAGGTGCTCGACAAGGATGAGCAGGCTTTGGTATTCAGGTTGTTTTCCGACAAGCCATAATGCACGCAACTCTGTTCCAGCTGCTGAAAGGTGTTCCAACCGACAGATACAGCTATAGCCGAATAAGTTAATCCTGATTCAGATTCATTATATTTAGCAAGTTTCTTACCATCAGGACCATAGACTGCCAATCGCTGCTGGAATGGCGTACTCAAATCCGTCGGAATCTTTGGATAACTAACACCAGCAAAGGCGCAGCCAGCCACAAAGGGCAGTAACTTGAGCGACAAAATTCCACCCATGACCAAATAATATAATTAATTCCCCGAATGTGAGACCTTAGGACCATGCCACAAAGACTCCATGGCTCAATATATATAATTTGTACCTCGGTGCAGGTACCGTAAGCATCATATATTCGCGTACGTCGAAATGCAACCAGGGCCAATCATGCCCGAAGGCCAACGCACGTCGTTCAGTCTATAGATCGTTTTTATGCATTGTCAACTGATCGACGACTTTCATTCGGCACAAAAGGTTACTATGGCCGTTTAGGATTAATGTAGGTATACTAGATGGGAAAGCTCGGGGAAAGCATCAACTTTCAGCGACGGGCGGTTTAGATGTCGGAGGGTAATTTATGGGCCGCCCTTGTTTAGTGTGCACGTGTGGAAACGTGGTGTGTTGGTTGGCTTTCCGGGGAATTGGTTTAGATTAATCTATGCATGTGATTGCTTACGTCTGAAACGTTCATTTTTTCGACTTGGATACACATGCCTACCTGTTGAGAAAACAAGAGTTAGAAACTGATCACCGATATGCCACCGAAATTTGACCAAATTTGTGCCGAAAACGGTGGCCTAATTTCATGCCACCTATTTCTCGCCTGGCAGCGGTTTGCACCATACAAGACCTCTTGAAGCACCCGAATCATGGTGTGTAGCCACGCTGAATGTTCTCTCTGATCAACTGAAGAACCAGATCGAATAGGTCAAAGGAAGCGACCTTTGTCTCTCGCTCCCCTTTGCTCTTTTTCTCTTCAACAACCAGAATGGTACCCCGATATTTTGACATGATCAGGGAGATGTGACTTACACCAACCAAACATCTGCTATCCATGGAGATCAGCCACATACATCTATCTTATTAGTCATCACATCCTGCATCCCAGCTGTCAGCGCCATTAGCAACCGAGTAACCACTAGTATCATAGCCTGGTTGCAGACGATATGGCTTAAAAGCACATCGACCACTAAACTTAAATACAACATCATATGCGGATGTATCGTCCAAGATTTCTGTCATACTGATATAGATGTGATCCAAGTGTCTGAAAGACTGGACGAGATAAGCCTCTTGCCGGTCCCCGCCAAGAAACCCAACCCCCAGGTGTTGGGTTCAGGGGTTTTCCTTGGCGAGTACCAGCGCTGGCTTACTAACTTTCTGCTAAACAAAACTGCCCAAGTGTGCGTTGAGCACACTATAGCAATTTCCCCAACCGAATTCCCCATTGATCTTATTGAAGCTGACCAACTTGCGGGTGGATCGGGTGGATCGGGTGGACCGCTTGATACTATCGGTTTCATGTGACTTTTAGCGGCGCGCAAACGCCGATGGGCAAATCCATATGCCGATCTCTGTGATTAATCGGGGAAAAGGTCCACGGGTTCATTGTGGATATTGTAGCAGCTGCAGGAAGCGGTCGCCTGGCAATTATTAATAATTCCCGGTCATTAACTAACTATTACTTACTATTGCTCGGTAGTGACCGTCGCCTGGGGAAGAATTCCCCGCCCCCACGTTCTTCTCAATGCTACCCCACACATTTGCACTTGACCTACAACTAGAAACTGCAGAAGTTCTAACCGTAGAGGGACCGAACGAATAGAATTATATCACAGTGTGCCTGCCTATAGCAATTCAAGACCGCAGGTGTGCCTTTCCCACATTCATGTGCTACATGTGCTACAGATATACTTTCCGAAACGCATACGGCTATTCTAATGTCTTTTAAAGATCCCAACGGGGGACGCAAGTCTAACACGTACTCAATTACCGGATGAGTCCGGAAAGATGGTTGAGGAAGGATGATCCTTCGGCTTTCAGATTGGAACCCGCGTTGGGATCAATTGTCGGAGAATGTCCGACTTCCCTATGGGTTGAAAACCGATTAATCCTTTTTTTTATTCCCTTATTCTGCTCTCATGATTACACTATTTGCCCAGGTGCCATGGTCAGAATACGCACGGGGGACTTCATCAAACTACAAGCTGTCGAATTACTATATGTTACAACAGAGATAGTTCTTGTCTGTGTACACAGTCAAGCAGAGTCGCCCCAGTGGGTTGAAATCCCCGCAAATTTTATTCCACCAATGCACTTATTCCACCAATGGCAATTGTGCCCAGCTTCGGTTGCCGATAGCCGCCTGTCCAAGCTGGGATTCTATATTGTGCTGGGCGCCCTATATACTTGTTACCGCTAGATCATTCTTCTTCGATCTCCCTTCCACTAATTACACCAGTAAATACAGATCTTGAACCTCGGCACTTTGGTATGGAAGACAAGAAAGAAAACCTCCCAGATGTCCTGGGGTCGCAGAGTGGAAATGATGTCCAGCACATAGAGGAGAACCTCAAGGCCTCGGTGGCAGGAAAAATCAACCAAGGAGAAGACACTGAACTGTATCTTGCAGCAATCCAGAGATATCCTAATGATGAGGCCATCGACAAAGAAGCAGAAAGGAGGTTGAAACGCAAGCTTGACATACACCTCCTTCCACTTCTTGGCATATGCTACTTCTTTTATGTTGGTTGTCTCAAGCCCGCTCTGTTTAGGCCACAGCTAACACTGTCTGTCTCTAATAGTATGTTGATAAGACGACACTTTCCTACGCAGCAATTTTTGGCATCAAAGACGACCTCCATCTATCCGGTTCAGAATACTCGTGGTTGTCAAGTATTTTCTACTTTGGATGGCTTGTTTGGGCAATCCCATCTAACCTCCTCATGCAACGGAGCCGGATGGCTTGGTATCTCGCCTTCAACATCTTCATGTGGGGCGTGCTTCTCATGTGTGAGGCTGCATCGCAGAACTTCGGCGCACTTGCGGCACTCCGAATCCTTTCTGGCGCGTTCGAGGCGATTGCTGACCCTGCCTTCATGCTCGTCGTCTCTACATACTATACCCGTGCCGAGCAACCGTGGCGTATTTCGGCATACTACTTATGGAATGGTATCGGTGTTTCCGGTGGCGGTCTGATTGGTATGTTTCATTCATTATCACTGCCATGAGTGGCGAACACTTACTGTGATGTTTAGGCTATGGAATTGGCAATATCAAAGGTGGTCTCCAATCGTGGCGCTACGAGTTCCTCATCGTCGGTGCTATTTGCGCTGCCTGGGGAATTGCAATCGGTCTCCTGTTGCCTAACTCGCCAGCAACATTCTGGGGCTTCAATCGTGAAGAGAAGCTCTTGATGATTGCGCGACTGCGATCTAATCAGACCGGTATTGAGGGACGGAAAGTTAACTGGGGTCAGGTCAAAGAGGCATTTTTCGATTATAAGACGTGGCTATTCACCGTCTTGGGCTTCCTTGCTAATGTTCCCAACGGCGGAATATCCAACTTCTCTACTTTGGTTATCCAAGGCCTCGGCTTCGATACACTCAATACGGCCCTTCTTGGTATACCCCAGGGAGTAATCGTGGTTATTTGGATCGTCCTTGGAGGATACGCCAACCAATACATGCCTAAGAATAGCCGCACTCTAGTCTGCGCACTTTTCATGATCCCGACGATTGCGGGCGCCCTGGGCTTCTTACTTGCCCCCGAAAATGCATACGTTGGCCGGTTAATCTGCTTGTACGTCGATCTAACTAATCCTTGTCCTTAAAAAGCAACGACTAATTGATATCCAGCTATCTTACCGGATCATATCAAGCCTCCTTCGTGATATCCCTTTCCCTTGTTACCTCCAATACTGGTGGACAGTCCAAGAAAATGATCGTATCTGGAATGATCTGGTTTGGAGCATGCATCGGCAACATTGCTAGTCCCTTCTTCTACAAATCTGAGCAAGCGCCGGCATATCCCTTGGGTATCGGCTCTCTGCTGGTTGCCAACTGCCTTGAGCTCATGCTTTTCTTTGTTCTTCGCTATGCCTTTATCTGGGAGAACCGACGAAAGGAGAAGATACGTGAGGAATTGAGGGAGAGAGGGGCTTATGCTGATCTTATGGCCGATTCCACGGCCTTCGCTGATCTTACCGATACACAAAACCCGAATTTTGAGTACGTATATTGAGAGGAAGATGCCATGGTGGGAACCTGCGCTTCAGAATGATGAATGCAGGTCTTGATCGGAGTGTCAGCGCGGACAATGTGATTCCTTGTGCTAGATAGAAAGATAGATTCGTTTCAGTGACGTGCAAGTATCCGGGATATTTGAAAATATCACAGTCATATCGAAAAAGGTCTCTCCTTGCTGTGATCAATTTAACCACAAGGGCCAATTTATTCAAAGTGGTCCATCTCTTTTGCTTAGAACCATCCTCTGCTGTCGTCACATGATTCGAAATCATAATGCAAGATCACCTCACAAAGCATCAAACGCATGGTATAATGAGCCATTCTAAAATCTTTAAGAATTAAATACAGTAGATCAAACACATCTCGATAACCTTAAAACTCAATGAGTGGACATAATGTTTACCGATGCAATTTCTAGTACCGATACAGAACGATCTCCATACATCCTTGCCATCTTTGGAGAATCCATTGTCTGTCTCCGAAATATATCAACATTGGAAAAGGAAAGAGTCTGGATTATGGGAAACTACCACATAAATATGGTAATCCGGTTCAACTGGATAGGCCCGGCACGATCCATTGATACATGCATTGAGTGGTTTTATTTCGCTCATTGGGGCCATATTGATACATTTTCGTTGCAACACACGACTCTTGAGGAGCTCAGGACATAGTGGCTCTGCTTGGCTGGCACTTCGGGACAGCTCGCCTCTTCATTTTTGACGCACCTTGCAGTCCTCACTGTCGACACAATGTTACTATTTGCTTTCGAGGGTAATTCTCGTTGACTAGGACTCAGTATCATCTAAGACAAAGCAGCGCTATCTAGATTTTGACAGCACACCGATAACGCCTTCATTGAATTTCAAAGTCTCATGGAATCCATAGCCTTCGGTGGAAGGTGGCACATGAGAGGTTTCTGATATTGGCATAAAGTCGACTACCAGACTGTGCCTGATTAGCACACTATCAAGATTCGATGGCAAGTACTGAATCATTTGCACTAGTCTCACTTGGTACAATGAAGGGTAAATCTTGTTTGGGCGACTGAAATCGACATCCCTACCACTTTTACTTTAGAGATACCATAATGGATGACCCTCGTAATAGAGAATGGAAGCCAATAATGACTATATCTAATTAGGACTAAACCTTATTCCAACAGTGTTCTACTTAGCTAGATTGGGGGTTAAGAGAGAGAAACGTGAAACTAAAGGTTTTCAGCAAAAACATGCAGTGAGGATTCGCTGGTAGTCACCCACCCAACTACTAAATCACTAGCGTATGAATCATGTACGGCCAATGGTTCGGTGGGTGTCGATAGGTAAGAAATAGGTGAAGGTCGCTTTAAAGTCGCAGACCAGGGGTGAAAGGGGGGAGAAGCGAAGGAAATCAGCTTCGCTCGGCTACCGCACTGGCCTTCTAGTCTTATCTACGATTGGACAAACCACTCCGTACTGTCTAAAATACTCATTCTCTTGGCATCAGCCCGAGTATTTTTGAGCTTCGTCTCACTCCCCCAAACCCCCAACCCCGACTCATCGATCAACCGACGCGCAAAACAGATGCCACCGATTTGGCAGCATGGCAACGGTTGATATTGCCCATTTTTGCTCCATGGATGTACTTCTCGGGGATCCACCAAACTCGATTGCACCGTCTCGTTTCTCTTATTACGCTGGGGATGAGATCTTGGGGTCAGTCTCCATTAGATCCAAGATTGATGTACGATTTGACTCGTTAGATATATATTTTATCGGTCAGTACCTCACTTGACAAATTTTCTTCCAGCCAATCTACCAAGAAGGTTGCTTATTCTAGGAGTAGGCGAAGAATCCACAACACTGCTGAACGAGAAGACTACCCATCGGTTTCAGACTATCAAATTTCGAATAGATGACACAGATCTTCCGCCAGGGAATATTTTTCAAAAGAATTATGAATATCGCTTTAAATTTGCCTTTGATGGACCTGCTCGTCTGTCTGGGGTTTCCTGCAATCACTTTATTCGCAATGTTCTTGTCCGGGAGGCCCATCTGCAGCCTCCCCCAAGCTTTGGTGATTCAACAATAGCCGGGTTTGATGGCCGGCTCCACAATGACTTCGCACCCTCAGCTTGCAAGATAATTTATAAGATTCAGGCCAAACTAAGTCGCAAGAGTTTAGCCTCAGCGGAACCACAAATTATGCTGCAAAGGAGCCTCAACATACGAGTCAAACCGACTGGACAAGCATTGATTCCATCCTCAATGTACAGTGGGAGCCAGTACCATCCGCAACAGACTATCGATATTCGAAATCGTGGTTCGAATCTTACCTTGGGCCGTTTAGTTGCGACAATTATAGCGCCCGAACTTTTCTATCTTCCCTCACACGAGACAAACGGATCTATGCGCCAGACAGTTCGTATCAGTCTTCGCTATGACAAAATAGGCAGACATGAAGACCTACCCCGTGTTCACTCTCTACGAGGGCGTCTCATAGCTACTACGTTTTTCACAAATACCTTTCATTGTGATATACCGGCGAAAAAGAAAGATATTTTCGGACAGGCCACCAATTTCTCTGACAGCATTCTCACTCGATTTTCTCATCCTATCACGTCGCTTAAATGGACATCCGAGCAATCGGCTTACTCCTCTTCCACTCTGCTTGTGCCGGTCAATATTTCTCACCAATACATAATTCCAACCTTTCATTCGTGTCACATCTCACGCGTTTACACCTTAGAATTACGACTGAAGGTGCACGGTGCTCCTTCAGTGGAAATTGCGGCTCCAATCCACATATTGCCTTGCGAGAATCAACCTATTCTGCCCCCATATAGCGAGTGATGGTTTATGCGGCTGTTGCCGGGCATGAGACCCATGGAAAGTTTTTGCAGAGTAACAAGGTAGATCCGTAAGTGCTCCCCTGTACTGAATCCTCGAGGTTGCTAATGGTTATTTTAGCGGTGCACCCGTCTCCCAGGAGAAAGCCGGACAGGCCTTTGTCGAGAGATTGTGGAAGGACATTACCACGGAGGCTAGCCAGTATGATGCCGAGTTGCAGAGCTTCGCTTGATTTGGAGTTGAGATATATGATACCTCTGAAATGTTTGATTCTCAACGTTTCCTATTCTGTTATCATATTCCGTTATCACTGTGGCTTGGGTCGGGCCGCTGCATTGATACATTTACAATGAAGCATTCGACGTTATTCACACATATGTTTACTAGGTCCGCCTTATAGTAGGCTAGGACAGCTTTATATGGGGTAGCGAGACACAATGATCTATGGAGCAAAAAAGCAATCAAGATAAATCCTATACTATACGCTTTAAGAGATCTTTAGGCGGGTTTACGCTATTTCCGATGTAGACTAATTTTACTATCTCGGTGGAGCCGTAGTGGGACCCATAGCCTTAGTTAACTGGAGATGTCTCTTATTGGTTCTTACTGGAAATAGGAATAAGCACTAAAATCTCACTGATAGTTCAAGTTAGGCTAGCTGACCTCAGGAGATACCGCTCTTCCATGGTTAGGTTACTACATGGATATGGCTAGTGCCCGACATCTTGGCAACTCGGTTTTGTCAGCTAACACTGATTGGCCCGATAAATGGCCCGATGGATCGTTTCCACGCCTGGGGATGACTTCTCCACATGGCTTTATATCTGATGCCTGTTGAATTCTAACATTCGCACACTTCACTTTTCATCTAGAGTATTTCTCTAACTCTTTGGTCGTTGACCCTGCCTCTGAGAATGGAGGTAGTAATGGGTTCACACTCGACAAACGAGACTGAAAAAGGGGGTACTGACCCCACTAGAGGGGACGATTGACGGCAATAACGTGTCGAATGTTCACTATGGCACGCAACTCCCACCTATGGATGGCGGAATGAATGCCTGGCTGTTCCTCGCTGCATGCTTTGTTATGGAGGCTCTCGTCTGGGGATTCGCATTCACCTACGGTGTTTTCCAAGCGTATTACAGCGATATCCCGCAATTCAAGGACTCTGGTAATATCGCTGTCGTTGGAACCTGCGCTATGGTAGCAAAGAATTGAATATCCGCTGTTCTAAACCAACCCGAACTGACCTATATACGCTAGGGAATCATGTATCTCGACCTCCCTCTTGTCTTTGCCGCCTACAGGTAATGGCCCAAATACCAGCGCTTTGGCTACGGTCTAGGTGTACTGTTAATGTGTCCCGCTCTCGGCCTGAGCTCCCTCGCTACAAACACCAACCTCCTCATCATAACTCAAGGAATCTTCTATGCGCTTAGCGGCAGCATCGCCTATGCCCCCTGCATTCTCTTAATGGAAGAGTGGTTCGACCGACGAAAGGGCCTCGCCTTCGGCGTCATGTTGGCCGGCACCGGAAATGGCGGTGTCGTCCTCCCTATCGTCATGGAACAGCTGCTGGGTAAGTACGGATTCCGAATCAGCCTGCGTGCCTTCGCAGTCGTGCTGTTTATCCTCACCGCGCCGCTGGTCTACTTCGTCAAACCACGCGTGCCGATCGTAAATAACTAACCCAGTCCACCACCCCCGAACTTCCGGTTCATGTTTACGTCCACCTTTGCACTCTTCGAATTTTGCAATACTGTCGAGGCCCTCGGGTTTTTCTTACCATCTATCTACCTCCCGACTTACACAGGCATGATCGGCGCCTCGAGCTCCCTCCAAGCACTCACTGTTATCCTCTTTAACTTGGCCTCCGTCGTTGGGTGCGTGCTTATGGGCGCCATCATCGACAAACTCGATGTGACACTGTGCATTCTCGTTTCAACTATCGGATCCTCTATTGGCGTCTTCATCATCTGGGGCTTCTCCATGTCCCTTGCTCCTCTGTTCATCTTCTCAATCGTATACGGACTCTTCGCAGGCTCGTACACCAGTACCTGGCCTGGTATTATGCGGGAGGTAGTCCGCAAAAAGCCCTCCGCTGAATCAAGCATTGTCTTTGCTTGTCTTGCAGTCGGAAGAGGCGTCGTAAATTTGGCTTCAGGTCCCCTTAGTGAGGCTCTAATTCATGGCAAGCCGTGGGAGGGGGATGCTGGGTATGGATATGGGAGTGGATGTGGATCCCTGATTGTTTTCACGGGTGTCACAGGCATCGTGGGTGGTGGAACTTATATTGCGAGGCGTATGAAGTGGTTGTAAATTTTGCCACGCTACTCTTTAGGGCCTACGGTCTTGGTGGATATTGGTGGATTGTCCGACACTCGCTAATATATAAAAGCCTGTATATTTTGGTGCGCATGGTATTAAACTGTTCTAGGAAACAAATCCAGCCCAAACTATTCTCACCCAAGTTCCTTCGCTCTTTGACCCATCGCAACAGGGATTATGAGCCGTAACCTGGTACTACAGGTCTTCTAGTAAGGGGTCGAATAATCTCCCAAAGCACTGCTAACGTGGAAATAACAAGATGGCCTTGACGACCCGAGCACCAACTCTTGTCAAACTTGAATAACCATCAGGCTGCGACCGCTTAATCACACAGATGGAGCGAGACAGATCGCCATTTCGGAGTGTCCACAAATTTGGTCTTGACCAGAACCTCCGTCGCCAAAACGGCCTTGTCAAAGATATCAATCTTTTTGTGGCCTATACTTGTTCCATTTGAAACAAGCTTGAAAGGCACATCCGCAGCACTACTAACATCTTGACTCTCAACGACCTTCGCATGCACCTCGTATGACCGAATCACTTGGCCATTCGTTTGATCCTCCATCAACACAATGCGGTCAATGTTAGTGGGTTTGTCAAGCTTGATAGTATACTCCCCCTTGTCATTGGATGAGTGCGCAACATCACCTGCAACAGGCTTGCCATAGCACGAGTTGATGAAATTACCTAGTTCCTTGTAGCGGGCTGCGTGTTCCTTTGGGATAACTCCGCTTCGATCAGGGGAAAGGTCCAATTCGAGGATACAGTTTCGGCCGACGGTCTTGTGGTAGACGCCTATCATCTCTTCAAGAGATCTTAATGGTTGATCAACGCCAAAGAACCAACGATCCTCGGTCTGCAAGGTGGTATCGCATTCGGCAGGGCAAAAATACGGGCTCGTATGGTCTCCGCCATCATTTGTCAGGCCACTATAACAGTCAATTTCGTTTTCAGTATAACTCAGAAGATTGGTTTTGCATACGTGGACCAATTCTCCTCTGGGGCTTCACCAATTTCCGTTCCAATCCATCGAACTGGAATAAATGTAAGCACGCCATTCCACCCCAAGGGAAACCGAACAAGAATGAAACTCACTTGAATTAGCCGATACGCAGGTTCCCTCCGTGTCACATCCATTGAAAATAACCGCTTGGGGCTGGGTTTCCTTCAAGAGTGTCTCAATCTTATCTTTCTGGTCGTTGCTGTAACCTCCATCAAACCAGATCTTTACAGCAAAACAATTAGCAATGAAACTCTGCCGGCCCTAGCGGCTCAGTCATACCTCAGTCAAGCTGCCATAGCCCTTCCACAATTCACTTAATTGGTTATAGACAATTTGGTCGTATGTACCATTCGTGATATTAACTTGGCCGGGGGCCCAAGTGCCGGCACGAACATCTGAATCTTGCACATTCAGATAATTGTTTACCACGACACTGTAATAGAACCCATGCCCGATATCGTACTTTTTGGCTGAGTCCACAAAGCTCTTGACGATATTCTGGCCATGGACAGGTGATTGGGCGATTGTATAGTCGTATGGGACGGTCTGGTTTTCCCGGTCTTGGAAAGTGACTTCACTCGGCCAGATCGCAAATCCACAGTTATGCTTGGCGACAAGAGTAGCATACTTTGCGCCTAGAGCAACAGCTGAGTCCATCCACCCATCGGTGTTTATTGAGGTTGGGTCAAATAGGGATATGTCAGGAACAAGGTCAGGGACCTTGTTGCAGCCATCAATGTCAAGATAGGTGGCTATCTCAAAATGAATTAGTACTCCAATTTCCTTATCTTGCAAAGCCAATTGCTCCTTTGTTGGAAGTGCAATCTTCGAACCATCGATCGGAGAAACGCGGAACTTGGGCTGGTAGGAGCCGGCCAACGCGCCTGTTGCTGCGCATATGCCGGTCAATATATGGTTGGTGAATCTCATGGTCCGACAAGGTGGTGAGGCTGTTGGAGTCTAGTAGTGTAAAGTGGGCTCGATATAGAATCTGATATTCCTTCGAGCTCATGGTGGGCACTATCGCCAACATTATATGTGAAGCCCTTGGTGATGTAACGTACCAAATATATTCCTACGGTAGTATGAAGAAGAAATGTTAGAGGGGAAGAAACCATTTCATGAAGTCGACATCAGTCACGTCATTTGCTTGAGTGTTGTAGTTGCATCCTTCGGCTACATTTCGATGTCCTTGAAGGGAGCCCTCACCAATGGGCAAATAGAGATCGTATCTTGATTAGGTGGAACACATCTTTTCTGCGGATGGCGTTGATCTTTCCCTGGGGAGAGTAGCTTGCTAGACCTACTTGAGTGCAAATCTGCATATATGCAAGCAAAATTATTTGTCGATATGTTACCCTTCCCGAAACTCCAAGATATCCAATGCGGGGTAAATAGATACAAGCTGTAACGTCACACTGGCTATGGGTTTGAGGGCAACAATCTACGACTCGTAGTTAGTCTAAATTATTTGCCAGCGATCATTTTTGGTGTCCTATTGTCTTGTTAGGTCTTTCGCCATAGTCCCTGGAATTTTGGTTGGCATTTGATCGGCGGGCGATGTAGGATGTAACCATTTTTTTCTATAGTTTATAGATTTTGGGCAGATTGTAATTCGTAAACGTAGCCCGAATCCCCTTGGTCGCGCGATGGCCGCACAGAGCTTTAGACTCTAGTTTATGAGAGGTCGATCATCCTGCTACAGGCGGTGCTGTAACAGTATGTCCTCTGGTATCTCAGTCAGCACACGATACTAATATCGGGTAGTATTATTTATAAGGCAATCTATAACCTATTTATCAGTCTTGTATGCGTTGTACCTCTATCAATGGTATTAATAACGGGTGAGAGGATCTGGAAGTGTCACTAAACAGACAGGACGAGTAGAAAATATATCTGGCATCTTGAAGAAAATATGGTCCTGTTGTGCCTATCGGACTGAGTGAAGTTTTATATGCAACACTGCAGAGTTTCAACGGAAGACAGTCAACTATCCAGACAAGAGAGAATTCTGACATATGAAGACATAGATGGTCACCGCACAAAAGGAGGACCAGACCTTTACCAAATTCCAGTTTTATGCCGTCAAGCATTGGGGCGGAGCGCAATGTGGACAAACACCGCGATACGCGCCGCCTGCTATCTCATGGTCTCTGTTTGAAATCTCTCAAGGAGCAGGTAAATCAGTAACTGCACTCTTCTCCCGCGAAGGGGTGACAGTCATGCCTCTGACTCTCCCCGCCGACAACACTTTCGTCAATAATTATTGGCTTCTTGGCCCTACCCAGAAGTGTGTATACTCCTGTCAGACTTTCTAATCTCTAGCAACTTAGCTTTCACAACTCTGAGAACCTCAACTGACATTCCAACCATAACTGACCGAGACTCGAGATTTTATCACATTGAAACCAAGTCATGGCTGATCATCACCCCACAGGTCCTAATGTAATACACAATCCATCCATGTAATTCCACAAGGGTGATGAAGCTACATATTATGAAACACATACTCAGGGTTCATTGACTCTGAAAGGACTCCGAGACCCCTGCATGCGATCTGCAGCAATATCGCTTATAGTGAGTCCCAGAGCCGATCATGTTTGGCATTCGATTCTCGCAGCTTTATAGATCTTCTCAAAAGAAAAGATGCCATGCACCAACGTTGTGCGAATATCAAGATGCTTGGGTTGCGGAATATTTAATCTGCTTGTAAATCAATGGTTAAACGAGTATAGTTGGATATCTCAGGCTAAATAAGCGCTACTTCAAAGGCTAACAAGACTAACTCACAAAATCGTGTCATAACAAGTCATCGAACTCGCGTGATTCATGTGGCCTGTCACGATGGGACTGTACCAGGAAGACAAGGCGACTAAGGACACCGAATTCAAGCTTTAGTTTGATGCTGTATACCATCGATTTGAGAGTAGTTTGGATGACAAAATAGTTCAGATATTCAAATACCAAGAGGACAACGTCCATCATGATAATCAAGGCGTTGATGACGAGCAGCTGGTACATGATCTTCCTGTTCGGGTTGTGGCCATGGATGGTCGCGAACGACATGCGAAGGATTTCGATAGTTTTGGAGATATAGAGGCCGGAAATGATGAATTCTTGAAGACAGAAGCCGGTGAGTTCGATGCGCTCCATTATTGTGTAGCCATGGGTCCAAACCGGGGTACGGATGAAGTTCGACCCATACGTGAGCACAGTGGTTGGGATATGCAAAACGACGGCGTTGATAATTATCATTGCTAGGACAAGGCGGCTAACAGTCAAATCCTGCACGACAATATTGAGGCGCGAAAATAGCACAAGCGCTTGTCCTGTGACCATAAAATACCATCCGATGGTCGAAAATGTGAGAGAGAACCAAAGTGGCCCTATGTCGTAGTACTTTAGGAGAAAGCTCAGAGACTGCGGGATGACCCCCAGTAGCGTGGAGCAAAGCAGACTCCAGAAGTATAGCCCACGGTAACGGCGGAAGGAGGCGAAAATGAGCGCCAATAGTTCGATGGAGTTGTAAAGAGCGATGCCCAGGAACACGGTGAAAGTGGCCTTGATAGTGAAGTCTTGTCCTGAGTATTCCCCTATCACCCCATCCACAGAGAAGTCGGACATTTTACGCTCAGCGAGTGAATCTGGCGGGCACGGGAGTGAGATGCGCACGACGGTCTGTAAACCTGGACAGGCGCCGAAGCATTGGTCACTGATGATGACCAAGGCACTCAGGGCCCCTAGGGATTTCCGCTCTCAGTGAAGGCAAACGTTCATCGTGGATGGATTCGAGGGACTACGTCAATAGTCATTATTATAATAGCGGAAAGAGCACCGGATACTCTCTGGCCCTCAATTTCCACACTAATAACCGAATGGCAAGATTTCACGCCAACTAACGAACGACATTACGAGACTAAAAACGCCTAAAACCCCTTAACGGATCCAGCTTAGTCACCACGGGTCGAAACAAAATAAAACGGTGATTGTGATTCTTATTGGAGCAAGAGGAGACAAATACGCTAATCTTCACACCTGAGTGCCACTTAATTCCCACATTTCTTAAGCATTTAGGGTTCTTAATAAGTAACTCACATGCCCGGTGCGCACCAACACAAGGTCTGTGCGTTACGGGCTTGACGTGAGAAATCTGTGTTTTCCCCATTAAATCAAGCCAATAGCATATGTACTTCCAATTATAAGCGAGGTACGGAGTAAGTAGGTACGTTTTAGGCTTTGGCCCTTCGGGACTCGCCGTTGCGACGGAAGTATATCGCTTTATGTGAGCAAGTCTAACAGCGGTATCGGGCATTCCTCGCATAGCTCAAGCATTTGATCTTATGTTACAATTGTTATATCTTTATACTCGAGATTGTTTAGGCAGCATAGCAAAGTTACCGAAGGGTTCCTACATTAGTTCTAACCCTATCCTTTCGAATTACTACCTAGATACGTACAAGTGGACGCAGTCCTTTGGCTCGTCAAATAGACGTATGGGCCCAGGTAGTCCCTACTCTAACACTTCACCCCTATCCCACAAAGCGCACAGGCACCTGGAATCCACGTGCTGGTTCGAACTTGGGGTCCCAGGAGTTAGAGTATCCGAGGTGCATCGGCAGTAGTAGTGGGTTCCGCAAAAATCAGAGCTCGGACTTGGATGCTCTTGGGAATTCATTTATTCTCATTCTGCTATAATCATAGTTCTCACACGATAGTTTCATCCGTTTGCATTAATCCGGTTAAAGTCCCACTTGTATCATAAAGAAATTTTTGGTTGCATTTGCCAGGCGCTTTGATTCGTCTCTTCCCCAGACTAGGATCAAAAGGATCCGGGGATACTGCGGGGAGCGGGGAGGATTGGCCACCTGCCCCGACAACTACCCGTCAGCTTATAACAAACGGTCTGTGCTCACGCGCCACGGTGTTAGATCGCACTGGTTTTTCCTTGTGGGCAATAATGAAAAATAAAAATAATAGACCGGATTACAGAGTGAAGTTAAGCCATTCAAAGCTCAATAAGTATTCCTCTGACTACATTTCAACCTTTAATCACGTAAACGGAATCATTGACTCTGCAATTGGATCGAATGTGCCATATGGACAAGCACATATTATCAGGTATTTATGTAGCCAAAATTCTTCACCATAGCAACGTCCTGTTTCTGGCTTTGCCTAGGGGGCTTTTTTCCATTCTTTTTGTTTTTCTGTCAACATATTCGTCTACATTGACCTTTCAAAATTCCAGGGGAAGGTAAATATTGAAACCTTAACCCGTCACTTTCTCCAGTACATACTGCGTCAAATATGCTTCGTCTGTCACCTTTTTACCTACCAACCAAAAAGTCTACGTCTGCCGATGCAAGTCAATTGGCCCGACTCATTTTAAGCCATCTCCATTGATCATATTATGATAATTTTTTCCAAACATGTACGGGCCTAGCAAACCCCTCCTCGTCCCTCTCAAATTGCAGTATCCTCTCAAATCCCTGCGCTTTCAACTCATCCTCAAACGGTGGTCTGATCTGGATCGTCTTATACGTCTCTCTCAATTCTTTATTCTTCTTTGAAGCTCTCGCATAATTGCTCATAGGCTGCGGCTCCATGACAAGATAGCCCCCCTCATTCAGTATGTTTTTTATGTGCGCAAATAGCGTCAGCATCCCAGCGTCTCCGTTGTTGAGATGTATCCACTTGGTCACAGAGAGCAGTAGGACAACGTCGAACTTGCCCAGCGCGGTACCCGTGTACGCGGACGCATCCACGAAGTCAAAGTGCTCAAATGTGCACGGCCCGTCCGGGTACGCCGCCTTCGCCTGCCCGATCAACCACGGGTCGATATCGACACCGACTGAGGCGGCCGCGCCGCAATGCGCTATCGCCTCATAGGTCAGTTTGCCCGCGTTGCAGCCTAGGTCTATGACTCGCGCATTGCGGAGGATATCTGATGGGAGAATGGAAAGGCGCTCGTCCGGAACGGTGGGGGCCCGGAACTTGGCGTAATATTGGTGGTAATTGCCATGGCGCGCGGCGAGGTGCGTAGCTTTGAAGCGCTCTGCTTTGGAGAGTTCTGTTGCAGGTGGGGGATGATGGCATGCTTCTGCCATATTTGGAGATAGTGCGATCAGAGAGGCAGGCATGTTTCGGTAATGATATTGATTATGTCGGGAATAAAATGTGGAATGATGTGACTAACATCAAGTTTATCACACCAGATACGCCATATATTAGAAGTTATAAGTCTTAAAATTCTGTGATCAATGCCAAAGTTTTGTCGCGCTCCCGAGAGGTTTGTGGGGTTTGCATACTCTCAGTGCCTGAGGCACTAGCTCCTTAGCAGATCCTATGGCCCTGAGGTTTCCACAATATGACGTCAGCTTTGCTTACTGTTTTTTTCCGCGTTCTCGCTACTCGTGCAACCCTAACATCCGAGGTCGTACTCAACATGCCATTCAGACAGGCGCTTCAGGGCATTTTCGATAAGGCAGACAAGGCTTGGGAGGAAATAAGCCATCGCGCCCCTCAGCCGGTACCGTCGTACAACAACCATCCCCCACCGCCTATTCCAACCTCTACCAAACCACCACTAGCTTATCAGGAACAGCACTCGCAACCCCAGATCTACTGGCGGCCAAATCTACATCCGCAAGTACCGGTATCCTCCAACTTTCATCACGAACTGGGCCAACATGGATGGGGCAACAATGAGTCGCAGAATTATACCGACAGCCCGCAAAACTCATTCCATTCAACCCAGGGTGATGCGGTGATCGTGCGCGCTCTGATCAACCACGGGCATCCCGACCCTGCCCAGAAGTTTACCAGCGCCAGACTTTCGAGTCTCCAGACCCTCAGCCGACCACGGGGCTGTCTGTCGGCCAGGATTACGGCGCCGGTGGCCCGTGGTATCTGGCCTGCCTTTTGGTTGCTGCCTAAAGACCCCTTCAAGTGGCCCGAGGATGGCGAAGTCGATATAATGGAAGCTTGGAATGGCGATGCTGTCAACCACACGTGTCTGCATTGGGGCCACTTCAATGGCGAGGACTGGAACAAGCATCGCGTTCTCGAAACCCCCATCCCCAACATTAGCTCGCCGGCGGGGGTGAGGTACGATTTTATCTGGGACGAGGACGAAACATCGGGCAGGGGACGCTTGATCTGGTTGATTGACGGCACACCCATCATGAGGGCCGAGAAGCCGCCTGGCACGAGGAAGATGAGTGAGTTCAGAATCCTCATCAACATCGCTGTTGGAGGAAATGTCTGTCAGGGAAATATGCCCAGTGATGGATGCTACGAGACAGTGGTCCGTGAGTTAGCCATGTGGGACGCACCGCCTGGGGGTTGGAACGAGTTTGACAGGGCTTGGTGGAATGCCAAAGACGGCAATGCCATGTAACGAAAGGAAGGAAATTTACATTGCAAAGTATACCCTCATCCCCTACTTTCTACAAAAGGTATCTCTGACTAGCCGAGTGAGATGAGTGTCGCATGGCGATAAACCAAATTTAATAATTTAAATAAAGGTTCAAAGCGATGAGGCCGTCTTAGGTATCTCCACCATTTCGATGTGTTAATCATTATGGTACTATAGTATTCCTAATCATCACATGAATATACTGTCCAGTAGAAATTGTAGCTTGAGACTCCTGGGATTCACCGCAGATGTTGTAGGATGTCACCAAGATGCTAACTGCTTTTCCTGGCTGACATGATCTCATAGACTTTTCCAATATTACCTCTCAGTCGGATACACAACTATCCGATCCAAATCCGCACCCTTGTAATCAAACCCATTGTATAGCCCGCCGACTGTAATAGTATTCTTCTTCCCCTTGTTCAGGGTCAGCTGCAGCGGAGTGGATAGAATGACACCTTTGTGGGTATCTCGTTGGTATAGAGTTTGTATGCTCGAAGGGTCTCCGTTGACGATCACGCTGCTAATCCGACGCAATTGCCATGAACCGCCGATTCTATCAGGGGTACCTCCAGCTATTGAACATATTAGAATATCAGATCCATACCATGGCTCTGAGCAATGTGCAGATGAGAATTTACTTACGTTGGTCGCCGAAGCCCAAATCGTCAATGTCTAATAATAATGTCAGTGTCGTGTATGGAGATGGAAAGTAAAAGCTGTAAACGTACTTTGATAGTAGAATGACACCCATTGAGGCTTTCCAGATCCCTCAATGTTTTCAAATGTAACGGTACTGTCGTTTCCATATATTCCAGTGAGAATAACGCCATCGGTAGCAAAATTCTTTCAGTATATCATATTAGCCACAGATAGTCCAGTGTCTGAAATAATAGAACTGTACTCACTGCCTCCTGCTTATATGTATCACCGTGCGTCTTCGCCTTTTTGGCGCTGTATGTTTTTCCCTTGATAGGTTTCCAGTCCCCGGTTTTCCTAGTATTCAGTTAGTACGGATGCCATGGTAAAAAGGAAGACAGCACACATACACGTCAAGGTCATAAACATCGTGCCACTCTAACTCTAGAGTCTTCTTAGATTCATCGGTCTGAATTGGCAACCAGATATAGCGACTGTCCCAGACAGAATTGGAGTCCCATTGGTCTCCAATGTACAAGTGGGTTGTCTTTTTCGTCCCCTCAATTCTGAGCGTGAATCCCGACTGTGAGTTGAAAGTCCGTGTATATAACGGCGCAATGGTGAAAGGCTGTGACCAGGGGCCGCTTAGTGAGTCGGCCCGGAATGCCACCACGTCTGAATCATTAGCCAAGCAATACATACACGATGGGGAACTAGACCTCTTACTATTTGGCCTATATCCTGTCTTATGGCTCATAAGTGCCCAGTAGCTCTTCTCTGTCTGCATGATAGTGGGCGCCTCCAGATCAAATTTTGGGAATCGATACACGACCTTTTCGAGCGCCGTGAGATTGCTGTTCATGCTTGAGAGATACACATCTCGTCCATCTCGACTATCTCCGTTCGAGTAAAGGGCATAGGATCGGCCATCCTTGTAGTCGGTGAACAAGCCAAAATCCTGGGACCAGTTTCCAAGTGGCGCTGACGCGTCAACAAAGGTGTACGGCCCGCCGATGGTGGAGGACACCGCATGGCCTTGGAGAAGGAGCCCGTAGGTGGAGTTGTCTGCATGCCACCACATCTGTCTAATCAGCCTTGGGGTGCAAAATTTGAGAGAAGTCCGCATGCATACATGATAATCCTCAGTCTCTGGGCTGTATGCCACCTTAGGTCGTTGTATCACGCCACCGGGGGCAATATATGGATGTCCCTTGATTGGGGCTGTATATGTTAGAATATCGACCTATCTCCAGCACGGCCATGGAGCGTTACCTAGGGCCAGTCCCCCCGATTTCCAGGTACTCAGATCCTCCGAACTATAAACAGAGACACCTCCGCCTTCCGGCTCATCTTCTGTCTTATGTTCGCCGAACCACCAGAAGCGGCCAGACTTCTGGTCGAAGGTAATCCCGGCACCGTGCGCATTAATGAAGTTACCATCTGTGTCGCGCCATCTTCCTCCGGGGACAATGTATTTACTTTTTGCTGAGACAGCTAAAAGGGTAGCCAGACAGGCTGATAACAGTCTCATGTTGATGGAGTTGTGCAAATTGATTTCCTTTGGATGTCAGGGCCTACATCTATTCTTCAAGTTGGAATTAATTTATAGCACCATCTACCTACATAGCTATCGGTCTCTATTGTACCGACATTGCGGGGTAAAATATATATAAATTACACCTTATTTTCTTCATCTTGGCATGGATATTACTTGTAGTTTGTCTTTCAAAACATTGAATCCTTATGATATTCATATGCCCCTTTTTCACGCCTAGCAAGTAAATACGTAGTTAGGGATCAATTTAACCCATCTAGGTTCCTCATTCTTACATATTATCATCCCAGTGTTATGCAAGGAATCCTTGCCAACGCGGGAAAATGCCTCCTAATGCCAAGCATCCCCGTAATCTCATCCCCGCAATAAAGCAATAAAGCTCCAATAATGCCGAACTTTTATTGGATGCATTAAGTAGGCTAGCGGGCGACGGAAAGTTTTTATCCGTCTATTGCATGAGAATAACCTTAGGCCTAAGGACGATCCCACGAGTAAATGATATTTCTTGAGGCCAGGCCGCTCAAGCTAGTGGACAGTTACACCACCCTTCTTTGGGCAGCACATAAACGGTCCTATATATTAATGGCGAATCCAATGGGAAAATGCATCCTTTATGATGAGTATAGAAGAAAGAGAGTCCTCAAGATTTGGGATATAAGTCTGCGTTTTATTTGGTGGGCTGGTTCCTTGCTGGTTCCTCTTATAATTTCAAATGATCGTACCTAAGATTTCATCGTGGATGGAAGAGGTAGAAAATATACTAATGAGGATATGTAGACATTTACAAATACTTTCGCCTCAATTTTGAGCCCAGCCTTTTGTCAATGGCCAGACTAAACTGAGGATATTCAGTCTCATCTATCTACTTAGAGAGATGTTTATTTTAGAAGTGGCATGATACTGGAAGGAGAAAGGAAAGTGGAGATGAATATAAGCTTGCGTTGGCTTCACCGAGAGGCTACTAGTCAACAGCACCACGTAGAGGTCCAAGCTCGTGGCTGTTGGATCCCCCGGGACGCTCTCTGCTGTCCCAGGAGACCCCGGTCTTCATGGAAGACCGGTCGATTCGTTGTTGGGACTCGGGTCTGGGTCTGAGTTGTTGTCATGGTCGGGGTCGTGGTCGCTACAAGTCGCGGGTCGGGTTGCACTGCAGATACACATCTAGCAGAATCTCAGTTCCGGCCGGTTTCGTGGTCTCTAGTGAATTTCGTAGCCACTAGCTCGCTCCATCGAATCGATACAAGTCAGACTTCGCAAGCCCAGTGTCTGCAACAAATTAGCGAACTTCTATGCCGAGTGTGATCAGGTTTCCGACTCCCTCGGTTTCCACGTCTCCGTCGACGATTCGAAGTTTTCACTCGGCCACTCGGCCGTCACCTCAGAATCTTTGCCACCTCCGACCGACCCCTCGGTCGGATGCCCTATGTTCTTCATCAAACTCAGTAGAGGCCGTTAGGATCAAGTCATGAAACAGTAAGAATCGATGGATAATGATAGGGGTGGATAGTGCATAGGATTGCTGTAGGAAGGAAATTCAGGAGAAAGAAAAGGAGGAATGGGTGCCCATTATATGTTACCACAAGCAGGATTGCTATGCCCCATCTATTCCGTTTACTAATTAGGAAATAGGTTTGACTTTGACGAAGTAATTGAACTTTGCGATAGGTCAAAGGTTAAATCTACATTTGATTGGCCAGCATACATTGAGATACCACATACGTCAAAGCTTATTCTACTACAAACTTTATTCTATCCATGGATGTATGTGAGCTTCTTCTTGAAAAGAGTCGGGAGCAACACGTTGACAAGCTTTCCAAGGTTGGAGCCCCTGCACAGCAGATTTCGAGTGATACGGCACATATCACCTGTCAAAATTAGCATTTCCGCAGGTACCTGCAGATCAGGCTCGAGATCCACGGCCCAATCTGAGGCCGGGAGGACGCACCTAGACACAAAGTACGCATGGCTTGGAATGTAGGAAACTCCATGGATAAGCCCAAGTCATTTTTGGCGATCAGGCACAAAGTTAAGACTGACTTTTCCTGACTTTTGCCGTCTTTATATTTCACCAACTGTCTCTAGAGTTGATTTACCACATCGCAAGTGAATTCCCCGATGCCAGATACGGGCCGTTATAGGTTTAATTTGAGATTTTTAGTAAAATAAATTGCTAACTTTGAACTGACAATTAACTCGTCGGTCACGCTGACTATACGGCATGTAGGCTAAAGTGACGGCTAGAAAAACTGTATTGCATGCTTGGCTTTAGCTCTGTTATGAGGTGTTTGAAAAGAGGAGCCTAGCCTTTTGACGGGTTTCATTGAATAGCACACTTTGGCCATGTGAACTTGGAAGTCTTACGGGGTGATTGCGAAAACCCACTTAGTTGGAAGGCACCGCTCCTTTGTTTGGAAACTTCTCTTCCTTTCTCCACACCAAATCAAGGCTTCTCATCTCTTTTTCAAGAAAAATTGAAAAGATGAATTCTGTCGACGGCGATCCCTCGGCTCCTCCCAATCCTCCCCCTGGCCCTGGGTCCAGTGCTAATGGTCTCACCAGCCGCCAGCGTAAGCGGTTGAAGGAGAAGCGTCGCCAGCTAAGGAAGGCAAGTCCCGTTCTACCTCGTCACATCATTTGCCATGTCATTTAATCATGTTTCCCCTTTGTGTGTGCACCTCTCAGAAATCTTCCTGGGAATCACTCATCTTTCTGTCGATTCAACATGTGTCGCACATCCCAAGGTTGACGATAGATCCTCCCTCCACAATGCCTGACCCTCCAGATGTTTGCGCAACGACACTCATATCGAATCTAGAAGGAAGCACCAAAGGCCGCTGAAGAACATGCCTCCCGCGTGGTTGAGCTCTACTCTCGCGCAGTACAGGCGCAGGCAAATGTCAGATACTCCCGCTTTCTTTCCCCGTTGATCCAAACCAGTCTTCTTCTGGGGTGGTACGAGTGAATATGAGGTCTGACGAGTATGATCTGACTAGCTTGTTGCCGCCATCTGTGCTGGTTTTAGTGTGCCTAGCAGCGGTATGGTCGGTATGGGCCGTGGTGGTGGCCGTGGTGGCCGTGGCCATGATGGTGGTCGCGGTGCTCTCCACTACACCACCACGGGCGCACCGGCGCTTGCTACTCCCGGTCCCGCCAGTACCACAGGCGCCTCCCCGACCCTCCATACCCGCAATGCCCCCCTCGCGCAGCGAGATCCGGCCCGCGAGCAACGAAACCCTCCACTGGCCTACAACGCCCCTCATTGGGCTCATGCATCTGGACTCCCCCCACGTCAGCACCCTCGTGGTAAGTCGGCTCATCTGTCACTATCTCTTGAATCCTCTTGTGGATGGGTCGTTATACGCGCACAGAGCATGCAATATATAACAAAACTGACATATTCTTCGATTATAGCCAATGATACTCAATGAGGGAGTAGAATGGAATGTCGTCCCCTGCATCTAGAACCTACCCGGGCAGGTTTTAGATTGCATTTTGAATGAATCGAATGTTCATCAGGCCCGACCGGGGCACCCTAGAAAGAGCAGGTCCGGGCCCGCTCTTCATAATTGTTTTTTGATGTTTTTCGCCCAGTGGGTGCTTGTTTGTTTATTCGGGAAAAAGGCATTGGATAAAACAAATATTGCATCGTCACGATAAGATCGATAACTATTGGCCGAGACTAGGTGAAGGCTTTCAAGCAGCAGGTTGAAATAGATTCAACACCTTTAGCCAGAGAACCAAGGCATGTAGTAAAATACAACAATGACTTTGAGGTAAGATTTACCATAGGTACAGTCACTAGGCAAAGTTATCTGTCTGTACCGCCTTCTATTCAAGACCGCCGCCCGTTGTCTTCGAATTTTGAATGGCGGAGAATAAATTTGCCGGCAGAATATTGGATCGGGGTAACTTTTTGCGGAATTCACATATGAAATATGAAGCAAGGGTAGGGATGTACATCACGTGATTGTATCACATGACCTCAAGGATAAAGCTTTTGTTAAACCGGACGGAACACGGAAGTAGCTATCCGCTTCCGGTGAGATCGGCAGGTTAATGTTACTGAATTTATTTTAATCACTCATTATAATGAGGAATGAAATTGGAACGATCCTTTGTCTAATATTATACAGTATTTATAGGGAAAAAAAAAATTCTTAGTAGGCTTGCTCAATGTTCAGACAGTGGCTTTCAGGCAGGGAGAGTGGGCCCGGAGCCGGAACGGAACAGGAACTCATGTTACATGCTCCTTCGACGACGCCAAAGTTTTCATAGAGATTAGAGTATCCATTCCAGATACACTCCACCTAATGCGGGGAAAAGCATTCAAGAATCCGGGGTCTTTCATATTTTTCGATGCGATGTAAGACATTATCCAGGCACAGGGCCAAATAATGCCTGTAGAGACTGTCCTCCCCCCTGGCAGACACGAAAAATCAGTACATAAAAAGATCATCTTGGTTCCATATATTCCGAATATTCCGCTCGAAATCTCGGTTTTATTTGCATATTCCAACCATTGCTTCACTCTGCCTGTTCTCATAGTTATCTTCCCCAGACAAGGAAATAGTGGGGCCATGGGAGTCAGAGATTTCTTCAAAGATCATCGTTGGTGCTCGATGAGTCAACACCAACTTGCAACCAACCCATTAACAATACCAGCATGGAGAAAGACATGGAGAAGGATATGGAGAAAGTCATGGATGTAGAGAAGTCACAAGATCCGTTTGCCGGAGAAGTTGTTGGTGGAGTGCGTTACAGGAGTATGAAATGGTGGTAAGTCTACACTTGCAGGATTCGCAGCAAGCTATCGCAGTAAGCTAATAAAACTTGCGTTCAGGAACTGTGCAATCTGTACGTACGCCCCAATTGGACTAAATCCAATCATGGACCACAACTAAGCAGCCAATAGTGATGATTGCTCAGTCTGTCTCATTGGGAGTTCTCTCCCTCCCATCGTCGATGGCAGTCTTGGGTTTGGTCCCGTACGTCTGATGAAAATTCCTCTGAACTTTATTATGAACTCGTGCTAATCTTGGCAGTGGCTGTATCATTATTGTTGGGATCGGAGCTTTGACAACCTACACTGGATATGTTGTCGGCCAATTCAAACTGCGATACCCTCAAATTCACAACATGGCAGATGCCGCAGATATCTTATTCGGCGCCTGGGGTCGCGAGATCGTTGGAGTCGCCCAGGTTATGTGTTTCATTTTCCTTATGGGCGCTCATGTGTTGACATTCTCTATCATGATGAACACTCTTACTGAACACGGCGCTTGTACCATCATTTTCTGTCTGGTGGGAACCGTCCTCTGCTTCATCCTAACCCTGTCAAGGCGCATGGAGGAAGTTTCATATCTGGGCATTATCTGTATGACAGGACTCCTTCCTGTTGTTGAAACTAAACTAACAACTACTAGCCTCGCTATCAATCTTCACCGCCGTAGTGATCACCATGATCGCTGTTGGCATTGAAGCACCCGATCCCAGAGCATATGCTATTACCCACCCATCTCTGATTAACGGCTTTTCCGCTACACTTAACATTGTCCTTGCTTATTCTGGCCATATGTCATTTTTCAGCTTCCAGTCGGAGCTGGAAGATCCACGTGACTACCCCAAAGCGCTGATTGCCTTCCAAGCAACGGACACATCGCTGTATCTCGTGACTGCCCTCGTCATTTACCGATATGCCGGGCCGGATGTCCTCAGCCCCGCCCTGCTGAGTGCGAGTGAAATCGTTTCGAAGGTTGCATTCGGCATTTCCATCGGTACGATCGTCATTGCTGGAGTGGTCATTTGTCACGTCGGTGCAAAGACCATTTACGTGCGGCTGTTCCGTGGCACCCACATGATGAGCGAGAGGTCTTTCCGTTCATATGGCAGTTGGGTGCTGATCACTTTCCTCATGTGGGTTATCGCCTGGGTGATCGCACTCGCGATCCCTGTGTTCAACGATCTGCTCAACATGATCGCGGCGGCATTCTGCAGCTGGTTTTCTTTCGGTCTGGAGGGCCTCTTTTGGTTGAAGATGAACCGCGGACGGTACTTTTCAAGCAAACGAAAGATCGCTTTAACTGCACTTAACGTCTTTCTTGTTGCCCTGTGTTGCCTGATTGTAAGTTTCCTACGTTTTAATTCACAACAGTCTGGTACTAACGAATTAGTGTGGCATGGGTCTTTGGGCCACAGGAACGAGCATTCGGGTCAATGCGCAGGCTGCACAAAAACCTTTCTCCTGCGCATCCAATGCCTAGACCAAGATTTTTCGTTTTGGTCTTACAGAATATCCTTATATAGATTGTATACATGCTACGATAGATTTAGAATGTACAATTACTTGCTGAAGCGCATTTTTCGCTGAATTCAATGACATTCAACCTGCGGTTTTCAACCGCCCATTACTCCATAAACATAAATACAAAGGGTATTTGGAGATATCATGCTGGGCTCGAACTTCGGGTGGGCGGGAAACGGTACCGTCAATCGGGATTTGACAGTAGATTCGCATGAAGCCCTGCTAAGCAGGGTTGAGAAGATTATGACAAGAGAATCTGATAGCAGCAAACGGCGGACCCAACCCTTGGTCGCATTCCAACTGAGTCATTGTCTGATACTCTTCTGGTAGCTTTTCATCGAGGACAAATGTCTTAGCGGGTAAGGTGGAAGGGTGGTCAAGCCGAACTTCGGTGCCGGCGAGGTTATCGAAATCGCCGGGGCGGGACATCATGATAAGGAGAGAAAATGTGATACAGGTCCACGGCTTAAGAGAGTATAAGGCGTGCTGGTAATATCGATAAATAAGTGAATTATAAAAGTAAAGTTCTGCATAGAGAAAAGAAAGGCGGCGTAGAGCTGACGAGCATACTTATAGGTTAGTGCTCTCTACCTTAGGTGTTAACTGTATTGTGAAATATGTTAGCTACTAGTAAACTAAACTCACCTAGTAACCTGATAACCTAACGAGGTTTTTCCTTAAAAGTGAAAGCGCTATATGTATTAGAAGCTTTTTTTTTTAAAAAAAAAACTTAATTACCGTGCTTAATATGAGATGAACATGGCTCTCTTTCACCAGCCATAACGAAGGCAGCGAGGCGATCCTTAACTTACGGAATGATCCTTTACATGTGTTAAATGTTCCACCGCTCCTTAACAAAAAATCTTTCTCAATATAACTTCACTTATTTTTCCCTTCGTGTTCACAGCTCCTGCGGGCAGCGAGTAAGGACTCGAACGATCTAAAGTAACTTCTCCGTTAGGTAACTAAGCTGTATCTACAGTTTATTCGCATCGCTCTATTGATGCTCACTAAGTTCTTCAAGCGCTACCCTTAACCATTTAAGTATTTTAGCCCATCTTCTTGTATCTATCACCGGGCCTGGAAATCACGGTTCTTACGGACTCGACGAAGTATTGATTATGGCTTATCATAAGGCTTAATTTAGCTGTGCAGAAGTCAATCAAATGATGGAGAAGTGTCAGAAATATCTTCAAGGTCGCTTGACAGCTTTTTGATAAATGTCGAATACTAAGCTGAATAGATGTGTAGTCGGCCCGCAAAATTGAAGGGACTATCACCCAACGAAGACGGTTTTCCTGTACCTCAATCGGGTCGTACGCAAGTGTATAGCGGCCAAGGGTCGGATGCGGTTCCTTGTAGTGTGTCGGCGCATGGAGACCGGCATACCGGAGGATTTATTAAAGCCATGAGCTACATACTGGTAATTGATTCATCGTTATTATTATTACCGACAAGCTATCCCCAAATAGGCTAATGCATTCATATGTATTAACGTCCCTTCTCGAGCTGGAATGACAGGGTATTGTAACCCCAGGTATGGAGGATTCTGTGCTTTACCATAGTTTCCCCGCTCAAACATAATATCTTAGAATTACCACATAATATCTTAGAATTAAAAAAAATTCTAGTTCTTCCAGTAGAACCTCGGGTTTCAATGTGCAAGGTTCTCATCCTTTGGACCGCTTAGACGATTTGAGGGAACTAAGATACTAACCGAAGGCACTAGCACTAGTATAGCTTAGCCAGTGTCTTGTTTTAATTTCCGACTACAGCATCTGTCGCCTGATGTGAAACGATTGGAGTCTGTAACGGTTACTGGTGAAGGGAAGGAAGAGAAAGAAAAAGCATCGTTGTTCAATCTAGCAAGGAGCAGGGTATTTATACCCTGCGTAAATACCCTGCGTTTGACAAATCTGCTCAGTCGGCAAGCCAACGATGGGAGATGATATCATCCAACAAAGTCTAACATTTAAAAAAGATATTTTGGAAGGCATCTACAAATACCAGCAAAGACTACAAGGTCCGCATAAATAGCCGACTATTCTTGTAGAGTATACCCAAGAGAATTAGATATTTAGTAATTTGACCTAAAATGTTGAAATTTTAAAGTATAGAAAGCGAGAGAAGGAAAGAATGAGAGATAAATGTAATATTTCAGCAGCCGTCAAGCCTCCACGTTTATAGTCGATTGTCGGTCCCTAGTTGCCGAGTTTATGGATCACACAAACTATTACGCAAATTATCTTGAGGGGAATAGAATACACAGCTCAGCGACTAAAGGGGCGTATGCCGAGTTCAAGGGAAAATGAGCACTTCCATCAAGATGGCCGAAAGACAATGTATGAAACTAAATTGATTGTATGCAGCCTTGGAACCCTATGGCAACCCTCTAGGAGTCCCAACAATAGACCTAGGATTTTGATATGGTGTATAGTGCGAGCGACCATCCTGCGATCGATCATTCAACGACCCTCCATCCGCCGATCCTGGTATCTGATCCAATTGTGTGAGCGGAAATTCACTATCCGTCTCGTCCATTCCAAACGTCCGTTTCGCTGTACTATTCTTGCTTAGGGAAGGTCCCGTTGACGGCTGCGTCGAGTACGTAGCACAGACACTGGAGAACAAGGACGGGAAAGCGGCCTTCAGAATTGGTCGAAGCATGGGCGCGCAGGAATTTGAAATAGCAAGAGCAGGCTCCGTGACACTCCAAAAGGCAGCCCAGATCATTGAGTACGACAGATCGGTGAAATCGACTGTGGTGAGGACAAGGATGCGGATGATGGTGATGGAAGAGATACTGTGATGCTCGTTAGAACTTTTTGACGGGGAATCTGAGAAAACAGAGAAGGAGAAAACGTACAAGATTCCCAATCCAAAGATTCCAATCAACGCTAACTTGGTCGCAAGAGACATCTGCAATTTCCAGACAAAACGAATAGGCAACGCCATGATCATCACATCGGTGAACAGGTTGAAGGCTCCAATCGTCGAAAACGCCACATTCTGACTCGCACAATGGCCCGGTAGAGTCGGGTTCCAGTTCTTCTCGAAGGGTGTGCAGATTAAGAAGATCTGGAGCATACTCCCGGTCCAGTATGCACCTGCACAGCCCATACAGATACGGGTCAGGATGCGAAATTCCCACGACACAAAGATGCGCAGGTAGAAAGCGAGATAAGAGAATTTAGCCATAACCATGGCGTTATAGTAGACGATCTGGTAGACCATGAGCATTTTTGCGATCAACACAGCATTCTCTGGGGGTATATCGGTGATGTGGTGTCGCATCCCGACACGAGCATAGTGGAATTGCATTGCAAGCATTCCATATGTGTGGAATAAGCCCCCGACGCAGAATGCATCGTCCCATCCTAGATAGGCTTTTCGGATTCGTCGGGAGACGCCACGCAATATTACCAAGAAAGTGGCTAGTGCGACGAGGATTGTGTTGGCGATGAGCTGGTCTCGCACGATTGGAAATTCGAAGACATTGTACAATTGCATTTTTCAGTTTAGGATATAGAGTATAAAAGATGAAGAGTTTCTGCAACATTACCATCCGATCACATAGTGTACTGTGTGCTAGGGTTTCAGACTTTGTGATTGGCCAGCCTAGTCGATCGGCAGGGGTTAACCATGGAATTGTTATGGGCCGTTGTGCGGGCCGTTTTTCGACCCAAAAAAACCTTAAGAAGATTAATTTACCCAAAAGGCTGGAGGAATTGACTGTCATTGGAAAGACTACAAGCCACCAGCTGGGGCTAATCCAAATTTGGAAGGAGCATTTCCTCTATTGTCTCCATTGTTTCGGCTACTAACAAATAACAACCTAGTTACCACCTTGTGATACAAATGATCAGCTTCCGAAAAAGTTATCGTACGGAGCTAACAAGCTGACAGCTGACAGTTAACAGCTAACTCGTTAATATGGGTATGGGAGTCCGGAATTATACCTCTCCGTGTACTCCACTACTCCACTGTCAGCCGATGTCAACACTTGATCCCCAACTATTCCTATAGTCAATCCCTCCATTAAGCTAAATTGCAACATGGATGAATACGACTACATCATCATCGGCGCAGGAATCGGCGGTCTTGTTCTGGCAAATAATCTAAGCCAGGATGCCTCCATCAATGTCCTCCTCATTGAAGCCGGCGCCAATCGGATGGGGGATCCTCGGATCGAGACCCCTGGATTTTTGGCCACAATGTATGGCAACCCGGACTTTGACTGGGATTACATGAGTGTTCCGCAGGTATGTCCCCCATAAGCATCTTCTCGTATGCAAAACTAATTCATGAACAGGTCCATGCAAAGAACCGACAAATCGGCCAGCCCCGCGGTCGCGTCGTCGGTGGCTCTTCCGCATTGAATTTCTCCGTAGTTATGTACCCCACCGCATCAGATTTTGATGCTTGGAAGACGTTAGGAAACTATGGCTGGGGTGCTAAGGATATGGCTCCTTACCTTCGGAAATTCCACACGTATTCCGCACCCAGCGAGGCCACAGCAGAACTACTCGGCACAAGTCGGTACATGAAAGTTGATAACCAAGGATCTCACGGTCCTGTCCCCGTATCTCTGCCCGATATCTATGGGCCGTTTAACAAAGCTTGGAACGAGACTTTTAGGCAATTGGGTTGGGAAACGGATGCCGATCCCCTCGATGGCCACAAATTGGGCGCTTTTACTTCCCCACTGAGCGTCGACCCCAAGACGGGGACAAGAGGGTACGCAGCGGCATACTACTCACCCGATGTTGCGGCGCGGCCAAATCTGCGACTTCTCACAGAGACGATGGTTGAGCGAATCCTCTTCAAACAAGAAGACGGAGAGATCATCGCCACAGGTGTGCAGGTCAAGACTCAAGGCAATACAGACCCGTACCAGATCACAGCAACGAAAGAAGTTGTTCTCTGTGCAGGCAGCCTAAACTCCCCTCAACTACTCGAGCTCTCGGGTATCGGTCGTGCAGATCTTCTCCAAGCCCACGGCATCCCGGTAATCATCGACAACCCCGCCGTGGGTGAGAACCTCCAAGACCATGCCATCACGAGCATCAACTTCGAGATCGCCGATGGCCAGGTCTCGGGCGATATTCTACGCGATCCAAACGTCGTCCAGGCACTCATCAAGCTCTACAAGGAGACGCGCGGAGGCCCGCTGGCAGGCATGCCCCTCAGCATGGCCTATCTCCCGTTAATGGATGGAACTGGTGCCGTGCCGAAAGAAGAAATCGAGACTCTGCTCTCCAAATACCTCGACGACGAGAACACCCCAGCGAACCTACGGGCGCAATATTCTCACATCCGCAAGGTGCTTCTCCAGAGCGACGAGGCTTCATCGCACTATCTCTTCCTTCCTGCCCAACTCCACATGAACCCAGGAAAGACAACTCTTACCGACGTGCTGGCCAAAACTCTACCGGAGAATTACATATCCATCATGATGCTACACAACCACCCCTTCTCGCGTGGCTCGGTCCACATTTCCTCCGGAAAGATCGAAGACAAGCCCACCTACGACCCGAACCTGCTCTCGCACCCGCTCGATCTAGAGATCATGGCCCGGCAGCTGCAGTTCGTGGATCGCATTGCGGAGACTGCGCCTTTCTCAACCCTCCTCAAGACTGAGAAACGCATGCCTGAGAATGCGACCGATTTGAGTGACCTGGACCATGTGAAGGATATTGTTAAGGATCGCTTGTATACGTGTTTCCATCCGGCGGGCTCATGTGCCATGCTGCCAAGGGAAAATGGAGGTGTTGTTGATTTTAACTTGAAGGTTTACGGGACGAAGAACTTAAGGGTTGTTGATGCTAGTATTTTCCCGCTTGAGCCTAGTGGCAATATCCAGGCTACTGTTTATGCGGTTGCAGAGCGGGCATCGAGCTTGATGCGCCACGTTTGACCTCTGTGTAATAGAAACTTCAGCCCGAGAGAGAATATGGACGAGCACCTTACGATGGTGCATCAGGCAATAATTTGATTTAGGCGCTGGGATATGACCAAGACTAGATATGGGACATGACCTCTCTTTGTGAATACCTCCCTAATAGCATATGTTCATTTCGCTAGATTGTATATAGGAAATTGAAACTATGGTTTTACAACACGATGGTCTATAAGAGGTGGCATACAAGGAAGTCTTTTAAAGTATATCAATGCGATATCTTATTCTTTGTAGACCTCTACTGGCAGGTGATGAACCCTCGAAAGCTCTATCAGCTTCCTCATTGCAATCATCCAGGCCCCTTTTCTTCAACGCTCAGCTTCTCGCCTTCTGACCTGTCGTCGTCATTTCCGTTTCGGTGCCTCGGGCTCGACCGTCTATCTGTCAAGGCCCCAGTTTTTACCACCGGCACTGCTTTCGTCTGACCAGTTTTCATATCTACTACATCAGCTCGCAGCAGTACGTCATCACATTTCTCGCATTTATGCCCACTATACGGACCTCGGCATTCCGTATTGGCATCCTCCTTGGCTATCCGGGCTTGCGACCGGCTTCACTCTGAGATGGGTAGGGTTCCGCCGTCTCTAGGTCGATACCTGTTCAAATTGGGAGACCTAGGACATTGTTGGGGTGCAACTTCGACGCTACCTGCAATGCCATCTCGCGAATTACTCGACTGGTGCCAGTTCTGCGAGGGATCAGAAGAAATAGTTCATCAATATCACCGAGGGCTGCTCCATAGTTCGGCGCCGGCGAAGGACGTCTGTCGGATGCAGGGTTCTTGTTTGGTTACTATCCGTAGATTACCTAAATGATAAGATTGATAAGTTCTCTGTAAGACTGTAAAGGAGTGGTTACTACTTGTTGGGATTGCTACGGCGGCCCAGAAAGAGAGGAGGGAAGAGATGTATTACTAGAGGAGCGAACTGATGCCTGAGGCACCAAATCATCGCCACCACAACACTACTTACCGTGCTTCTTTATCGAGTTGAAGGGGAATACGTTTAGTTTCGACAGTGGTTATCGCTGGGCTGCATCCAGACGGGCCCGTTTAATATTAGCTGTGATGAGGTGGTACTAATTATTGTGTTGCAATGCTGTTAGGTGAAGGGCTGCGTGCCCTGAGTCGCGATAAACATAGTCGTTCCCTCCTGTTTAAAAGCAGAAGTCACGTACTCGGAGCGTCCGAAAAGGTAGGAGCAGAATCTAAGAGAACTGCCCAGTTGACTGTTTTGATGCCCGAAATTATACCACTTTTCAAAATCGTATAGCCTATTCCGGCACGGAACAATTCGGCCCGGTAGACCTTTTGAGGCTTTTTATATGATACAAACTTTTGTATCACCACATTTTGAGGTGGTTTACTACTATACTGAACCCTGCCACCAACCCTATTAAGGTTCCTAGCCCTATTTCCTATACTAAGGCCTCTGATCTCTCATTCTTCATTTTTACTTCACAGTTGTTTAATTGACGAGAGCATCCCGTCTTCCACTATACTACCCGTATTACCAATTCTAGGCGTAGGCGTTCTTGCCGCAGAATTCGGCAACATGCGACATAAATATCTGTCCTGGGGTAATAGCTTGGGGTACAGTGGGGATTTTCGCGATGAGTGTAGCCGCTTCATGCGATTCTGCCCAGACTTTGGTGGCTGAGCCAAGATACGAGATTTTCAAGTCAGCTGCTCTACTCCGTACTCTTGAATATCACTCAGGGGCATTGTGTCAAATAGGGCAATCTAGCTGTATACCGTTGCACTGGGAAATATACTGGTACTTATCCGAGCTGGAATAATTAATTGCTCTGATTTCCAAAATGAGAACATCCAGGACTGAGTAAAGGTTGATGCCCTGGAAATGCTGTTGTTTATGGTTTTCTAGGGGTGGCCGCATATGCCGCCTGCGGAACGTTTCTTTGTGACTTCCGGTGGAATAAGCCCGAAGACGTGGCTGCCACAATCGACACCCTGGCGGCTAGGTCGATACGATCTGCCAAAGTCCGGTGATGAATCCAGGTCCGCAGAGCTGGGTCCATTTGCGAGGTCATCTGCCAGCCCCCAAAATATAGGGGGGTTTCACTTTTTTCCTTACCGATGGTAGCGCTGGTTCCGGTTTCAGTGAAGATAATGCAATATAATTGTCTCGTGATATGAAGACTCTACCCCTACTTTATTTGCCACATCCATTTCTATTTCTTTTACGGAGTACTCCGTACTCCGTAGTGAGATTCGTGTTACTAAGTGTGCAATATATATCTGCAGATTAGTCTAGCCAGGCCGATACTCAAATTATAGATTTGGAGTGTGACTATACTATAATTAACAGCTAACACTAACTAATTCACGAACAAGTTTAATAAATTAATAAAGTAGGCTTATCCATGCAACAAAATAAAAAAAAAGATTTATCAAATAAAAAAACAAAAAGAAATGATAAGAGTGGGATTCGAACCCACGCCTCTTGCGAGACCAGGAAACTATTGCTAGTTATGGAGTCAAGGTATACCTTAACCTGGCGCCTTAGACCAACTCGGCCATCTTACCAATTTGATGGGATACGTGTCCTTTTAATGCTCTATAATCAACACCAACATTCCAAACAAAAAACAAGGAAAAAGAGGCAACTCTAGACCGGATTCCCTCGGGTGGGGCTTTCCCATTTCAGCTATGATCTCACAAAATTGGGGAACATATCAACTTCTTCTAAATTTTCAGTCCAGCTGACCCTTTTATCCCTCCAGGGAAACCCCATACCATGCCTTGTCTCGTCGCTTGTTATGAAAAAAATCCCGAAACCATAACAAAAATCCCGAAAGGGACCAATGCATCGGGAAAAAGAATGTTCTCGGCCCCCGAGATCGGAAGCGGACAGCTCTGATGCAAGGGCGCCTATATTATTAGAACCATAACTTTCCAAGGCTGCGCGCGGACTAGTTGAGTTAATCTCCACCAAAATAAACTAATCAGATGCCAAAGGATTATTCCATATGGCTCTTTGCAGTCACAGGAAGGTGGACACCTTCAGGGGTGGCGGTTTGAGTCCACATGATGTAATATTCGCCCTGGCAGATCAGCGGTCAAAACCAGCGGTCACCCTCGCAAGCTTGTCGATTCAGCTGTAAACCTTTCATATTTTCTCAAGCCCCTTCTTTCAATTCCCCTAATCACAATGGCAGCCCTAAGGCTCAACACCAAGAACCTGGACTTAATTGGGAGGGCAGGCCGTGGGAAGCTTCAAATCCCAAGCCACCGTATACGCAATGCTGGCGCCGTTAAGGAGGGAATTGTCCACATTGGCGTGGGCGGTTTCCACAGAGCTCATCTGGCCGTCTACGTCGACCAATTAATGGAGAAGCATGGTATTAAGAACTTCGCGATTTGCGGCGTTGGCTTGCAGCCCTTCGATTCTGCCATGCGTGATGTCCTGAGAGAGCAGGACCACCTCTACACCGTCATGGAGCGCTCTGACAAGGGAAGCTTCGCCCATGTCGTTGGATGCATCAATTCCTACCTCTATGCCCCAGACAACCGCGAAGCCGTCATTGCCAAGATGGCCCACCCTGATACCCATATTGTGTCGCTCACCATCACCGAAAGCGGCTACTACTACAACGAGAACACACACGAGCTGCAAAGCGAACACCCCGATATCAAGTACGATGCCACCGCGGCCAACGAGAACGCACCGCGCACAACCTTCGGTTTTCTCTACGCTGCCCTGGCACGACGTCACCGACAAGGACTTAACCCCTTCACCGTCATGTCGTGCGATAACATGCAGAAGAATGGCTCCATCACACGCCACATGCTAGAGTCATTTGCGCGCATGCGCAACCCTGAGGTTGCCGAGTGGATTGCCGAGAAAGGCGCCTTCCCCAACGCCATGGTAGACCGCATCACACCTCAGACAGAAAGTGTCGATAAAGAGGCACTGGCCGAAAACTTTGGCATCGAGGACTCATGGCCCGTTGTCACAGAGCCCTTTAAGCAATGGGTTATCGAAGACAAGTTCTCCGATGGTCGCCCACCTTTCGAGAAGGTCGGTGTCCAGGTTGTTAATAACGTCCACGACGTTGAGCAGTTCGAGATGCACAAGCTCCGTCTGCTCAATGGAAGTCACTCAGCCATTGGCTACCCAGGTCAACTGGCTGGCTTCAAATACGTCCACGAGGTCATGCAGAACGCCAAGCTGCGCAAGTTGGTGTGGGAGATGATGCAGGAGGAGGTGAAGCCGCTCTTGCCCAACATCCCCGGCGTCGACATCGACCAGTACAGCAGAACTCTCATGAAGCGCTTCTCCAACTCCACAATCCAGGATCAGCTGCCTCGCATCTGCCTCAATGCCTCTGGCAAGATCCCACAGTTCATCATGCCCTCGATTGCCGAGGTGATCATGAAGTCTAATGCAGATAAGCGTGAATATCCTTTCCGCCGCCTGTGCTTTGTTGCTGCGGCTTGGTTCACTTATATCAGGGGCGTCGATGACAAGAAGGTTCCATTCAACGTCAACGACCCCATGCTTGACGAGCTCCGGGCTGCGGCCAAGGCCGACCCTGGCGGTCCTTTGGGACTACTTCAGATCAAGAACCTGTTCGGTGACGACTTGCGCACAGATAAGAGGTTCATCGCCGAGATGACACAGGCCATGAAAGACATTTCCGAGAAGGGCGTCTTGGCCACACTCGATGAGTACTTCCCAGATACAAAGGAAGACCGAAACGACGTTGACTAAGCGTGGTTGATTTCTGGCGAAAAAGTTACACTTGCGTTTGCGAGCGTTGTTTTACATTTTTTTTTTGCATGCGTCCTAAGGGTGAATATACCCGGGATGAAATTACATGACGATGGTAGAGAAAATTACCTGAATATGTATGTACTTGTATATTGGAATGGATCTCGCTCTTTGGAGAGACCTGGCGGATTTGGGATGTGTTTTCTGGTTGTGTTTTGGAAAAAGCTGCACGTTTTGTGGGCAGGGATATATGGTCTGTTAGGATAGACCTATGCGAATCTTAAATTATTTCGTCCGATATAAACCTCGGGAGCAACTTTCCAGGCCTACAAAAGATAAGTGGAGTAGACAGTTTGCCCGGGGCTCACCTCCCATGAGCGTGCCCAGTTTTACATTGAAAAAAGAAGTGAGCACGTACGAAGGAAAGTAACTACGAACGCACATTGGAGAATATTTCAAGCCAATAGTTGCGTTCGATAGGCTATCAAGATGGCAAGTCCATAGGTATGCTCTGACCTTGGATGATTCCTGGAACTAAATACAAGCTAAGATTTGTTGATGACATCAATAGATTTGAATCCGGGAGAATAAAACACCCGCTAGTTTAAAAATAGGAGTATGTATGAAAAATGTTACAAAAAAGCCACACCCATCCAAGTCATTGGTTGGGGGCTATACAAAACAGCCAGAAAAACAAACAGTCGAAATCATGATCTGCGTAAATTCAAGTTTACAGCATGATCATGAAGACACCAGAGGCAACTGCAGCGACTGCATAGGCACCCGCCTGCCAGGTACCGATGTGCACAGCCTGGGGAACAGTACCAGCAGCAATACCAGACGAGGTAGCACCACCACCACCAGCAGAGCCAGAGGCACCAGCACCAGTGCTAGCAGCAAGACCACCACCGACAGCACCAGTACCAGCAGAGCCAGCAGCACTCATCTGAGTAGCGCAGGAGCCAGAGGCAGAGGTAGACTTCTTGGTCTTAGCGACACCATTGAAGTCACAAGCCTTATCACCAGCACTACCCTTGTTCTTCTTGTAGTAAGCGTTCATAGCCCAGGCCAGACGCTGCTTGGCAGAGCACATGGAGTAAGCGCCATAGGTTCCAGAAGTGGCGTTCGACGCCACTCCATCCATAACGCCCTTTTCGCCGCCGAGATAGCCGAAAGTGGATCCGACCTGCTTGTCGGTGATATCGGAGTTAGGGGCACACTCGAGGGAGTTGTACATGCACTCGCAGAGGTCTGCGTTGGGCGCAGGGGGAAGCTTGCTCGCGGCGTTCCAGTCCGAGCCGACGGTGGGGCAGCTGCGGCCAACTGTGGTGGTGACGGAGTATTTGTCTGCATTTACACCGGTCGGGGTTGCGGAGGCCATTTGCTTGGAGAGGTTGTTGAAGTCGGAGAGGGTCTTGACTTCGTCACCGTCGACGGAGACCAGGCCGTATTTGTTGGCTTCTTCGTAGTACATGTAGACGATACCGCCGGACCAGACGTTGGTCATCTTGTCGCTGTACAGGACGGGGACGTCGCTGAACTTGCGAGGGCGGACTTCGTTGCAGCCGTATTCGGAGAAGAAGGCGGGCACGGGGTAGTCGGCGAATTCCTTGGTGCGCTCAGAGTAACCGGATTTCTGGAAGCTGGAGTCGCCGCACCACTCGTAGATGTTGTAGCCGAAGAAGTCGATGGAGTCGGCGGCTTCATCGCAGATCAGGTAGTTGGAGACGGCTTCACGGACGGTGGCATCGTCGTCGGTGGCGTAACCAACGGCGAGGGAAGAGCGGTAGTCCTTTTGCTTGATGTAGGACTTCATATCGCGGACGGCGGCCTTGACGTAGGCCATGGAGTCGGTGTTGTTGACCTTGTTGGCGACCTCGTTTCCGGCGAAGAAGCCGATAACGTTGGGGTACTTGGCGAAGGCATCGACGACCTGGGAGTAGCGAGTGAAGAGATCCGAGTTCCAGGTAGGGTCGTCGGACACAATCGATTCGCTAGGCGAGGACAGATCGGTGATCAGGTAGATACCGGCATCGGCGAGGGCGGTCATACACTCGTCGTGGTCCTTGCTGGGGTCGACGGCGTATGTACGGACAACATTGGTGCGCAATTTGGTCAAATACGGAATATCACGCTTGCAGCTGTCGATGGCTAGCGGGTCGGTGTACGAGTCCTTGCCGGAAGCACCATTGCGACCCGTGAAGTTGGGCTGGTAGGCAACACCACGGATGAAGAACTCGGTACCGTTGTTGGAATAGAAGAACTTCTTGCCCTTGATCTCAATAGAGGGGATGTCGGCAGCCATGGCCGCTCCCAAAAGGGAGAGACCAGCAATGATAGAGGCCTTCATTGTGCAAGGAGATTGAGATCCTTAAGGAATGTCTAACGGGTGCACACCAGAATTAAAGCGAATGTAAATAAGAGAAAGAAGCAAGTTTAGATAGGAAGAAAGAAGGAAGGGGAAGAGGACCCAAGGGGGGTGGATGTACGCGCATTCATGTGGGTATACTGCATATCAATGGATTGCATATAAAGTACATTGGGTTATTTTTCTATTTATTTTCCATATTTGGTTTTTATAAATTGAATTAAAAAGATGTGATTGGCAACCCATATGATGGGTGTAACAATGGAAGAAGTTGATATCCCACGTCATTGGCCCTTACACCCCACCCTATCTCCACCGTCCCTTTCCTTCAAGCCCTTCCCGTTGAGTCCCTTTGCTTATTTGCCACTGCCCCTGAAACAAGTGTATGCGCTAGTAAGCCCGTGGACGGCTGATAGTGCGTGAAAGACTCTGGGGGACCCTGACTGGAGGGTGGTGTGGAGAGTCTGATCCTTTATTTTCTGGTATTAATCCATTGGAAAGTGTCTTATACGGGGTAACTTCAGACACGGCTCACAAAGTAGTACATTGTACATCGTACATACTCCGTACAACATTCTATAGTAGACAAGATATCGTCTTGCTTCCATTCAAACAAATTCAAAAAGCTTGTTCGTTGCCAAGGGCGATCGATACGATGACTTCGGGGATGAAATTTCTGGGCAATCCTTGGCTAAGGCTTGTATATTGCGATAGCGCTGAGAACGGAAATATAAGACATCATAAAGTGTAAATCCTGTCCTAAATCATGGACCTCGTTTATACCAGAGTGTGTGCCCTCAAACGCACTTGTGTAGGTACCTGTGGACTTCTAGGGCATTTCGGGCCAATCCATCCATGGGTATCGCACAATGGAATGCTATATTCTGTACATAACAGTACAAAGTATATTGTACGGAGGAAGCTTCTATTCCCTATCTCGAGGCAAAAACTATCGATATCCAGAAAATTCTCAAATTTGCATGGGCGATCAGACGGCACAGTAGGCACTGCTATTCCCTCCCGTTATCACAGCCCTCTTTTCCATGGGAATAATGATGCCATTATGTTTTTCTAAAAAAAAGCGCAATCCACATACTTTGTATAGCCCAACACATACCATACCATTCAAGACCAGGCAGTGCAGCTCAGGGGTAGCTGTGCCCCTGAATATCATAGATCACGTCAAAAGCGGGCCTTAGCATATGATATACATACTACGATAAAGCTAATCCCCTCCCGCTCGGAGCTTCATGGTACAATATATGTACATTTTTTGCTTTACCAAGCTTTTGTGGCGGCCTAATAACCCGCTTGTTATGGAGTTGTGGTGGATTCTTTGTTTTATTATGTATCAGTATGAGCCATTTTCTGGATATTGGGGCTGAGACAAAACCCTCGAATATTGGCTTTCCGTGAGACATGTTTATTTTTGTTCTACAGACTAACAGAGCCTGATCCACCTTTGCTGTATAGACCGGGGTACATGATGGACGTGCCGGTTAAATATGTGAAGGTCTCTGTTTTGGACACCTATGATGCACCTTATGCCATCGCAAAAGACCGACTTGCCGCAGCGAAACAGACATTCCTGAAGTTCAGTATTATTTAACTTGTTGTTAGAGCTGGAAGATTAAGCCAGTAATCTTCGACAATATGTGTGCGATACTCGCACCCACACTGTTAGACGCAGTGGTCAGGCATCGTAAAAGCGTATTGTATACTATCACATGAGGAATAAGAGTCATAGGATAATCACCGCTAAAATCAGGTTAGGTAGGTATGGGACCTCTAGGATTTATAAGATCATATAATCCTGGGAGTAACTTTCAACCATTTGGTAACCACCCGCGAGAATTTCCCTGCAATGCTCAATGCCCTGAACCCTTTTTAACTCATCATCCAAAGCTTTGAGTGTACGGGAATGACATGGCCGTTTGTCGTCCGGTTAGATGGGAATTTGGGGCAACCTTGCTAGATTTATTCTCTATTTTTAACCGACAATGTAAATACATAATGTGAACTAGGGAAGTCTTCCAAAGCCCTGGCTCAAAGGGGCTAGCGCGAAACTGGCAGGCAGCAGCTATTGTAAGCCTCTTAAGATGCCTCAGAAATCCATAGGGCTGAATTTTTTCCCTTCCTGTGAATTTACACACTTGTTATTTAATTCGACTTTCCTTTTGCTATGCCTGAGCCTGCTTCACTTCGCTTCAGCAACCGACCGTCGGCCTTACAGCACAGACACCAAGCAACAGAGCTGGAAAGGTGACAACAGCTATGTCAGCAACTCAGCTGGGCGAGCTGAGTGTCTCATGGATATATGTTTCCTCGCAGTGGTGATGACCATTTACTTTTCACGGTCAAAGAGTGAGCCCAAGCCACTGACGTCCGCAGTACCTGCCCAAGGACTGGTCGGTCACTGCCTCGTTATGAAGAGCCTGCCTATAACAATTGTCAATATAGACACCGGCGTGCCTAATGATAGGATTAGGGTCACTGGTCCCTTGTTGGGGAGTATGCCCTATCCCAGAGCATTTCCAGGGTCCCCCGGGGGAGGGTGCTTGCTTAGGCGACCACGGGAACTGCCCACCTGGGCAGTGCTTACACAAGTACAAACCAACCTTCAAAACCAACACGTGATCGTTTCATCCTGCGTTTGACCTTGAAAAGCAGTACGATGACATAAAAGAAAAGGGGTTGTGGCGCTCAGGAGTACTGTGGAAATCAATACTCGAGACTTGATTGACCAACAATGCCAAGAGCGGGTCCAAACCCCCCTACACAATTTGTGTTCGCAGAAATTTGCTCCCAATAATGAACGGAAGACCCATATTTGTGGCCCTAGCCTTTGTGCCACGATTGTACGGCTCGTTAACTGCAGGAATGCCCGAGCAAATTCATCGGTGTGACAATACTTTTTGAAACAGCTGGCGATCTGAAAGAAACCAGTTACCAAGGTTCTGCCAAGTAACCCAATCACAAAGCTTCCACTGGCGAAGCTTTCGGTTCCAAGCTTTTGAGTAGCGCTGTTTGGATCCAACGCATCAACATCCCATGCCTGACGCAGCTGGTGCATTTATAGAACTGGGCTTGAAACAAATACTTACCATGACCGGTCCTTTCCCGAATACTAACTACTTCATACCAATCTCGCGATCCAAGCTTGCCTTTTCTACTCCGTAGACGCTAGGCTCATATTTACTCCACTCTACGGAGTACGCACCGCACCATCAAGATCGCCCCAGACGATTGTGGCTGTGTTTTCTCAACTCTGCTCGAAGTCTGTTAGAGAAATCCTGGAAATTGGTAGCAGTCGAATTTTATCCCTTTATTTCCCAGTCCCTCCTTTCGCTCTCTTTCTGACCGCACTCGTTTCATAATTGTCATTCATCTGGTCTTTGTTGATTTCCTGGTTACCCCTTGCTTGCGCGCGACTCTCCCTGTTTCCTTGTGCGCGTGCGCCATTATTTTGGTCCCCTTTGAACATCCCAGATCCGCCATTCATCATCCTACTGTGGCTGTATCCTGAGTCTCGCCCCCATACAGCGCTTAGATTGTTGTAATCGCTTCAGCCTGTCAGCTTACTCAGCTGCCTACATCTCGAAACCGTTAGCAAGTACGTGTTCCCTCAGCTCCTTTTTATAGACATGCGTCGCAAGGATCGCAAGCCCAAGCCACGGTGTGGCGTCTATCGATTCGCCCATGTTGAATGAACGTCCCTGCTGCCCTCTTTCCCCTAATCGCCATTGCTTTGTCCTTTTCCCCTTCGAAATATATCTCGCAAGACTATACTTACGCATAAATTCATCTACAAAGGCTCGCAAAACTCCATCATCATGTGTAAGTCCAACAACCATAGGTAACTGGCCAGCCATACTAAGAACACAACTAGTCTCAACCCGCAGCGCAGCCAACCGACTAGCACGGCAAAACAGTGGAGAACGCTCCTGGAACCCATATCAAATGTTCGGTCAAAAAACACACAACCGATCGAACTCTATGCAGCTCGAGAATGGACTATCCCATTCCCAGACCCTGGATGACCTCCCAACAGACCAGCTTCGAAAAGAAGAAATGAACGCCGGCATTAGCGCCCCGGAGTACTCGAACACGTTCCCGGCAGAGTTTACTGGCAGCGACCATGAGACACACAAGTCTCCGCCTGAACCGTCCATGGCTAGCCAGGATCCGATCAATGTTTCGTCGACGCGCGGGATTGATACTGAGAGTGTTGGATCGGCGCAAACGCGTTACCGGAAGGGTGGCATTTTGGGCAAGTTTAAGCATAACCATGATGACGATGAGGGGGAGGAGAAGAAGCCGCGTCAGAAATTTACTTTCGTCTCGCAGTTAAGGGCTACTCTCTTGAACTCGTGGATCAACGTTCTTTTGGTTGCTGCGCCTGTTGGAAGTACGTCTTGCTCTTCTTGCTGGCTTTGGATTTATGAAAGGGAATGCGCTAATTATATGTCTGTGCACAGTTGCGCTTTATGCTGTTCACGCCAATCCGATCGCGGTCTTCGTCGTTAACTTCATTGCTATCATGTGAGCGATTTATATTGGTCATTTTTGAGGTGATTATGGCTAACAGACATCTACTAGTCCGCTTGCTGCCATGCTCAGTTTCGCAACTGAAGAGATTGCCCTTCGGTATGCTTCATCACTTCCAGGTATATTTCAGCTATACTTACATTTCTTCCAGCACGGGCGAAACAATCGGTGGTCTGCTTAATGCGTCATTCGGGTATGCTTTATACTACCTGTTGTTCCTTCCTTAATATTTCTAACCCATATAGTAACGCCGTCGAGCTGATCGTTGCAATAATCGCGCTGGTCCAACGCAAAACCCTCATCGTGCAGACCTCGCTCATCGGAAGTATTTTGTCCAACCTGCTCCTGGTGATGGGAATGTCCTTTTTCCTCGGGGGTATCCCTCGTATAGAGCAAAATTTCAACGTGACGGTTGCCCAGACAGCCGCGAGTATGCTCGCATTAGCTGTTAGCAGTTTGATCATCCCCACTGCCTATCACAGGTGGTCTAATCGTCAGTTATGACTACATTCCAGGATCAAGCCAACACGAGAGCTAACAAGAATATTGATTGTAGTTGAAAATGGAGACGGAACCGCCGCTCTATCTCGAGGTATGTTGCTACTTGCTGGAGCTTTACATCCTGTCTGTGCCTATCGGTTTTCTATCTTACTCACACTGCACCACAGGAACCAGCGTCCTCCTCCTAATCGTATACGGCTGCTACCTCTTCTTCCAGCTGAAGTCGCACGCCGATATCTACAACAAACCTAGCGAGAAGGTTGAACGGCGACACGCAAAGGTCGGCGAAGGCGACGCTAGTCGGGGCATTGCCCAAATCGGCAAAATGACTGCCGTGCCGTTAGTCGGACAGAACGCGGACCACATGCAAATGGAGGATCCCGATGATGATACCGAGGAGCCGCAGTTGTCTGTTATGACTGCCATCCTCACGCTGCTTATCTCGACTGCGTTTGTTGCTGCGTGTGCCGAGTTCATGGTATGCAAATGCGCCTTTCTCCTAGATCAGTTCCAGATCTTTTTTTGTTATTCTTTTGTGTGATTTCGGTAAGCTCATTTATCTATACAGGTTGAATCCATCGACGCTTTGACTGCTACCGGTAACATTGGCGAGACGTTCGTCGGGTTGATTCTTCTACCTATCGTTGGTAATGCGGCCGAGCACGCTACCGCGGTGACAGTCGCATGCAAGGATAAGATGGATCTTGCTATTGGTGTCGCCGTCGGATCTAGCATGCAGATTGCGCTGCTTGTGCTGCCACTGATTGTTGTTCTTGGGTGGATTATTGGTGTTGAGGATATGGTAAGCATGAGCCCTATGCAGAATATTTATTTGAATTGGGAGCTGGTACTAACTGCCACAGACTCTCAACTTCGATGGATTCCAGGTGATCGTACTCTTCATGTCCGTTCTTTTGGTAAGTGGATTCGGTTCACGGCGAGAAAGCTATATCATTGTACTGACTGTTGTTTCATAGGTCAACTACCTCATTGGTGATGGCAAGTCTCACTGGCTTGAGGGTGTCTTGCTGATCATGATGTATCTTATTATCGCTCTTGCGGCTTGGTATGTGATTTTTATAGATGGTTGACAAGTGTCCGTTGCTGATTGTGTCGTTAGGTTCTTCGTTTAAACCCTCACACTCATTATAGTCATCGGGCTGGGTCCTCGTTGACGATACCATATCGATCTACTAATTTACTATCCCACTCCTGGGGACTTTGGTTATTACTTCTCTGTATCATGTTCATTTGCTTTAATTTTGGATTCTATTATGATGGCTCATAATATACTCACTTTGGCGGTGCTTTCCTTTTCATGTCCGACGCATTTTTATTTTTACTTTTTTTTCCCTCTCTCTATACAACCCGACTGATAATAATTCATATCATAAACAGTAAAACTGAGATAGCTGTTCACTTAACCGGCGTTATAGATTAGGCTAAAAAGTAGAGTTAACCCGGTATCCCCGGGGAGTGGGGATAGGGCTCGGGATTGAGCCCCCGAAGTCAAGTCAGCAGACGCGCACAAATAAGCAGAGTACAATTATGCTAATACCACAGTATATTAAGGCCCGGAGGTACACTTTAGCCATCGGAGAATTACCGGACTAAACAATCATGCACGGTAGGCTCGATTTCCCAATCCGGACTCGGGAGACTCGGTATCCCACCGACATTCTAACCGAGCCGATGTGGGGAGGCATTGTTCTTGGCCTGTTCTTTCGAATTTCATATTTACTATGGGGTACGGAGTAGTGGCATCCGGGATACACTTTCCCAGGTCCTTACTTTTGAGTGTTTAGCCTGGAGAATTAAGACATTACAGCGTATAGTCGGAGTGAATCATGACATCATGAAATCATTAGTAACCACGTGCCGATAAGTTGTAGTCGGCAACTGCTCCGCGCCGAGATGGGACAGGAAGCGGAAAAAAAGAGATTTGATCCCGACAGTTTTGGTAATTTAAAGCCACTATGGCGAGGCTTATTTGGGTTGGAAGTATTTCCTAATCGAAATCCACGGATAATATCGAGGGGTGAAAACGGGGAGAAAGATGTCCGAGAGAGTTTCCTTTTATGTTTCCTTTTATTAACCTTGTCACCTGAGATACGATGTGGGCCAAGAATGTCCACGGGTGGTATGCAATGACCCTTATGTCATGGAAATTGTTCCTTGGAATTTTCCCTTTAAGCTTCCCCACTGGATATCGGAGATTTATGGGGCACATGACCATTGGTACCCTGAGTCATTAAGGTTACTTTGTATATATAAATGCTACTCTATATAGTATTTTACTACTCTATATACTATAGTATACTCCCTACACAGACCTTGGAAAAGGAGACCGAGAAAGTTCGACTTACCTAATATAAAGTAAATGCGGGGTCCGGGGTCCAATCGCTGGAGCCTCGGAGGTTGCAGTCCAATCACTGAATCGGATGGGGCCGAAATGTGACCGGGGGGATGGGGGGGGGGAAACTCGGTGTATGATCTTTCCGATGTGTGACATTCTTGGACATGTGTATAACCTCGGAACTACAATGTGAACTCCGTAAGGGATGAAACAATGCAGTCGGCCTCGGACTGTTTGCACTAATGGAGTATAAGGATGCCAGCAGGATGGTCAAGTCGGTCCAATTGACCATCCTGTAAAATATGCGTGTTCTTCCGAGATGGCAACTCGTTCGACCTTTCGGCAGAGACCTGATCCCTTCCCCGATTCTTGTGACGGGTGGCAAGGGGGGTGGGGGGAGGTCAATGGGGAACATCAACAGGCCACCTTGTAGGAACGTCACACGGAGACCGTCAAATACGGGGTGAGAGGCTAAAGGTCACAGCCGACGCCAATCAAAGGGTAACTCTCAATGTAACTTCCGTGAGGATCTAGGATCTCGCTTCTTTGCGGGGAGCCCCGACCAGGGTTGGTCTTGGAAATATCGGTGATTGGATGCTATATCCCCTTCTCCCCCAGATTGATCCTCCCATAGGCTACGTCGATGGCAGGTTAACCCATATTCTGGGGACAAGGCTATACCCGAGGGATCCAAATGGCCCGAGATACCCCTCTTGAGAGGGAAAAAACACCATGTGGGAAAAAAAAAGAGAAGCCTTATGATCCGGTCCACTGGTGGGTTTTTGGCATTTTGTGGAGTCACCATTCGGTTCTCGGTTCTTTTTCCTACTGACAATGGATTCTCGCTGTACTCTCCGAGAATACCCCCATCAGGGTATACTCTTTACTTCCCGCTTTCCTAATCTGGCGTTCCCGACGCGGGAAGAGACGGTGTATGGATTCCCGCCCAGACAAATGCCGATCGGACATCAGCTGCCACGGGGGTTGACCTAGTCAATTGCCTAGGTAGAGTCAAATGGTACCTTTGTACTCCGTACGGAGCACCCTAGGTACATAGAGGTCTAGGCCACGACACTAGGATGTACAACATTGCATGTCTGATGTTCCCCCAATCTACCGATCCCCCAGATTTGGGGGCTGTTATGATTTATTCTTACAGGCCCCATATGGAAAAAGAAAAGCCGGAGAATGGCCGGAGGACAATCGGCCGGCGAGTGGACGGATATTGTTATTCCAGCCAGTCCGGGTGGTTTGGATATGAATTTGGCCTGGTAGAAAAGACATTGTCCTACTTGACAGGCCAAATCGTTTCTTTCTTTCTCTTTCTTTTTTTTTCGGACCGTAAGCTGAGCCCGAGTCGGGTAGAGATGCAAGATGACGATCATGAGATCACAGGGTAAAAGTTGGGGATATTCCCTATTTAGGCCAGACAGGGTATTTCCCGTGCCGAGAAGGTATATAGTTTATATTGAGAGATATGTATAATTATATAGTATAGTGATATAGATTTATATATAACCTTTACATGGTTTTTTTTATAAATATTTTATATTTGTATATTATAGATGAGTAATAGAAACTAACTCGGCAGCCCGGAAACTGGGGATGCTCCACCTCCAGGAAAAAGCGCGTCCTTGCATACTTTTGGGCCCTCCGCAATTTCAGCGGCTCTCATTTTCTCGGCTTTTTATTATTTTTTTCCCTTTTTCATAAAATAAAATTTCTCTTTCCCCGGTCAAGACATTTCCCCGTTCCCTCCCGACTTGTGTTTCTCCCGGTCCGGTGCCCCGACTCTGAGTTTCCCCCACACTCCACCAATTCTGTTCTTTCTTAGCCCTTTCCCTTCTCTTCCCTTTCATATCTAGTATGTTTCCTTATCCCCCGGCATATGCAATGCTAACTGCCAGAAGAACGTCACTTTAATTCTAGATTCTTTCCCCGCACAACCCTGACACGGATAGTAAATGGGACCGCGATTGATACAAACCGAGTCGTCACCTATCCGCAGACCTCGGGTCTGTCCAATACACCATGCGGTCTAGTATCGCTTGCGCTCGATGCCGGCGCAGTAAGATAAAGTGCGTCAATGCTGGTATCGATACAACTTGTCGCGCGTGCGAGTCGTCCGGGCGCGAATGTGCCTACCCAACCCCAGCAATCGGAGTGAGCGGCGCCAAACGAGATTTAGCCACCCTGGCAGAAGGCGAGGATCGAAATGGTGACTGGGATGGTCCGAAACGACATCGCTCACGCAAGGTGGTAGGCGTCTCTGGCTCCTCGACGGGTTCCAAGCTCGGTATGGATGCGCTGGATTCCTCGATACTTACAAGAAAAGTTTGGGAGGCCGTCTTCGATCTCTTCCAATCGCATTTCGCGACCCTGCTACCCTTCCTACATCCCGCGACCTTTCTCGGCCAGATTCGACAGCTTTCCTCTCCTCCTGCGACCCTCGATGGACAAGATCCCCGGAATCCCGTGTATAAGGTGGACCCATCTTCGTCACTGATTCCCCTGGGTGTACTGGCCTTGACTGCTCGCTTCCACCCTCCATTGGTGGCAGCTCACTCACCAGCATCGCCTAGTCATTCTTCGAATCCGCTCGCCGCATCGGAATACTATGCGGCAGCCCTCCGCAGCCGGCTGGCCGGCTTGGATGGCGCTTGTCTCACTCAGCCTGACCTTGCGCGCGTACAGGCGCTATTAATGCTAGCCTTACACGAGTGGGGGATGTGCCGAGGCAAGAGTGCTTGGGTCTACGTGGGAATGGCCATTCGGCTTGCACAGGCTATGGGTCTGCCCTTTGAACTTGAAAATGAATTCCCAGCGCGAGATCCTTCGCGTTCATCCCCCGGCTTCAAGACTGAGGCAGATCATTTCGGTTTGCCACGGCGTGCAGAGCCCAGGGAGCCGACATCTGATGATATCATTGCACAGGAGACCAAGCGCCGGACATTTTGGGCCTGCTTTATCCTCGATCGATGCCTCAGCAGTGGAAAATACCGCCCTCGGATGGTCAGAGTCAAGGAACTCGGAATTCAGCTTCCGAGCGATAACGCTTTTGCTTTCGGCGAGCGGGTTCGGACGGCCCGACTTAATGAGCCGACCGTTCGGCGTCCGCAGAGTTTCAGTTCCCAAAGTATGCAAATCCCCAGCATCCGTCAAAGTATTGGAGGCTTTGGCGAAGAAAAACTTCCAGGACCCAATGGGACTCCAGATGGCAACTCCTGGTCACCCATCTCTCGCCGCAAGGACTCGAGCGAGGAGGAGGTTGATCGATGGGAGGTTGGTGCAGAGGAGTCGGTTCTCAGCCGGGTTATTCGGATAATTCGTATTTGGGGAAGCATCGCCAAATGGTCTTGCGCCGGCGGTCGACGCACGGAGCAATATCCCCCCTGGCATCCCGAATCTCGCTTCGCCTCCCTCCGTCAGCAGTTGAACGAGTTCCAGGATAGTCTTTCTCGCAACCTGCAATATTCCCTGCGAAATACCGACACACATATCATGTACAAGACCACTCTGGCTTCATATACCGTGATGCATGTTGTCTACTTCCTTTCAGTGATTGTCCTTCACCGTGCCTATATTCCATTCCTGCCTCTCCGCTGCAATGAGCCTTCTGGCCCCTTAGATGAGCCGTTGTTCGCTGTCGACAAGGTCAATGGCCCACCTGACAGTTTCTGGCGGGACAGTGCTCGTGAGCTCTTCAAGGCAGCACGGCAGATGATCGACCTTGTGGCCACCTGCCAAGCCCGCGGTGCACTTGTTGAGAACCCTTTG